GACCAGAGCAACCTTTCGTCTCGCATATTAATACAAATTCCCACCAAGCGTCCAAGGAACAGCAAGGTGGCGAGTCGTCTACAATGCCTTATCATAGGGCGCATTCTCGCGGGAGGGAATATAAGTGATTTCGCTTCCCGGCGGTGTATAGTAGGGGAGTATCCACCCACGTCAAATGCCTTATGTCGAGGAGCCGGCTGGTATTTATATCGGAAGGGGAAGGGAACAGGTGGAGAGGGGTGGTGTATCTCGGGTTCAGAGCAGGAGTAGAAGCAGGGCTAGATGTGAATTAGAAGAAACGGGATATGCGTATAGGTATTTGTCGGATGAAGAACTTATTCGTAGGGCAAAAGAAGATGGATTGAAGAGATATGGTTACTAGGGGGATGGAGATGGAGATGGAGATGGAAGTGTATTCGGGTTGAGTGGTTTCTAGTTTTGGTAGGTTTCTTTCCGTGTGGTTAGAGGGATAAGAGCTGATAATTCTCGGTGCATTTGAGACAGTTGAGCTTTTGATATATCTAATCGGTCTGAGAACTATATCAATTAAATCTGTGCGTCTGGATACGTATCCACGGGCGGCTTTGGGGATGTTTAGGGAATGATTATTGTGTATTTTGGAGAATTGGACTTGAGTTCTGGTTGAGTGATGGGAGGAAGTGGAATCAGGAGATATGAATTTAAAAGTTTTTGCTTGAGCGAGCTTGGAAACATGGAGGAGAAGGAAGAAGGTGAAAGCAAAAGTGTGATTTATAGATAATTTTATTTTATCATATTTTCTAATATGTTTCTATATGTGGATGTAAGTGCAAGTGATTGATGATGATGGTTAGATAGTGAATTCAGAAAGTGATGTTAGGAGAATGAATCTGAGAGTTTTTCTTGGAACTTGGAAAATGAAGGAATATAAGATGAAAAGAGGAAAAGAGGTACATGTTATTTGTTTCGAGTGTTTTGTTTGACTGTGCAATATATTTTTAATGTATAGGTAGGTATAAATGATTGATTAATTATGATATAGTCAGGGTGAATATAAAAAGTGGTGTTAGGGGGATGTAAATCAGGAAGTATTTGTTTGAGCTTGAGAGAATAAAGTGAAGGAGAAAATAAGTATATTCTTATTTTAGAGTATTTATTTAACCGTTTCATGATAATTATATATATATGGGTAAAAAACATGATTGTGATGTACTTATTTAGTGAACAAATCTGATGACTGGTTGACTGGTTGATCACACTGGAGCTTAATCATATGGAAATTTGATTCTATGCTTATTATTTGTTATATTACGTATGAAGGAGAAAGGAGGAAGCTATTTATGAAATGTTCTGTTTTATGATACTCAGTCACTACCTTACAGCTCTTCTAGAACTTCGTGGTGATATATATTGCTCCAACTCTAAGGCAATATCATATCAGATCAATGATGACTGCGCAGTGCAGTGTCCTAAACTTTTTTGTTTAGTTGTTTTCAAGTATTTTGATTCATATAATTACATAGTTTATGTCTAAGAGTCATTCTTGATTGATACGGAAAGTTTCTTGCCTAAAAAGATGCCGTCTGCTGGTTTTCAACGTTCTTTTTTCTTTACCTTTTTGTTTCAACCAGATATATTTGTTAGAAATTTCAACCTATTTACACTTCCTAAAGAAACATTTAGACTTAAATCCTTTTGATACATTACATCAAGCATTTATGCCTTTCAAAGTCTACGAGGTAGTGCGTAAAAATGAACCCTACCCTGTATACGATGTAACTTTACAGCAATGCATGGGAAACGCCTGGGTGAATTTTTCTTTTTGACCGGAACACTGTGCTCCTGGTATGGTTTGATGTCGGTATATGTTTCAAGAAAGCTCTCCTATGAACAAGATAGACTACCAGCCATCTCCGCATTGGCGAAGTCTGTATGCGACCATTTTTCCGACCAGAAGTACTTGGCTGGCTTGTGGGCTTCCGATCTTCACAGAGGCCTTTTCTGGGCTCAAAATTCATGGATGGAGTTTGAGGATTACTACAAGCCTCAGCCTCATGGCTATGTTGCTCCATCTTGGAGCTGGGCACGTCGTCCAACGCCGTTTATCTGGATATGCGGGGTCAACCAGCACAAAGCCCACTTCCGGCTGGAATTCACACTCCATGGTGCCGACATTTCTCACGATCCACTCAACCCATATGGTCAAGTTTCCGAAGGAAGAATTTTTGTTTCTGCCAAGGTTTTCAAATTACCCGTCGACAAAACGGGAAAGGCCAGAGTCAACAAAGCAGGAGAGGCGAGAGTTTTGGCCTTCATACTTGTTTTCAACTACAATTTGTGGTCGGAGAATGGCGAATACATAGCGCATTTATTCTTGGACTGGGACTCTTACTCTGCTCTTCATGATGATAGTGACTATCCTCGAGGACCTATCGATCAATTGTCAATGGTGCTTATTACTAGTACTTCTCCCAATAATCCGACCATGTTTCGGGGCCGCGACACTACTGATCCGAAAATAGTGCTAGGCATCCTTGTTCGACCTGTTGCCGGAACTGAAGGTGATTACGAAAGGCTGGGTTTGTGGTATTCTGAGAACAAAGGGCTTGGCGGCAAGAAATTCTGGCAGGATATTCCACTGCAAGACTTAACACTTGTTTAGTTGTTGCAGTTTAGCTGTACATTTAAGGAACACAGCATTCTTAGAATTCCAGTAAGGCTTGTAATAATCAAACTGTTTCACTTTACAGTGAGCGTGCACTGCTACTAGACGTAGGCCCTGTCACACCAAAACTCACTTGTTTTATTTATTTATATTAAAAGAATTAAATATTGTAAAACAAAATCTGTTTAACAATCTAAGAGTATTTATTTAACATTTTATAATCTTAATTTTTGAAAAAATTCAATGATTAATTTGTTACGAGGTTTGCCGTCTAGATCACGTGGAAGTGCTCTAGGCTCTCGAGGTGGTTTGTAACTAGGCGTCAAGCAGGGACTTAAAGTAATGACAATAATGCAATTCGTAACTAATAGTAGAGTATACTAAATGATTGATCTTGAGCACGAAGCTCTATACAAAGGGAATCCATCTTGATTATATAGACCTTCGTATTCCAATATTGGAGCGATGGAGCTGGGGAGCGAGATTCGAATCTCGCTCCTTCGCTCCCTCGCTCCCTCGCTCCCTCACAAAACTATCCATATGATCCTATAGCACGTGATAATAGTTTATAATGTTACAATGTAACAATACAAGTCAAAATAACCTCACTTCAGGCAATATAATAAGTTAAGGTTTCGCTGATTATTAAATTTAATATTTGTATAGTTTCTCCGTAGTAATGGAAGTGATAGGAATGTAACAGTGTACGGAGTACACGCACTACTTTGTGCACTCTCCTAAAAAATAGATGTGTAGATGAGAAAGGTTAAGATGGAAATTTTGCTATCAAAAAGAGAAATAGATGTTTTAAATATTAGGACCAGATATATGTAGCACATACTAAGTATAAAGGTCATCAAGTAGATGGTGGACAACACAATTTTTATTGCTAGAGTGAAAAACAGATAAAATACATAGAAAAATAAAATATATTACGCCTCTCATCAAACTAGACTGAGGCTCAGAAAAGTAACACTATCTCAAGAACTATCTTTCGACTCTCATCCTGCATATCCACGAGTCAGAGATTCCAAATAAATCGTCATCATCCCCCACCCGCTGAAACCTAACCTCCACAAATCCATATCTCCCCACAGCCAGAACCAAAAGCAACCCTCAAAACGAAAAACTAGATTTCAAACTTACCCTCCTTCATCTCCTCACGATGATATTTCTCATAAAGAAAATTCGCCCCCAAAACCGTCAAATTTACCTTCTCCGCCCACTCCCTCACACCACTTCCCGGCTCTTCAAACCCCCAATGTTTTCTCTCCTCGGGGGCTTTTAAATCCGTATTTTCTCCCTCCAAAAGCACGAATACATAGCGATGTTTACCTGTTCTTTTAGGTGGCGCTGGTGCTTTATCTAGAAATTTATATCTACCATCAGTATATAAATATTCATTGAAACCCATCAAATCACCCGATTAGCATTTCTTTCTAACCCGTCCAACCAAACAGAAAAGGGAAAAACAAAAACAAAAAGAAACAAAAAAAAAACCCACAATCAACAACCCCCACCAAATCCGACGCATTAACCCACACCCTCACACCCCGCGGCGTAATAACCACCTCAGGCACCCTCGCAATCCAATGACACATCTCCGACAAACCATCATCCTTCCTCGACGGCGCATCCGGATCCGTAAGAATAACTGTCAAACCACCTTGAACCTCCATTTTCCCAGGGCAGAAAATTTGCATAGAGGGCGGGGATTGTGTTTGTGAGGGAAGGAGTGTATTGCCTAATTTTACTGTTTTATGTTTTGAGGAGAAAGAGGGAAAGTAGAAGGGAATAAGATAACAGGAAGGAATGAAGGGATCGAGGACATCGGGGATAATGGATGATTTTTTGAGACTAGGGGAAGTGTTAGGCGCACGTTGTGGGATTTATATTGCGATTGTGGGATGTAATACGTACATTTTTCGAATGCTTTTGAAGGGTTTGTATTTGTCGGTCTGAGGCCCGTTATATTCAGAAGGATTGTAATTGTATAATTCTGGGGATACGACGAGGGCGGAGCTAAGCTCGAAGATGGTTATGAGAAGAAGTTTGAGGGATGTGATTAATCGCATTTTAGCTAGAATGGCTAGATAGATGGATTTGGAAATTGTAATGGGGAGTTTCTGCTCGCAAGTTATCACAACGGATCATCGATAGAAAGCTTGAAGGGTAAATTATACTAATACATCTGATAGTTGTAACACACAATGAGCTGGGCAGACGTCGTCGATGACGTCGGCCATTCAAATGCAGAGGGCTAATCACGTGAAATATCCCTGAAAGGTAACTACCGACCAGGGCGCTTAGCGAATCTCTCCTCACCAAGGTTGATGTTTCTAAATTAAATGATGTTCAGTAAAATGCAACGCAGAATGTCCAGAGAGTAATCTATTTCATAATGGCAGGGAAAAGAATAAAATTTAATGAATTATTTACTCAATCAAAGCCGCTGTATAAACACAGCTGTGATGCCTCTAAGTCTTAAATGATCTTGAGAATCAATCCCTTCATTACGCCAATCATCCATGAATCATACATATCTGGAGGCTCATTACATGATCATCTATGAGATTTCCTTGACACGGCACTTCCATCCGGAGCCAACCTCAAGCAATGGGAGACTATTCGTGGTTAGCTAGAGTACTTAATAAGAGAGGAATAAAACATACCTAGCACCAAGACACCATCCAAGCTCATTACCCTTGAGCTTCTTTGCAATCTTAACCTCTCTATCGATTGGCATTTCGTAACCCGTGTGCAACAAAGCCATCATGAAGTTCAAATCAAGACACCATTCGGGCCTATCCCTCAATTCCTTGAGGGCATCAGGAACATTTCTAAACATATCCCAATGAGACTCTCCACCACAAACCTGGCTTGTAAGATCATGCAGTTCCCGTAGAGTAAAGGATTCTGGCATCCCAAGAGGGTCGGTACGGTCAAAGAAGTATGAGAAAGTGTAGACATCCTCATGCTGGAAGGTCTTTTCTAAAGAAGGTTGATGAACACCATTGAAAGAGCAAGGTGCAACTTTACATTCGGCTTCCTTGAACAACATCTTCTCTGCGAGTTTACGGCATTGAGCTGGAGATGGCGAAGAAGGGCCCTTCATAACGAATTCATTCTTTTCTCCCAACTTAGCACGAAGAGGATGCTTCTCGTCAAATGCAATATCGATGGAACGGTTCATGCCTGGTGCAATACAAGGATTGATGATTGGTGATGCGGTCCAGGAGAGATCCGAAGGATTAGCTGCATGAACATCATCAATGAGAGTCTTGTGAATTGTTTCACGGGCTGCCATGAGACCATATCCCAAGTGAGAATGTTGGTAAAGCTCGAAATCTCTTCCGCCAAAAGTAAGCTTGTATTTGTGATCACCTTCAGCCATTTTTTCCGGTAATTTGAATTTCGGTTCGAAGACAACTTGGGTTGATCCTCCACCAAGATCGAAAACTGCTGCAGTATCTCCAGGAGCTGGGCCTCCAATGTTGCCAAGTAAAAAGTTGGTAGTGATCCAAGCGTAAACACCCTCATCAGTACCGTCCATAACCTGGACTCCGCCCTTCTCATCAGATACAACTGCGAAAGGATAGACAGTTTCCAATCTGGTACGAACAGCCTTGAGAATATTGGCGCTCAATTCCGGACCAAGTTTTCGTAGACCAGCAGTAGCCTTGACAGCCACAGGAGTGCAAGATTTGAGTGCGTCGGGAACAGTTTTCACTGCAACATCCATAAGCATGTCGAGACTCTTTGCAGCTCCTTCGGCATCGGCTCCATAAGAGCTCAATCCGGAACCACCCTCTTTCTTTTCAGTCATTTTGAATTCCTCATGTTCCAACTCTGGTGTGGGGCCGCAGTTATTAAATTTATATACGTGAACTCTAGATCCGGTACTGCCAGCATCAATCATGATTGCATATTGAACAATCGGTTTCGACTTGCTAAAGGATTTCGAGCACTTCGTCGTCCCATATGTTGAGTCGGATGGTGATTGCCCATTATTTCCACTTTTAACTGTATCGGCGGCATTTCCAACTATTACATATTAGAGAGTGATATTAAATGTATCCAGATGGCATACCAGTGTTTGATACCTGGGTTCCACTTGGGGACAGGTAGTAGAATAAGAACACGACGAAGAGCAAGATTCCTCCTGTCTTCATGTATCTTGACCGCTGGCTTTGGGTCATCATGGCGTTCTTTGATTTCTCCAGTTTGAAAGCGGCGCTTTCGTTTGCGCCTGATTTATTATATCTTGCAAGTTTCTCGTGAGGATCGTGTGCTGTGCTCTTCGATGGGAGAGAGACAGAAGTACGTCGCATCTGCGAAAGAGCGACAAGTAGAACTAACCACCTTGTATTAAAATACCAACTCAAGTCTAGTAATATAAACGAAAAAAGTGAGTGTAAAGTATGGAATAGAAAGGATTGGTGAAGTTCTAAATCCTTTTTGCGTAATTGCCAGGGAAATAGAATGGGGAATGAAGATGGAAAAAGAACAGTGCTGTACGTGTAATTCCAGAAGAACTTTAAAGTAAGGGCGAAAGACAGAAAATGGAAAATAGGGGACAATACAATTTACCTTTACCCTTGCATTGAATTTGAACTATGGCTAAATTTGGTATCGCGGCGATAGATGATTGGTTGATCTGGAAGGAATGGGGCTTGTGGGGGTGTAGAGATAAAGATTTCTGCTTATCGTATATCGTGAAAAGACTGATACCAGGAATTCCTTAATAATCTATTATTCACACCCATCAGTGACTGAGTTTCTGTAGTAATCTATTAATGACACACCTCTCAACCGAGTCTCGGAACATCGTCAGCTAGAAGTTGCCTTCGGTACGTACTTGCTTGATCTCAATGACTTTATTACTTTCATAGAATGATATAGAACTGATTTTATGACCTACATGAAATTGTTAATATTGCTACCACCATAAAACCCCTAAGTTTGGTTTCTCTTTCTATCTCCTACCTAGTAGTTACTCTCTCTTCTACTAATTTGCGCATATCCTATCTCTAAAAGGATATTTCTAAGTACGCATTTTCCTATTACCTACTTAGATACTCAACATTCACAGCAATAAAATAATGAACGTACAGCTATACATTTATGATCTGTCGAAAGGCCTAGCTCGCAACTTATCGGGGGCCCTCTTAGGAGTCCAAATTGACGCTATCTATCATACTTCGGTCGTTTTCGAGGGTATTGAATATACCTACGATGGAGGCGTCAAGACGGTTAGGCCTGGGACAACCCATCTAGGCAAGCCATTGCAGGTTCTGGAATTAGGGAAAACAGATTTGCCTATGGATGTCATTCTGGAATATCTCGACTCGTTGAAGCAATCTATACTTTTGAGGTAATTTATCTTGCGGTATTAATCCTCACTTATGAGCTAATTCAAATGTAGGCGTACGATCTCTGGAAACACAACTGCAATAATTTCTCGAACGATTTTGCCACCTTTCTGGTTGGCAAGGGAATCCCCGAGTATATTACGAATCTCCCAGAAACTGTACTCAACACTCCCTTTGGCAGAATGATACAACCACACTTCAATGACTACGTCACCTTGAATAGTATGAATAATGGCGGACTTTTGGGTATACAAAGCTCGGAGGATCCGCAGCAGCAAGCATCGATGTCCCAGGTTCGACATGTGACCACATCTACCGAGTTGGATAATCTTTTGAAATCAGCCAAGAAGAAATGCGCAGTCATCTTCTTTACCTCTCGTAATTGCGCTCCTTGCAAACCTTTATACCCTGTATTTGAGCAACTTGCAAAGGATGCCGGACGCAAAGCCATCCTCATAATGGTTGATATCTCCAGGTCGTATGAGATTGCCACGAAATACAGTGTTACTACTACGCCTTCCTTTGCGACTTACTTACAAGGCGAGGAGGAGAAACGTTGGGCGGGAGGAGATGTAGCGTCCCTTCGAGCAAACGTAGGGTTACTTGTACAAATGGCATTCCCACCTCATGCACACGAGTCTTTACGTTTACCAGCACTTCGAGCCCCAGATATGCTGCCAGTTATCTATACTAAAGTCCCACCACTTGAGAAACTCAAAGCAAAGATGGGACCTGCTGCTGAGGTTCCAGCAGTCAAAGGAGTTCTTCACTTTGTCTCAGAAGGGCAATCAAAACCTGCAGCAGAGACGCATCTGCCAGATTTAGATGCTTTTAGTTGGTTTCTCCGCGAAGCTCCCTCCAAATTACCTACTGAAATTATGTTCACAATCGTTGACCTTCTTCGATGTGCTCTTGTGGACCCCAGACTTAGTGGTTACTATGCCGAGGAAAGCAACCACAAAACTATTGCTCCTCTATTCACATATGTTGATAGTCTCAAGGACTGCCCTTACTCACTTCGTTTAGTCGCACTTCAAGCAGGTTGCAATCTCTTTACAAGTCCCCTGTATCCTCAACACATCCTCGGCTGTCCGACTCTTACCAATCCACTTGTTCAACTAATCACTACCTCTCTACTTAATGATGCACATCATAATGTTCGTGTCGCAGCCGCAAGCCTTGCATTCAATATGGCATTTGCAAACTCCAGTCTTCGCATAGAAGACCATAAAGAAGTATTACCAGAAAGTGAGCAAATAGAACTCGCTGCTTCATTACTAGAAGCTATACAAGAAGAAAAAGAATCCCCGGAAGCTTTAAAGGGATATTTATTGGCGTTTGGTCATTTGGTGTTTGGAAGCCCGAAAGGTGGAGAGTTGGTGGATTTACTGAAAAGTATGGATGCTCAGAAGACTATAATGGACAAGGCCAAAGCATTTCCAAAAGAAACTTTAATTAAAGAGATAGGACAGGAGTTACTGGGAAAGGGATTGGAATAGGTTTACTTGGTTGGTGTTAATTGTTGATAAATTGAATATACACCACTCTTCCTGGAATCGTAGATGAGATATCCATGTGTTCATCATCAGTGTTTATGATGAAATCTTCCATACTTTGACATGCACAAGCGAATCGTCAGTTTGAACATCTAGTTTTACTTGAATCATAGTTATCCTTCTTGCCTGACAAAGGTAAGACTCTTATTGACTATATCAGACATCAAACATCACATTATCAATACCATCTCCTCTCTTTCCTTTCCCTCCTATTTCACTTGTATTCACTTCAACCTATAATCCCCATAACACCACACCATCCCATACCACCATCCCATACCAGCAACACTTTCTTTCTTTCCTTCTTCCTTTCACCCTACGAACCAATATTATTTTCATTTCCATTTCCATTTCTATCTTCATCCTCGACCTCCAGGCTCCGAGGCTTTTACATATCCTCTTTCTTTCTTCTTTCCCCCTCATCTTCAACCCATCCTCACTTTTCCCGAGGTCAGCTTTCCTTCAACTTACCAAGCCGAAACATATCAATCATACCATTGGATAATTAACCGATGACGTGATTTGATTTATTTATTTTATTTTTTTAGTACGTTTCAGGTTTTTTTTGAGAATACTAGGGTGGCAGGGGTTGTGGGGAATTAAGGGGGAGGAAGAAATTTGGGGGGAATGAGGGAACTGAGGATGGTTTGTTTATTTGTTTGTTTGTTTTTTGTTTACTTTTGGAATTTGGGATTTTGGAAGTGGTGAGAGGGTGGATATGAGGGGTGGTGGGGAATTAGATGGAGGGAAAATGAGAGGGAAAGAAGGGAAGTAGCAGGCAACAACCAGCGTGAAGAGGTGGAAATAGAGGAGAGGCGGTGTTGTTTGAAGGTTTAACTCAGGGTTCACCACCGGGAATTCTTCATATCATGGTCAATGAGATCAGAGCGAGTCAGTTGAATTATATATATAACTCTACAAATTGCGTGGAAACCTGGAAAGTAATTCTACCCGCAAAATTCCTCTCTTATTCCACATCAACTTTTTCACCACCAAACCATACCTATTGAAAAGTCTCATGATATAGCATAGCATTCATACAAATCCATTTAATAACCTATTACAACATGCAGAGTTTCGAAAGCGGTGAAATACAAATCATCATGTACAAAATTAGTAATGTTCATCGCTTCTTTTGTGATGCGATTTCGCTTAATTTTCGCGGTAGAAAGGGTTATAGAGGAGAAACGTGCATTGTAGCGAATGAATAGTATGTAGGACAAAAGCTTATATATTATGGAAGGTGTTGTGAATAGAGGGACCCATTGCTTAATTTGCTCACACTTGCATCTTTTTCTAGGATAAGAGTAACTCTGCTTGTAATCTTATATTCTTCTTTTCGGGTCATCTGGCATTCTCTTCTCTTCTGGATTCGCCATGAATCCGGACTTTGTAGCGATGGCTGATGAATATCTCTGAAACGAGGTAGTGTTAACTCTTGGGGATATGCTGCGGTTATGAGTATGGGTTTGTTTGAAGCTCTTCTCTTCTTTTCCGGGAAACTCAAGGGATGTTGAGAGCAGACAGCACTGCACATAGGTATCCAACTCTAACAGCCAGTAAACTCGATCTTCGCAGGAACAGCAGTAAGAGTAACGTAGATTGGTAGTGAAGGTGGTTCTTTTCTTGCTTGAGCTGCAAATGGTTATAAGGTTCTGTTCCGCGCCGAGCTCGAATCGGATCCGTCTTGAACCTGCATTTTGGGATCTAGTCAGAGTATGAAAAGACGGCCATGGAGTATAGAAGATGTGGAACCAGTTCTTCTATCAATAGTAATATGTAGAAACGACCCGTTTAATAGGTCTGAGGGATAAAGATAATGAGACTTACGAGAGTGTGCATATGGTGTTGTGAAACATGGAAGCAAGAGGGTGCAGTTTTTAGGTGTTTTTGGTAAGACCGTATAATGACAGTGAGATATTGGCTTGGGAGTATTCGATATGGGAATTTCCCAGGTATTCCAACTAGTTATCAACCTCACGAGGGTAAGTCTCCAAGCACGGGGCAGAGCAGATAGGTAAATTGAGGGAGAACTTTAAGTGCTATGACAAAGGTATAGCTGATACTTCGCGGAGAGCTCTTCACTATTATTGATTCACTAACATATTCACTTTGTAAAACTTCTTGCTGCTACCACAAACAACGCAAACATAAGACACTCTTCTCATCATCGTACCTAGCAAGGAAATAAGATAAGAAAACTAATGTTGGAAGGCCCGATTTTCTCAAGAAATCATTTGCTCGCTAAGGTGTAGAGCCTTGTTGCGTACAGCAACGTGACTAGAATATCTCAACCTTATTGTTCTCTCGCACAATAACCACTTCCAACAAAACTCAGAATACAACTTTGGGAAAGACAATAGCCAACATACGCTCTTTTTATATTCGTCGCTTTGCGAGAAAATTCTTCTGCTTTTGATTCTATTGTGAGTACTCCCGAGCTATTATCTGAAAGGACGCACTTGCGTTTTCTTCGAAGTCCTTAAAATCAAGGTCCCCAGATATATCATTTCACCACAGAAAGAACCATCGATCTATCAAATAGAGACTCACAAATTCAGGCCTTTTACACAGACAATTCAAGTGCCAAACATCTGAAGTAAGTACCATCCTAAGTCTTCTTCGTTTCGCATTCAACACCACGTCAGTCCCGCCCGATACTTTCAGCCAAAACTGGCTGCTTCATCAACCTCGAGATCATCAATACTGACTTTCATCCAACAGGACTTTCTCGACGCCTTCTCTGTTGAAGGGAACCGTATACTCACTACTGAGTAAGTCAACTCTTCCAAACTGATACTAAACTTTTCCTACTACCACACCCACAATCCACGATTCTTGCTTCTATACCTTCTTCAACTACCACCGCCACTCTATAGCTCAATGCTCTTCACAATCATCCATGAGCCCCGATCTTGTCTTCAAAGACAAATCTTCACGTTTTCGATCATGATATCTTGCACAAAGCATTCCCGCTTTTCTTAGTTGGGCGTGTATCACCCATTCCTCAACTTCACACAATCTGATCCCACTATCCGTTTCTTCAAGCGGATACCTTTTCACACATTTTTCTCTCATAACCTTCTTCAGTTTGAAAAATGAACCTTTGTCACCTATCCTCCACTCTACTTGATTTAGAAATCCTGACCCAAAACATTCATTCATAGCACACCAAGATCGAAGACTGCATAACTAAATCTAAAAGTAGCTTTTCAACTTGAATTTACCTTTTTCTTTTTCTTTCAACTTGTAAGTGTAATAGTTTCCACTATGCTGAATATCTCGAGACCTGGACATCTACTTACTTGACAGCAGTTTAACCCCAGCACTTCGAAGGTTCTCTGTCATTCTTTACCAACTTCTAGATCCACTTCGGTACCGGTACCTCAGGACCACGCTTCCGTGACTTCCCTATGTCACCAGAAGCAACTTGACAACTTTTCTCCATCTTCGATCTGTAAGTGATCTCTATAATCCGCTTAGCAGCATCTTTTGAAACCTGCCAAAGCTTTTGGGTGTCGAGCAAGTCCTTACCTAGGTCGCCAAACTTCAAATTCCTCAGCTGTTTCTACTGGCTCGGGGAACTCAACCTAATTAACTTTCGGTACCAGGTTAAAGTGTCGTTTTGATCGACACCTTAACATAATCACGTCCCTCTTCTAAACGTATCATCCCGTCAAACATCATGTCCTCCATCAAGTAAGTACTTCCCATTGAAAAGGTGTCTATCTCAGCATCAACTTTGATGAACCATGCTAACCTAACTTGTGCCGAGCAGCCATAACATCAGCTTGTTTGCTAGAACTCCATTTGCAACTGTCGCTGATTTTGCCAAGTCCGAATGGCTCGATCTCGCGGTTGAAAAGAAGATCAGTGACAAGCAATCAGACCAGCTCGACTGGCTCCAACTTGAAAAGAAGTCCGTACAAAACACGCCAGTTGGCGCAGCCCCTACGGTAGTTCAAGCTGCAGACAAGCCGGCAGTCGCAGGTTTTCCGTTGTTTCGCAAGCTTGCTATTGAGCTCCAGGATAAGATTTGGGTGACGGTGTCGTTGAATTACCCCAGGATCATTACATTTGTCGAAGAAAATGTTGATGTTGCTCTTCACCCTGGTGATAATGAGTACATGGTGGTTGGAGCTAAGCGTCCAAAGTTTCTCAAAACATCTAAGGGAGCCTTGTCAGCAATGGTTGGTGTCTACCGACCAATGTTCGAACTTGATCCTGCTAGATATCATGGAGAAAAGAAGGGCGTTTTCGTCAACCCGGATATTGATTGTATCGAATTCGCATCCCTTCTTTCCCTTAATGGACAATTGCCACCCCTAGATTTCATTGGCGCTCTTAGGTATCGTGGAGAGTTTTCAAGAATCCGTCATGTTTGTCTTCCAGCTCAGGAATTCCACGACAATTTTCAGACAGTTGCTCGGATCGTCCAGAACCTACCATTGCTTGAATCTGTGGTCGTCGAGGCAAATCATATTGACCACACGGTTAAAAACACCCTCTACATGCATTTCATGATCCAGGATGTCCATTACACCAGACCAAATAGATATCCACGCTCTGACATGACCATCATGGTCATGGACCGCGGTTCTCCTTTGGTTGGTGCTCCAGCAATTGGTGTTCTTTTCAACAAAATCTCCGACACAACTCATAGAGCTGGTATTCTTGAAACCTTAGGTAGAGTTGAGACAATGATGCGTCAAGAGCCCAACTTTCCGAACAGAGTTCTTGGTGCATTTAACTACCACAACTTCCCATGAACCGTGTTGAGATCATTCCAGTCCGTCTCAGGGTAAACGCCACTCCTTTTCTTCTGCAATATGCCTCGTGCCTTTGCTGATAATTTCCAGAGTTGAGATTTATTCGAAATATTTGTTTACGATTTCCTGAAATACAATAGCTTGGGTCTTGCTTTGTTTTGTCGATGAATATATGATCTGTGATAAGAAGATAGGGTGGTTTTCATATTGGTGCGTTGGATGCTATCGAGCTTGTATTTACTCACGACTTTTGGTCATTGAGCCTTTGCACTCATTAGCTGATGACCTGGACCGAATATATATATTCGGCTTTTATAACTGCTCACATCCCCTCCGTGACTGTGCTGTGATGACTGTATTACAAGGCTAATAAAACCTGTGATGGATTGCTTCTCTGCTTTCCCAAAGTCGTGGCAAATTTGGAGCTGGAACTAGATATAGAAGGCATCGCTATCAGGCCAATAAAGTCTTAATATGTCATCAGATTCAAGCCAGCATTGGTTCTGATGGTCAGGAAAACATAGTGCCAATGTAGCTTTCTTCGAAAAGTATTATAGCTCCAGTATAGCCGCTGGAGGACCGCAATTTAACTAGGATCCTAACTTATAGCTTCGAAGTTCATGAAGAATGAACGACACTGAGGAAGGTATGAATAAGTTTAGATTTCAAGCTCATTAAAGAAAATCCCCGCTATTTATATAATGAGTCGGATGTCCTCCGACATATGAAGAGCAAAGCTCAGTGATCTGAAAGAGGATACAAGAGGGTTAGTTGATATGTAATGGTGCTAGATTCACGTATGATTGAGAACGCGTACCTCCAACCATGAATAATTCCTAAAAAGAGGGGCCAAAATTTTCACAGTAGTGGTGTCATGAGCTGAAGAGTTGCAGAAGTTTGCAAAGATTCTGCTAGAATCTATCTTTGCAACAGATTCAATTCTTGTTGGAAGGTTATTGAGACTTCAAGCATAGAGATGATGTGTCTGAAATATGTCTGCTAAGTCTGCGACATAGTCATGCTTGTGGTCTCCCGGTCGACCTGCGCGCGTAGACCTGTCAACCTGGCACAAGAATAGTTGACCGGTTGTTAGCTTTTATACCATCCAAACTCAAATATCAAAGAACACCAATATACTGCGTCAGACAGCGATGGCAGGACTTAGTTATTGGCGACCCCCTTCTAGACTTATTTGACAATTCTGAGAACAATGCCAAGGCCAATTCCAAGCGCCCCTGAGAATGGATCAGAGTCGCTGCATAGTATATAAAGTCTTGACAGAGTTCGAGACAGTGCAAGTACTCATGCTAGCTTTTGATATCCGATATCTCGTCTAAAGGTAGGTAGGAACGATAATGATGATTGAAACATGAGTGGTGGTTGAAGATTGATGTCGGTTTGCTCTTTTACCGCCTTTTTCTGCCAGCATGCAACAATTACGTAAGCCGTGGTTCTACACCAATGCATTTCCAGGCTTTAATAAAAATCCAAGCTTTTTTAACAACTTGTATGAAGACAGTTACTACAAAGGCGACTGAGAAGTAGGTAGGTCGAGTCTGGTTTTGAGTAGCATACATACTTTACATTATCTGTGTCAAAGCCATGATTTTGTAAAGCACTAAGCACAGTAAGTACACCGCGACCGAGGTAACTTGGGAATCACTCAACCGTTCTTTGCAATACTTCCGCATGATCTAATGCGTCTGCCGCACTGCAACTTACTGGAACGTTGGATGTTAAGATCAGGGGGAAGAGGCAATTCAGAGAAGGAAATTATGGAATTTGCGACGGGCCTTTCCTTTAAAGGGGGCAAGGTCTATCATTATTGACTTAACGCAGACAGCATCAGGTGGGGACGTTCTTAGAAGTTATTGATAATATTGAGGAGTTTTACATACAAGACTAGAATTCTCCGAAAATCAACAGATCGTCTGGTTCCATGTCACCCGCAGCCTGCGGAAAAGCGTCGTCATTCGGAGTGCCATGAAGCTTTCCCGAAGCATCCCACCAATTTATGAGGCATGTTCTTGTCTCGAGGCCAGAGACTCAGCTTGTATGAACTTGCTGCCGGATTTATGTCGCATCTATAGCCATGGCTCTTCTTCCTACTTACACAAGTAGTCTGAAACAATACGGAGATATTATCAGGACCTTTGAGCCTCGCCTTTCAATTTTGATATCTTTTCTTCCATTGGACTACTCATCGTCTAAAATGGAGATAATTCATTGCTTATCTGAAGGCAATCTTAGCCCCGTTCATGCTCTCAACACCCATCTTGATTAGTTGCAGAAATTCTAGCTCTGGATCTCGGTTCTCGATTACCTCAAACATCTGCGTCAGCCGCACTAGCACATAAGCAGCCTGGGTCATGGCCTGTTGCTGAGCAGGACATATTCTTGGTCCTCCATAAAACGGAAGGAATTCCCAATTCATCTTACGCCCAACGAATCGATCAGGCCTGAACATTTCGACATCATCGCCCCAGATGTCACTGTCATGATTCATGCACCATGTGCCGAGCACTACTGGTGAACCTCGAGGGATAAACACAGGCTGCGTTTGGTCGTAACCTCCTCCTTTTGGTAGAATTGTGTCGCGTACGGCAGCACGCCATATTCTTGCTGCCGGCCCAACGGTCCTGATGGTCTCCTGCAACACATACCTGAACTCGGCTAGTTGTTTTAGCTTTTCAAACGACAGCGGGGCGTCGCCCAGCTCTAAAGAAATGCGGCGAAGCTTAGTCCATTCATTCGGATGCCGGGCGAGTTGGAACAGGGCATTAGCTACTAGTCTGGAGGTCACATCCCGTGCTGGTGCGAAGAAACCCAATACGTGATATCGGAGCGCAATAGGATCCCGGATCTTTTTAGCCATCTCGTTGAGCAAGACATAACGTTTCCTCCCCGAATGTACATCACTAACCTCCTCTTTCGCTGTATCTATAAGAGCCAACTGGACTTGTCTATCTACGAATCGATGAACTGTCCTGTAGGCCTTCTTCCAAGTTGGACCTCCAATGAGTCGCTGGTAGTGGAACTGAAACCATGGCGCATCGCGCCGAGCACTGACTTCTTTCAGTCCCGTAGTAAAAGCTTCAGTAAATTCAACACTCTCAGGTGAGGCTTCCGTCTGTAGAGCGTTTAAAGAGCGCCCAAAAATGAAATCCATGGAGGAATCCAGAAACTAAGTAAGAGAAAAGTTAGTGCTATAATCCAAAAACTCTTTGCGGTTAACATACTAGTCTATGCAGCAATGGCTGAATGTCAAATGTCTCGCCTTTTTCCGGAAGTAACTCCGAAAACTTGTCTACACAAGAAGCAAAGAAATCAAGGTCCGACACTTCTGCCCTAGCAAATATGGGTTTCACCAAATCTCTCGACAAACTCCAGGCAGGTCCATCTGAGAAAATGCTGGGTCCCAAAAGCGGCCATTGGGCTATCTCTCTATCAGGGTCTTTGCCAAAGTCTTCCGCAGCCAATGCCGCTACGTGCTGAATATTTGCCGGCTCGGTTGTATTAAATAGCGTCGTACCACGCCAGACCTCGGAGAAAGTCTTGCCGTAGGTGTCAAATTGTGACTTGTACAGTCTGAAAAGACGACCTTCTTGGACTGCCTGAGCTCGAATGCGAGCTAGATCCGTTCCCAGGACATCCTGATGAGGATACTTGGTCGTTTCTGCGCAGTTGTGTCGCCGCTTCAGATTTCGGATATCTCTAGATCTCTTCCACTTCGGCAATAGTATACCTAGGGCAATGACTACGACCACAATGATGCATCGTCCAACCAATTGTTGCCCACCGCCAGTATACAATGACAGCTCCATGATGGCATATAAGAACGCATATTTGAAAAAAAGTTCAGTTTCATAGGCCAAATTTACTGTATATATATTAGAAAATACCATTATCCTTGGGAGACAGAACTGTTCACGAGTACAAAAGATGTATGTCAAAAGCGAAAGCCGAAAAGGCCGATCTAGCTAGCTAATCCTTTGATCCTTTGCGAGTTACGAGTTGGGGCCAGCCATGGGAAGGGTAGGAGGGAAAGGGTAGGAGGGGAATGGTAAGAGGAAGGCTAGAAGGGGTGGCTAAGAGGGGAAAGGTAGGAGCTCCGCGATTGGTAGAAGCTTTGTACAGTACGTTCTACTTGTTTTGCATGGACTAAAACGTTGACGAACCCAATTACCCCGAGTTGATGATAAGTCTACGTTGTTAGAACAAAACTTGTTTCGTGCTTACTGTTACGATCAAAGTGGGTTTACTAGCGCGGGACCAGGGTCCAGAGATAAGCATTTTAGTGGATGAACCCTAGTTCAAAGGTTAGCAACGAAGTGCACTTCTGGGGTCGTTCAAATCCCCCACAAGCGATTCGCGGTTATTTGCTGGCCTTGCACTTGATAACAATGATGCGATCTGCACAGTAGGATTCCCATCTTTTTTGAAAAGCAGGGTTGGTAGATAAGAGCTCCACTACCAACCGGGTAGCAAAATCCATGAAAGTTACCATGTTCGTTGAAGGATTTTTTCGTTAGCTGCTAGTGACTGCGACGTAAAGGGTCCTTGTTTTTCGATTCTGCTCTTGGCTTTTTTACACGCAAGATTTTTCCCACAAGCCAGTGCCTATCTCGAAAGATTGGGTGACATTTTGTCTTTTAAGGGTCCATTGTATTTCATCCGCTAGGTATTACCTTTGTCTTGAAGTGTAGGCGCAGGGTGATATCTCAGGTGCCGAAGCAGCCGAATATCCTTTCACTGCTTCAGCAATAATGTTGCGAATGGTGGGCGACAGCAAGACCGAGCATACCAGCGACTCTACAGTCAATACCCCAACCATAGATACAGACAAAAAAAATGAAAAACGGATAAGCGATCGTTCACCTCGATGTTCCTCAGACGAGGACTCTGATATCGCTCTAAGTGACAGTGAAAATGAGCACCTCGAGCTCATCAGAGCCAAAGCTACTCGCATCCCCGAAGAAGAGGGTAACTCAAATGATGTAGCCAGCGTGCCACCTAAGAGCGAGAATGAGAAGCCGGCATCATGGCTTTCCTTGCCCAGAAAAGATCAACTTTTCATCCTAGCCCTCGCGCGTATGGCTGAGCCCATAGTCCAATCCAGCATAAACTCGTACATGTTCTTCATGCTGCGATTCTTTGACCCATCACTTTCGGACTCAGCCATTGCCTCGCAGGCAGGCTACCTTTCAGGAGGCTTTACAGCCGCTCAGTGTATCACAGCTATGATATGGGGCCGTGTGGCTGACAAGGCATCGGTGGGTAGAAAGAATGTACTCATTATCGGTTTGTTAGGAACGCTTACATCCACAATTGGCGTTGGGTTTTGCCGGTCTTTTGCTCCTGCATTCTTCTTTCGCTGTCTTGGCGGAGCCTTGAACGGCAATGTCAGCATTATGCGGACGATGACTTCTGAGATCATTCGCGAAAAGAAGTATCAGACTAAGGCTTTCTTGTTGATGCCCATTATGTTCAATGTTGGTGTTCTTTTTGGTCCTCTACTTGGTGGTTGGCTACAGAATCCGGTCCACAGTTTTCCCCGGGCATTTGGGCCTGGAAGCAAGCTTGGTGGCACAGAAGGTGTGGGATGGATGCTGAAATATCCATATGCATTACCAAACTTGTTTAATGCTTCACTGTTGTTTATCTCGCTTCTCCTTGTAATTTTAGCTCTCGAAGAGGTATGTAAAAGCTCACAGTTTCTGTTTAAACCCTACTCACACGGTCTTCAGACACATATGGATCGTCAGCATCTCTCTGATCCAGGCCTCAAATTGGGTCGATTTATGGTTCGCATAATTTGTTGCAGGCCGCGACAGTCTCAATATGCCCAGCTAGAAGTGGAGGATAATGTTAATGATATTGAAATGACAATGCCTCCGGAATACACCAAAGAAACCAAAACCTCATACCAACCACGTGCGAAGCTACCATTCCAGCGCATACTTCGTCGCAATGTCATTGCAACTATGGTCGCCCATGGGCTTATACAGGGCCATACAAGCGCGTTTCAAAATCTTTGGTTCTTATTCCTTTCTACGCCTCGCTTTGATCCTGCCCATCCAAACCCGCCGGATTATATACCACACCCTCCTCTCTTCTTCACAGGAGGCTTAGGCCTCTCACCCGTTATCATTGGAACAGCAATCGGTATCATCGGCGCCATGGGCCTGACTTTACAATTCGGTGTCTATTCATGGGTAACGCACCGCTTGGGCGTGTTACATGCATACCGTTATACCCTAGCATTTTTCCCCCTAGCTTATGCAATTGCTCCATTTCTAGCATTATTTCCAACGAAGTCAGACTCGCCACATGCAGCAGACGGCCCATGGATCTGGATTGGAATTTGTAGTTTGTTGCTGCTCGTTGTTACAGGTCGTACATTTGCGCTTCCCAGCTCTCTTATCCTTATCAATAACTGCACGCCGCACCCGAGTGTCCTCAGCACTATCCACGGTATCGCGCAGAGCGTCAGCGCCGGAGCCAGAACTTTGGGTCCGCTCGTTTTTAGTGCGGTGTATGGCCAAGGCTTGAAAAAGGGGGTGGTGGGTATGGCGTGGTGGATACTGATGATTGAAGCTTTTGTTGCTTTTGGTGCAAGTTGGTTGGTTTATGAGGGGAATGGACATGAAATTCGTTTGGAAGGAGATCCTCCATGTTGATGTATGAGTTTGTTGATACCAATCAACAGTATAGTATCACGCTTCATGTACATGGAGCATTGCTCGATTTACATGGATCACGAAGAAACAATAGATAATTCTAGTTATCACGGCTTTATTTGTTTATAGAAGCATAGTACATTCACACAATCTTCAATTCATTCATTACTCTAAACCGAGAGGTTTAAAAAATGTTCAATACCGGCTTCACTCTATAAGTCTAGTACCCTACTTTCCGGTCACCCCTAATTCCGGCCACTTTTCCTCACCAAAAATAACGAAAAGCGACTTTTATAACTTTTTTATTTATTGATATAATTTAATAAAATTTAAATTATATATTTATTATTTATATTGTGACGCCTCACACCTCCGGGTCACGTGGCATGCCCCGTTTGTATTTAATCATAGGAAAACTCGCTACTCTTGTTTTCCTTCTTCTTTTCTCCTTAGCTTAGTATTTTCTAATACAAGATACTTTACCCAGTATTCTTGAGTGTGACATATATAATAATAGATTCTGAAAATTTTAGATTTTTGTGATTTTATTGATTGAGAAATTGAAAATTGAAATTATGATTTTCAGTTTGTATAAGATTTATATATAAACTTGAAAATCTTGAAAACTTTCAATAACTTTTTGTGACGGAAATCCCTGCTTTCCTCCCACCCTTATTATATAAGAAACCTCAGGTACATTAACCATATCTACACATGATACGATTACTCGAGATTAATATACGATTGTAACGATACTATACTGGAGGCAGCGGCTGCCTAAGGTTTCGTCTGGTTGGTAGTTGTGGGTTAAGGCTTTATCACTGGTCTTCACTTGGAAGTGAAGTCATTACTAGATCAAGTAGAATGTAGGTAAACTAATTGATAACTAAGTTGAGCACGAAGCTCCTTAACTACGAGACTAAATGAATGTTTATATACCCTATATCATCTTTTGAGGACCCTTGGGACCCTAAGGTCCAAAAGGTCCTCGAGGTCACGTGAATTAATGAATCGTGACAACGATTTAGGTGACCTGAGGATCAGATCCGGACAAGTACTAGGTATCAATGGTTATCGGTAAAGTAAGATCATTGGAGGAATAAATATGACTTCTTTTTGCTTAGCTATTGCAGCTAGGCTATTCATTTGTGTATATATAAAGTAGCTATCCCCATCTACAGGTGCTCTTCACTTGTAGATTCTAAGTTAAATACAATTGCTGGTCTATAAACACCCTTTTGGTCACACTTTTCAACAAAAATTATTAAAAATAAATTATAAATTTTTTTCGAACATTTATATTATAATTGATCAAATAGATCAATTTATTTTAAAAACCAATTTACAAAAATTTTATTAATCAAAATGTTCTGATTTTTAACCCCTTTAAAATCTAAAAATATCAATAAAAGGTTTTCTATGTAATTGTTACGACGGCTTCGGATCTCGTATCATGTGACCAATTATGTAATCACATGGTCCCTTAGATCCCCTCGGTCTCTTGATCGAAGGGACCGAGGGGACCAAGGGGACGATTAGCATGAAGGTCTATATAACCAAGATGGATTTCCTTTGTATAGAGCTTCGTGCTCAAGATCAATCATTTAGTATACTCTACTATTAGTTACGAATTGCATTATTGTCATTACTTTAAGTCCCTGCTTGACGCCTAGTTATAAACCACCTCGAGAGCCTAGAGCACTTCCACGTGATCTAGACGGCAAACCTCGTAACAAATGGCTAGGCAAAAAGAAGTCATATTTATTCCTCCAATGATCTTACTTTACCGATAACTATTGATACCTAGTACTTGTCCGGATCTGATCCTCAGGTCACCTAAATCGTATACTAATCCCGAGTAATCGTATCATGTGTGGACATGGTTAATGTACCTGAGGTTTCTTATATAATAAGGGTGGGAGGAAAGCAGGGATTTCCGTCACAAAAAGTATCACATAAAATAAAACCTGAATATATAAAAATTTAAAGTCTTCATTATAAGTTTTTGAATCTTGATATAAAATAACTAAACAGCCATTACATTACCAATACCCAAGTACTGTATATAACCTCCCAAGAAACACCCAAAACAACAAAAGCTTCAGAAAAGCCCTACATTCTATAATCTTCATCCCCGAGAAATTGACTATATATGTAGAGCCCCTTCCGAGCAAGTTGTGAACTTACGTGAGTGAAAATCACAGGAATCAACCCAGTAGATCTGTTTTTCTCGTCAAATTGTTAAATATTGGTGGCGTATTCATAGATAGATATATAAGATGATTCTTCGCTCCGCGGTTTGGGTTCCACTTTCGGCATGGGATTCTAACTGCGTGTGGTTTGGTTTGGTATTGGAAGGGTATGAGTAATTAGGTTGGACCAAAGGAACGGTGTTCAGTGCAAATGTCATTTAGCTGTATTTGCGCGAAGAAGTTGGATTGTTCAATATACCGTATAAGATAGAGTATGGAATATCTCTGAGCTCCAAGAGGTAGCAAATGTTATGGAGAAATCACTTGCTGAAGCTTGAAATGGTTAAAGAGTATGAAAGGTTTTTCTGATATTTCTAATGTATCTATCTATCTAATATATGTACAAACATTGACATGCCTTGAAAGAATGTACACGCATAGAAGATTCGAGAGCTAGAATAGCTTACAGAGACCGAATAGGCCAAATAACCAAGGAATGAAATAACTGTAAGTTAGAATCGAACACTCGGCAAGATCGAGAGACAAATCTCAACCTATTCTTTCCCTCCTATACTTTCCCCAAATTTCACTCAGGATATCCCAAAGCTCGGCTGCGGCTCATATCTCAAAACTTTCAAGACCCGAAGAGCCGGAAACTTTTACTTTCCCGGGACATCGTTTAGTACCAAGTGTTGGTATCAGATATCGTACGAAGCACTCGAACCATCCAAATGTGCCATATCGGCATTGGCACGCTCAGCATCGGCGATAATGATATTCTTGTGGTTCTCACTGCGGGGAACAAGTTGGTATTTCAAATTAGCGGGGTAGCTGACCAGGCCATAGGTAAAATCGTCCGCATCTGGGATGTAAGGTTTGCCATTGATAGTGACAGGAAGGATATCGTAGGCCCAGATTAGCCTGAGTTGAACAGGTCAGTGTTGAATTCTCCAGAAATAAAGTGTTGAGTTCCGTGGGGAATGGAAAGATGAGGAGATTCACTTACCGAGCGATAACGATGTACAACGATTGAAGTGCGACGTGCATACCAGGACACATTCTTCGACCAAAACCGAAGCAGCCGAATCGGTAGTTGAGGAGTCTGGAGTCGTTGGTTTCTAAGAATCTTTCCGGTATGAATTTTTCACCGTCGGGGAATACAGCGGGATCTTTCATAATCTCGCTAATGCAGAATATGTCAGTGGATGAACTCACGTTTTGACTACTGGGGACTCACGCGGCGTTGGCATATACAGATGCATCTTTTGGGATTAACATGCCCTTGTATGTATAGTCCTGGGTTGATGAATGTGCAATACCCGTGGGAGTTACGAGTCGCCATCTAGAGAGACTCATTAGGGAAATTCCACACCATCTACCTATGGCACATACCTCAATGTCTCTCTTATAAAGGCGCCCAAATAAGGTAGAGATTGCTGGTCTTCAAAGTTGGGCATGCGATCCTGTCCGACAACTTCATCGATTTCGGCTTTTGCCTTCTGGAGGCACTCAGGGTAGTGTAACATGGCCACTATTAAACAGAATAAATGTTAATCTCATGATGCCAATTGATAGGGTAAGACGTACAAATTGCTATTTCAAATGCGGTAGTAGTCTATATCATATCAGTTTGCAGTCTTAACAGATTAGAGAAGTCAAACTCACCGTTCCAATTCCGGCAGCCCATGGAGCAGAAAGAGCATAGGCCAATTCAACGTCATCTTCCATGTCTAATTCTTTCTGTTTTGTGAGACCATAAGTGGATGTGCATGGGACAGCAGTGCCATCTTCCATTTTCCGCTTCACCTCGTTCATAGCTGTCGTATACAACCTTGTGTTGGTGTCTCTGTGTTTCTCAGGCTCATGACGGAACCACTGCAAAGGACGCTTTGAAGCCATTAGTCTTACTCTTACTCTAGGAAGCGTGATTAACTTACAGGGAGCCATAACAGGATAGGCCACTGATCAAATTATCAGTTGTGTGCCATTACTACATATTGGGAAGTTCACTTACGCTCTCAAGAGGAAATCGTCCGGGTACTCTAGTACATATGGGTCAGAATAAAAGATTAAGATAGACACATTCAAAAACACCTACTTTGTACTAAAAATAGAATGAGTATCCGGTGAACATATTCTCATATAGCATAGTGTAGATTGCAACATACCTCTCAATATCTATTAAGAAGATTAGAAACGATCTTGAAGAGAGGGAAGGTGGTTACACTTACATTCCTCTTCCTGGTCATGTTTCACACAAAGCGGATCATCAAGAGACGTAACACGACGGCCGTATCCCATATAAAACATTAGAGATGCCGTGAATCTATGAAAGTCAATCTTAAGCCTCCATTTTTAAATGGTCAAAAACAACATACCTTCGAAGGATTTTGTGTTGCTTAGAAGGGTCTGTATTGGTCAGGTAGTCATGCATCAAGATGGCCGATTCATTGATCTGCATCGGCTTGACTTTGGGTGCCACTTGGGGACTGAAGTGCGAGTTTTGAAGCTTAAAAAACAGACGAGTTAGGCCTTAGTCTGCAACATTTTTGAGGGAAGTCAAACCGTTCGCCAATTTCGCCATTTAGGTCCGTAGGTCATTGAAAAGCCACGCAGCCTTGAAAAGAGAAACTCTCTAATTTTTGTTAGCATCAAGTTCTCATACTTTCGGGCTGACAAAGATACCTACCCCATGATAAAATGTGGACGGCTTGAGAACGTTTCACCGGCCTTTTCGAGAACGTCCACAGCTGCCTCCATTGTTCCGAGCACTGAATAGAGTTACTATGGCGGAACCACTATGTCTCAATGACCACATAAGACATACCGATGTTAAGCTGTTTTCCAGTGTAAAAGGTTGCTACATTTCCTGTAACGCTTTGTCAACAAGGCAACTTCAACCCCAATAGAACATGTATGACCAACCATATCGATCATTCCAAGCCTTGAACATGTTCCAACGATCATTGTCCAAGAGGTTTGAGTGATCACGACCTGGAGGGCCCGGTGGTAACTGAGCTGATCCATACTTTTTGGTCGAGGTCGCTGCTCTGATTATTTGAACAACGGCCACGACTAAAGCCAAAGGTATAACGAAAAGAAGTAAGTTCCCCATGACTAATGGTGCAAGTGATATCGTCGGGTCATTAACAACGAACTCAGTAAGACTTCATAGCCCTTTTGTACTATTTTAGAAAGGTATAAGATTTCATCTTCGGCATAATGTTGCAATGTCCTTGTTGTCGAGATCTACCTACTGCCCCCAAATTCACCCTTGAATTCACACTATCGATACTCCACCACTGTACATCCGCAAGACGAGAAGGAGCACATCCTGCGACTTCGCTGTCATCGAGTTATTCGTGTATGATGCCTTTTGTGCGGGGACTGTGATATCAGGAGAATAGCTAAAATCTCAGCATCGAGGTCTACAGTGGGAATATCTGATCACTGCTGCAGAAACGTTGAAGATTAGCTTTTCAGCTTGCGATGACCTCATTGACGTATGAAGTCAACGCCACCTTCCTTGTACGGAATTTGCGTCGATCAAGGAATCCTTCAGCATCCCACGATGTCACTCTATCACTCGGGTCTCATAGCTTTTTCTTATCTTCTCAGATCCGCTTGTCCAGCGTCCCACATGAAACGGCACGTTCGCAAGACCACTTGTTGTTAGAACGAAGCACAACTGGGATATATTCAAGCTATCCATGTATGGAGAGGTTTGAATATGAATTAATGCATTGTCAAAATCCTAAGATCATTTCCATATCCGGTTAGTGCTTATGGCGCTTATCGTTGAGCGCTCGCACGGGTGATTTTGACAAGTCCTATTCGTAATCGAGAATGGACCTAGTAAGGGCGTGGGCGGCTAGTGTGAACCCTTGAAAATTAGTGGATCCTCGGATGGCCCCGCCACGTTCTACCCAGCGTTTGCGATCCAGACTCCAATCGAACGATGATAGATTCTTGATTTTGAGATTCATTGCTATACTTAATCTATTTGGAATACTAAATCCACCTACATTATCTAGCCAGGTTTAAAGTCTCACAACTCTCGGCACTTGAAGGCTTTCAGATCTGGTTTGCCGTTCTGGATTTCTTGAATATCTTCGTCTGCCATAAGTTGACTTATCAGGTAGTGCTAGAATCTTCAGAGCTATTGATGAGCTGTATACGTTTACATTGTCCGATTTGAGCTCATATAACGGATAATTGTCAACATAATGGAAATTGCATGGCGAGGTCACCTCCTGCCACAGGAAACTTCCCTGCTTGTCGTAGATGTGTTCAAAAAAATACCAAATGGCGAAATGCCCCGCGGCTTTCAAGGGGGTCAGATTAATGTATCTTCTGAGTCTTCTTTTCCTTTAAAATTCCTCGTGGCGCATCTTGCGGCGAACGATTGTGTTGTTCGACTCCTGCTTCCAACTGTCGGCGGATATCTTGTTCAATCGGATTTTTTGGACAGGCGCCTAGTTGATTGCAACAATGTTGTGGAGGTGCAGACTTTCATCTCGCTTGATCAATACCTCAAAATTGTTGACATTGATGCTTGTAATGTGCTCGACATTGCCGACATCTCAGAAAATGCTGTCGGAGCCATGGTCATGTCATCTACAAGCAGAGATTGGTCCGATATCAAAGCTGCAAAATCCAACAGAGAGCTAAAGAGACGATTCTCTTTCGCATGGCATTGTACAAAACAGACCCCAAAGCGACGTTTGGCAGTGATCCGTCCTGGACCTCCCTCACACCTCCTTAGTCTCTCAAAGCTTGAAGATCTTGCGAAAACAGCTGCATCGCTCAACATTGTACTCGTTTTCTTTGATGACCCATGCCACGGGCTTGCAGATGCCGAGTGGGAACACCTGCGCGAAGATTTTGTCCCTATGGATATGGCTTTTACTGAGGACATGCCTCGGCGGATCGTCTCGGCAGTCTCCAACTACCCAAAACAAATCGATGGCATCATTGGCATGTACGAGCCTCTCCTCACTGTAGTTGCAGAAGCTGCCACCTTGCTAGGCTTCTCTACCTCGTTACCGAAGTCAGTGGCGGCGGCACGTGATAAGTATCAAACCCGCCAATTCGACCAGAGCCTATTCTGCTATCGCATACAAAGCGTTTCAGATCTTGAAGACGTTCTAGCTCGCTATAGAAGTGTTTTGCCACTATCTCTTCCGCTCATTGTTAAACCAGCGAATGGGTGGGCTTCAGAAGGTGTATGCAAAGTAACATGCGAGGAGGAACTGCGAGATGCAGTGATTCGACTATGGCAACCTCCTTTCTCGGACAAATATGGCCGGGACAGCCACGGCTTAGTTTTGGTCGAACCCTACGTTGATGGACCTGAAGTTGACGCCAATTTGGTGCTTGTAGACGGAGAAATCGTCTTCTTTGAAGTTAACGATGACTTTCCAAGCACCGGCGATAGCGACGGACAGGGATTTATTGAGACCTTGAATGCCATGCCCTCTGCCTTGCCAGAGAATGAGATGGACGCCCTCCGCCTCAAAGTACATGCTACAGTCCTAGCCATGGGCTTTAGGACTGGCATGTTCCATGTGGAAGCCCGAGTTCACAATTCCACCTATGATTTCGTCTTAGGGAAAGACGGTGTCCTAGACCTTGAAGCGAAGCCGGAGATTGAGAACAGCAAAAGTGCAACTCCTACAGTCTTCATACTAGAGATCAATCCGCGACCACCAGGAATGCGGACGCATGCAGCTGTTGCCCGAGCATACGGGGTCTCTTATCGAAGTGTAGCGCTGCTCACCGCAGTGGGAGATCACGAGCGATTGCGGGCGCTGACGGTTTCTTTTATTGGTGGCGCACAATACCACATGCAGGTCTTGTTCATAGCGGCACAAAAAGGTGGTGTATATCAATCTGGGGACATCTGTTCCACCGTATTAGAGCGTGAGCCAGAACTACGCGGTCATATTATGAAATGCATGGGATTTTTGCATAACGGACAAGAAGTTCCTGATCCAAGGGTTCGGACAAGCGGCATCGCATGTTTCTGGATTGCTTCTCGGGAAGGGAGGAGAGAAGCTCGTTTGATTAGTGAGAGAATTCAAACCTTAGTATGGGAGATTACGGACGGCTTTTGAATCAAGCTGTAGACTCCCAGCGACAAAATTACGTACCATGATTCTGAACAGAAGACGGTTGATTTATTAGGTTTCAGCATCAACATTACTCCTCATCACAATCAGCGATCCGTGTTGAATTGAGATTGAGATCTTGATTAATACAGTCGGTACACAGGGGCTGGGTTGAGTATCAAGAGTCGTTACTATCTGTGGGTTCGCTGGGTTGTTGGCTGGCTCTGATGGATGGTTAGAGGATATTTCGGCAAGATATACCTGTACTTCCGGTCCAAGCACCAGGTTCGAACCATAGATAGCATTATAGAGCCAAAGAAACTCACCAAAGCTTGAGAATTTGATGTCTATATCCTAGAGAGCTCATATAATTGTCAGCTTTAGACATTACAGAGGTAGAATTCCATTCTGATAATTGCGTCAGTTCGTGACAAATGTCATTTCTGGAGACACGCAAATATCTCTCCTTCTTGAGCCATTCTCACAATCGGCGAGATTTGTGAGAATTCACGAGCATTTCCGTAGGCAAAACCAAAAACAGATTTTTTGCTCGTGATATCAAGAATAGGTTCCAACTGGGTTGAATTAATTTTGTGTGGAAGCTTGCTTTGAGAGAATTATTAATTCTGCCGGCAGTCACAACAAGACTGATTATTAATTGGAAAGGCAAGAAGAGGGTAAAAAGGTCACAAATTTTCAGATGTGCAACAAAAAATATTTTGGCGAGTTTCACCGCCCACGTGCTGATGTGGCAGAATGACATTTTTGTGACAGCGCGGGGTAGCATATACACGGCTAGGAAAAAAATAGTTTCATGCGATATATATACTACGTAGGTATGAAAGGATATCTATAGATCGGGAAAGCTTCCTTTCTCACTAGAAAATTCCTTCAATCTATTTATTTTGTGTCCGGGAGCTTTCAACTCAGAGTCAATCCATCAGTCAGCTTATGCTTTTGGCAGAAGTGCAATTCAGAAGTCTGCGAGGTCTCCAATTGCAAGCAGGCGCGTGCAATGCTGGTGATAAACAGCTCAACTCTCTTGCATATATCCAGCAAACAATGAGATATCTTATACAGATCAGCATCAGTTCTTTACAGCAGCAAGTATGCTTCTGGGTTGAAGTTAAGCTCGGATTCAAAACATCCTATCTGATACATTTCTGTTCTAGCAGCATCGTTCTTGTCTACCCTCATCCATCATTATCACTACGAAGCTGAGGGAAATATTATTTTTCAAGACAAAATTGTCCATCTGCGGCTACAAGACAGCCAGAAGTAAGCCTACATTTCAGTTTATTATTGTGCTACCGACTCTGATCCTCCTAATACAACAATGGAAATCTATATCTCCAGGTCATGAAATACACAGTTGTTCTTTCACAGATGCTAGTTTTTTTGAGGTTGGGCTGCCATTTCTTCGTTCTCAATCTGTCAAGTAGGAATTGCTGTGTTATAGGGCCACATTTCCAATGATATGAAACTGAAGCCCCTAATTATGATTTGTGGCATCATGACTGTGGTGGGCGTCTTGCTGTTCGGATTTTCTACGCAGTTGTGGATAGTCCTCGTAACTTTGGCTATTATAGGTCCGAGTAATTGAGATGCTGGAGTGACGAGTCTACGAAGGCGATTAGAGGTAGAGTTATTTTCACATTCCTTGCTCTTTCGCTCGAGATTTACATTGCTTGAAGCAACCCCAAAACCTCGCATTTTCAATTCCATTTGGACTCAATATTGGTAGACAGTAGGTCTGATTCTGAGTGGTCACTCGCGGCACATCCATATCATGTTGAGTCTGGAAAAGCCATATGGTGATAGGTTTCTTGAGAGGTATCCTTATGCGCTTCCTAACCTCATTGTCACCATCTTCTTCTTCATTAGCTTGTTTGTCGTAATTTTCGGGTTTAGAGAAACATTGCAGAGGAGAAAAGAGAAATTTGATAACGGAATTGGTGAAAAAAAAAAAAGGAATGTTGCGGCAGTCAGTGGGTTCTACAATAGACTGAGGAGAGAAAAGGATTAGAGGGACAAGAAGAAGACGAGTTGGAAACCGCTCCTCTACTATCAGTCGAAAACTCATTGTTGCCACCTATCACTAACACTGTTGAAGTCACCTCTCAAGCACTTGAAAATTCTTCACTGAAGAATCTTCAGTGCCAACCTGGACGCAATCCTCGGATCGATGAACTGTCATGTACATCATTCACATGATTTATTATCTGTGCACTCATTGTCATATGATACACTGATATCTGTTTTCGTAGCTCTTTCTGAACAATGCCCTTTTCACCCAAAAGTCTCCTTCCCTTTAATTTCAATGGCGGCTTCAATTTCGGTACGTTTTCATTACCTATCATCTCTTCGCAAAGGAGCCATTACTAAATAAACACAGACACCGCGGAGATTGGCCATAGGTTTACCATCTTCGGGTTCTCCTATATTTTCGTCTCCCTTTGCTAATCGATCTTCTCAACAAAAATTACCCGCCGTCCTCATCTTCCACTACTCATGCAGTCCTTCGCAACTCTCCTCCTTCGCCCTAGAAACTCTACCTTCCTCAATGCCGCATTCACGCTAAAGGTGATATAACAGAAATTGCGTTTATTTCTAGCAGTATCCTTGTCGCGAGATCATGCAAGATTGATAATGAAAGTTTTAGAGTCAATGGTTTGCACTATAGCGAGGGCATCAGCGAGGACTACACGGTCTCTCAGGGTCGGGAGTATGCAGAATTTTGGGTGGCCGGGTAGAGTAATAGGATTGGGATTTTGGGGAGGTCTAGCTCTGGTGGTAGTGCTTGCTTTATTGCCTCTTTAATCGATGACGGAGGATTGGGAAATTTTCCGTATTGTTGTGATGATTCCCTCCGGATTTATGATATGCATACTATGTAGAAATTTAGATATGGAAGATTTCCGCAACCTTATACCCACTCGTCTTTCTTCAAAATTAAAAATCTCTAATATATATTGTGTCAAAGTAAACCATCGCCAACAGAGTCTCATTAGTCCAAAAAGAGGAACAATTAATCAACCACGAGTCAATACACCTTACCCAAACCCAATATTCCAAAAAGTCTTCAAAGCTTCCTGCTTTGCTACGAAAAGTACCGCATCTACACGTTCTTCATCACAGCCATCCTACCTTCCAAATCATGTAATTGATATCGTTTGACCAAAAGAAACAATTTCACTCACATCGCGATATCTTGCGTCTATCATCGAATTCTCATATTATACAGTGTTGAAAATGTGAAAAGGCCCCTTGAATTCCGATTTTTACATTTATATCACTTTGTGCAGATAAAATATGGATGGAAATGAATAGGATTTCGATCTATAACCACAAGCTTTGACTCCGGCCCTTTCGGGTCTAAAAATAACAATGGGTTCGCTGAAGCCTTATTGTAGTTATTTTTCATACCCTTTAGGACCTATAATCAATTTGTATTGTATAGTTTATTAAATAATTATAACTTAAAACTTTTTTTATTAAATAATTCCGAATTTGAAGTTATTCAAAGTTCTCTTTTTTTTTTTGAAAGGATAGTGTAACGATACTGTACTGGAGGCAGCGGCTGCCTAAGGTTCGTCGGTTGGTAGTTATGGGTTAAGGCTTTATCACTGGTATTCACTTGGAAGTGAAGTCGTTACTAGATCAAGTAGAATGTAGGTAAACTAATTGATGAAACTATTCCGATTATATACTATATGTTTCCCAAGTGCTAGCCCATACTAGCTGGCTAGCAAAACTATCACATCACGTGATCCAACCGGAGCCTCAGGACACTAATCCTAGAACGATTCGTTTCCTAGGATAATTTAGCTCTTAGGATAATTGTCCTAGGACACTTGTCCTCTACCTATATGTCTGCCTAATCATTTATCCTAGGATAGTTATTATCCCAGGACACATTTTTGTTACGTTGTAACATTATAAACTAGGATCACGTGTTATAGGATCACATGAATAGTCTTGTGAGGGAGCGAGGGAGCGAGGGAGCGAAGGAGCGAGATTCGAATCTCGCTCCCCAGCTCCATCGCTCCAATGTTGGAATACGAAGGTCTATATAATCAAGATGGATTCCCTTTGTATAGAGCTTCATGCTCAAGATCAAGATCAATCATTTAGTATACTCTACTATTAGTTACGAATTGCATATCATTATTGTCATTACTTAAGTCCCTGCTTGACGCCTAGTTATAAACCACCTCGAGAGCCTAGAGCACTTCCACGTGATCTAGACGGCAAACCTCGTAACACATTGCTGGGAAGGGCTAGGCCTCTCTCTTCCTTTGTTATGTGTAAGATCCCCGTGACATTTTTATACTAAAGTCGCAATCAAAATGTTTCAGACTCTTTGAAGATCCTACAATGGTATTCTATATGGCTCTTATTGGCCGATTTATAGATTTTAGGTTAGGTAACTGAAGAAAGATCTGAGGATGAGATAAAGAATTGTGCTGCTTAGTTAAATACGCTAAAGACGCCGCTCATGTGACCCGCAAGGCAAATCACATAACACTCCCGTCTAGAACAAGGACTAGCGCGGACACTTGGCCTAAAGCATCCTATCTCCTCACAAACAACTCAACTCAACTCAAATTCCAACTTCGTCTCACACATGTTCCTTGGTCGATTCCACTTTTTCTTCAGGCTTACCTTTCTTTACGTTGAGTTCTAGCTCTGAAGGCTATGGAAAGCGATAAAAGTCGTGCTCTCGAAATTGTTCCAAATGCGGAACTTGTGCACCCTGGTCTTCCTCTAGTTGAGGCATTTCTCAACGATGCCGTGGATGGCGACCAGGCTGCAAGGTATCTGCTGGAAACATATGCCATTGACGGAGTTGACGTAGACTTTGCAAGATTTCTAAAGGATTGGAATGATTTGGTGAGACTTTGTAGGTTTTCTCCCCCAAATTGAATTGAGTGGGTACATAGCTAAGTAAACCCAAGTTTATGTGCAATTTTCTCATTCAAGTAACCTAGATTAGATTTTGAGAGAAAGAGTTGCGCGACGAGATGGATTCCAGTGTTGCTTGACTAGAGTGCAATGTCAAGTCTAAAGTATTTAGAATGTATATCCCATCCTTCCTCCGACCGCATTTTCTATACAAGAGGTAAAGACGACTCCGACAATATTTTGCTTGCAATTTTTAATCTAGTTATAGCAAAGATTGTATGATATGCTCGGTGCATTTATTGCGTCTTCCCATCGAGACCTACTCAAAGACAAAACTCTAGAAGATCAGATCCGAAATCATTGGACTTTGAGCAAGGATGCAGCGATACCCTTTCCCAGAGGGATGATTAGACTCGAAAGGCTAAAAGCAACAAAGGTTCAGGCGTCTTTTTTTTTCTTGATCATATCCACGCTAATTGTGTACAGTATGATATCTTGTTTAATAATATTGGCAGCGATCCGGCTATTTATGAGGGTTCCTGATACTACAATTGGAAATGTGATCTAGCTGATCGCTCAAACTCCGGGATTGAGAGTCCTGACCCGGACCTTCTTGAAATACATTCCCAGTTCTCTAGGGCTTTAAACTGGACTGGTGTTGCTACCAACATAGATAGTCATCCACGCTTACGCCCAAGTCGAAATAAAGATAGGAATCCTTTCATAAAATCGATTACTACTGCTTTGCTCGCTATATGGACCAGCTTCCCTAAATTTATCCGGTTTCAAACATACAGAATTTTGAGAAGCGCTGGATCATATCTCTATGAGCCTGCCACCTTCGGGGTCCAGTGATTGCCATTTGGAATGTACCTCAAATATGGACCGGAAGTCCACACAGACCGGCATACCGCAGAATTTAACGCCTTAAAAGTCGTGCAAGATCGAATTTCCATTCCTGTTCCGTATCCCATCGATCTCTTACTCTCACCCACTGAGTCCTTCCTCGTCACTTCCCGCATCGAAGGCGAGTCAGTCGGCACCGCTATAGACGAATGCACTGACGAGGAAATGCATCGAATCGCCCAAGATTTACCTTCCTGCATCGCAGAACTACATACCATCAAAATGGACCGTGAATCGAAGTACTCCATTACCAACGCAGCTGGCGGTCCTTGTTTGGATTATCACATCTCTACCGAAATAGTAGGACCTTTTCACGACGAGAAAGAATTTAGCGAGTCATTACAGCTGGGGATTCTTCCTGGTTTGATACATCGTACTGATCATGAGATAATTTTTGCGCACGCGGATTTGAATATGAGGAATATTATGGTTAAGGATGGAAGCATTTCCGGAATTGTGGATTGGGAAAATGCGGGGTGGTATCCTGAGTATTGGGAGTTCACCAAGTGTCATTTTGGGGTTAGGTTTCATAAGAGATGGTTGAAATTGATAGGAGCTGTGTTTGGGGATAAGTATCAAGAGGAGTTGGGGATTAAGAGACAGTATTGGGTATATCAAACCCTATAGGAGTATATGAGTTTACACAGTAATGTCAGATGACATCACATTCACGTGATTGTCCACATATGCGCGGGGTTTCTTCGGGAACCAGTAACCAGTTTCACGAATATGATCAACACCCTTTCGATAACACCATACCAAACTTTGATATTCAGAACAAGATCTCCAAATAATTTTTCCTCGTGATACAAAATAGCTCCACTGAATAGTACATAGTACGGTCTATGTACACGTGCTTGTTACTCTTTAGCATATTCTTCAACATATGTGCTAGCTACCTAGGCTAGCTACTGTAGAATAATTTCTTAAGACAGAGAAAGCAAAGCCTTAGTAAATCAAATCCGGGGAAGTTTAAATCCAATCTACTCCGTACGGAGTACTCTATACTCCGTAAGCTTCAAGGGCCTGCTCCTAAATTTATTTCTAATATTCTGCAATACTACGGGGTAAGGTTATTCATAAGCCTCGTACAGCGTACTCTGTGGGATTATACGATTATACGACTATACAGAGGAATCCGAATAATAACCATCACACCAACTCGTAAAACTCGTATCAAGCCCTACTCTACTCGGTCCATTCGCATCACAGACAAAAACCGCTGACTCATCCCCCCTTACCCATACCTATGTAGGTATCCACAAGCCAAAGTCCGTAAGCGCATGCTCCATCCCAAGCCAAAGAAAATCAAGCAACGGGAAGACCGGGCTTGGCTCCTTGGCTCATTGGCCAAGACAGAAAAGACAAGACGGCTTCCGGCAAGGCGTGAATAAGCTTTACTAATGCTCAACCAAGGCTTTTATTTTTTTTGTCTAGGGATGTTTCCAAGACGGGTGTGTGTTTTGGTGTGTTGCTTGTTTATTGTTTATGACGATGCTGAGGAGTTATGTTCTATGAGGGAGGCCAAGATGTTGGTTGTTGTGTTTTGGGGAAGGATGTGCTTGATAGACTGATAGGTTGATTGATGGATTGATTGATTGATGGATTGATTGATTAATGGATGGATTATGGATGGATTGATGATGATACCTACCTAGGTCCTGAGAGTAATCTCGCATGGATATATTCATCGTCATAGATATACACGGAGTACAATCATGGCTCTACTCCGTCTCCGTAGCAAAATAAAATCCCAAATCCCAAATGCAAAATCACAACCCAGTTATTGTTACACAGCCCTGCCAGTCCCATCCAAGCTATCCGTTCGACGCCGAAACCCCGGAAAAAGAGAAACATGAAGACGCATTAGGTACTCACTACTACCACTCAGTCATTTCAGAATTTAATTGTGGAAAATTACGTATTTTCATATCATTAATCAATAAAGGGTCCATTTACTTCCATGCATCTATTCCCATTCTAGAAATCTGATACGCAGCAAGATATCCATAACAAGCAGTACAGAATACAAGCATGACAAGCACCACAAGCATAGCCTCTGTCAAAGCCTCTCTCAAGCCGAGTCAAAAAAGAGTGTTTTAAATGTGGCGGGTGATTTTCTCTCCAGATCATATAAATCATACCATATGATTGGTTGACGATAAAGTAAACAAGGATATGGTGTACTCCGTACTGAAGAGACCACAAGGATATTTCCAGCCCTGTACTTACCGCAAGGGAAAACATGGTACGTTTGGGCGGTGCAAGTGTATAAAAATAACAGAACCTGGATAAATTGTGAGTCCAATGATACCTAGGTAGCAATGGAAAGTGTTTAGTGAATGGCTGAATGGCTGCATCGGCCCCAGTGGTTTTACTTGTTTTACATTTTTACCTTTTGAGCTTGGACTCACTCTTCTTATTCATTCATTCACTCACCCTTTCTCTCCTGTTTTGTTTTATATCTACCTGTCTAACCTCTCTTTTTGCTATTTATTTACTTATTTACTTCTGTACATTACTTTAGATCTTCGAATACCTACGAAATCAACTCAAATCAACTCAACTCAACTCAATCAATACAATACAATACCATCAAAATGCCTTTCGAATCTCAACAACCTCAAGCTCAACAAATGGAGATGTCTTCAAATGGTCCTATTACTGAACAACCTGTTTGTTTTCCCTTTTCTACTCATTCTACTTTTATTTCGCATATCTCTCTACATCTTATAGATTTTATCGCGAAATAAACATAGACAAAAGTACAAATAAATACTAACATACTCACAGCGTCAAAATGAGGGAATGAGCGCTGATGTCTCTATGCGCGGTGGTGGTGGATGCTGGTACGTTTCCTCCTTGCATTCCTATCGAATTCCCATCCTCCTCCCTCCTCCCTCTTTCCCTCTCCTCTCCTCCCCTCCACTACAAAAACCAAACGAAAACAAACCCAAAAACTAACCCCAACCCCCCAACAGCGAAGCCTGTCTCGCCTGCTGTCTCCTCGACGAACTCTGCGCCTGTCTCATCTGCGAAGAATGTTGTTGTTAAATCAAACAACCACTTATTCGTTTATTCGTCATTCGTTCATATATACACATATAAATACGTACATACAGAATACCTAGTACTATCACAGTATCTAGTATTATAGTATATGTATATATATATTGTATATATCACGACGAACGAATCTGGAGAGAGGAAAATATGATTGATACCCGGTGATCCATGACATGGATGTGGGATGTGGAAGGAATGGGAATGATGAATTTTTGATGTTTTATGTGGATGACGATGAAAGATGAAGATAAAGTGGAGGGGATGAGTGGAGAGATGGTGGATGAAAGATAATATTATGCCGTTACATTACATTACCAGAGTTACAATACAATGCCAGATTTTTTACGAGATGCGAGGACTTTGGTGATTATTTCTGTGTTTTACCTTGTGTTTTTTGTTTATCGTCTTCTGTTCTTTGGATTCCATTCCTGATATTCCATTATTCCCTCAGTGTCAAATCCTCATAAGTTTACATATAAGCAATGAGAAATACTAGGTACAGTATCCATTCCATTCTTTTCCATTCCATTAATAACGCACAATTCTCCCTCCTTCCCCCCTTCTCTCTTCACCGCTCCAAAAATCATACAACAACCATTAACCACAAACCAGAACCAAAAATATCTAGCCCTCAATTCTGTTCTTCAGTATAAAGTATGTATAGTAATTACTAGATTATTCATATATGATAAAGTACTTTTATATATTAATTTTTTTCAAAAAAGAAATATAAGAATTACAATAATAAATAATAATAACGTGGTTTATCAGTAACCGGAACATATCAGTAACCGGAACACTTTTACCTCAATTACCCATATTCCATTAAAATAAAATTACAACAACACCATAAATTAGGATTGAATTATATACAATCTAAAGATCAACTAATGCTGGATCGAACTGACAAGTTCGTGCATTATGTAAAGTACTACCGCATTTGCTACATCGTCGTATAATAGCTTGCCTCCTTGCTGAAGAACCATCATTTGTATATTCATCGCATCGTATCTGATCTTCTACATTCTCTTGTTCTGATATACTATGCCCATCTTCTACTGAAAGTGCTCCTCCTTTTCGTATTAAAGCTTTTCTAACTCTCCGGAGTTTACTAAATGCTTCATTTGCTTTGCAGAGACTATAAACCTTAGCAGTTAAAAGCGTATTCGCATAAGCTAGGAGCTCTATACCCTTAGCTAAGGCTGCAACTATTTCAAATATTGGAGTAGGTGAACTCTCTTGATGCCGAGCTATACGACTTTTCACTAAAGTGGATTGGGAAAGAGCTTCAGTTGGATTGTGAGGTGTTTGAGATTGTTATATATCAAGATCGGCTGATATTAATCTATCTAATGGAGTTCTTATTCGAATATCTAGCTTTGAAAGTACAATTTCCGGATTAAATGGGATTAGCCCAGCTCCGCAGAACCCAGCTTTACCATTCGATATAGATATTGCTTCGATATATGCAGCTTTGAAGGCTTGAAAGAACTCGGTTTTGGTAATATAAGTGATATGCGCCTTGATAAAGTTCTCGATTTGTCGATTATATGAATGCTTTAAAGGATCAAAACAACCGATATCGAGTGGTTGAATTAAATGCGAAGAATGAGGTAGTAAACTAAGTAATATAATGTTATGTTCCTTGCAGTATTCCTGAAATGCTGGCGATTTATAACTTTCATGCCCATCAAGCACTAGCATTCGATATCTACCCACTTTCCTACTTTCAGTATGCTTGTTGAAGTGCTTAATCCATTCAAGACCTATCTCATTATTTGTCCATTCATTAGTAGTAGGTTTAATAAGCCAATCGTATGGTAAATCGCTTTCGGTATACCAATTTGAGAGGTGGTGTTCGTCTTTTACTATCAAAAACAGAGGTATATTGTGACCTTCTCCATCAACACAAATAATCGCTGTAGCCCATTCTCGATTGCCTGGTTGTATAGCTTTGCTTTTTCCATATCGATCAGCTTTAGTAACTACTATATATGGTGATATTTGTCCCATCATAAAGCCTGTCTCATCGAAGTTGTATAAATCGCAATCTAGAATACTATATTTGGCCCGTATATTCGATATTAATCGAAACCATCTTTCAATAAACTCTGAATCTTTGTAGAGAGTTCTTTGAAAGTCATAAATGCAATTAAAACGTGTCTTTAATTTTGTATGTCGTTTCACAAAGCGATGAGCCCAGAGCTTTCCAACCTTCTTCGCACCCCGCGTTTCGAGTATATAATTCGCTATATCTTCCATATCACTTATTCGAGGACTAAACCCTCTCTCGTCCATATCAATTATATATTGAAAAAGCGATTTCTCCTCTAATTCCGTCATTTTACAATGTATTGATCGAGATCCAGCTTTCGGCGTTCGACCGGCTATTCTGTAGGTAAGGGTAGTATGCGGTATATTATAGATTTTAGCAGCTCTTCGCACACTTAGTTTTTTGGATGAAGCAATAGCTTGAATGGCTAGATTAATTTGCGACTCTTGCATATTGATTTGAAAGGTTGAATATGGATTTAACGCGTGTTAAAGTTGAGAGGTGGTAATTGAGGTAAAAGTGTTCCGGTTACTGATATGTTCCGGTTACTGATAAACCACGTTATTGAAATATTGATTACATAAACCACTAGCTTGGCACTAGTGCCTCGGCAAGGGGGATCATATATATTCTATAGTTTTTTACTTTTATAATTCTAGCTCTTTAAGTAAATCAATAGGAATATATTGTTACGATAGTAACAACTAACTAATTAGGAGAGCTTGGGCCTTGTGCAAAAGCGATCAGATTTCATCGAATTAATATGTGATCTGGGTCACTTTAAGATCGTATGTGCACGCACTGTCAGAAAACACGTGACTTGAAGCTTTTGGAGCTTAGGATCCAAAAGGATCCAAGGGAGCATGAATATCTATATAACCAAGATGGATTCCCTTTGTATAGAGCTTCGTGCTCAAGATCAATCATTTAGTATACTCTACTATTAGTTACGAATTGCATTATTGTCATTACTTTAAGTCCCTGCTTGACGCCTAGTTATAAACCACCTCGAGAGCCTAGAGCACTTCCACGTGATCTAGACGGCAAACCTCGTAACATATATATTAAAACTTCACTTTCCCTGTACCCCGCCACAACCGACTAATAAATAATAAATAATAAATAATAAATAATAAATAATAAATAATAAATAATAAATAATAAATAATAAATAATAAATAATAAATAATAAATAATAAATAATAAATAATAAATAATAAATAATAAATAATAAATAATAAATAATAAAAGAAGGGAGAGGAGGTAGGGTTTGATGATGATGTTACGAGGTTTGCCGTCTAGATCACGTGGAAGTTCTCTAGGCTCTCGAGGTGGTTTATGTCACGATTCATTAATTCACGTGACCTCGAGGACCTTGAGGACCGAAGGGTCCATAGGGTCCTTGAGGACCTTTTGGTCCTTAGGGTCCCAGAGATCCTCAAAAGATGATATAGGGTATATAAACATTCATTTAGTCTCGTAGTTAAGGAGCTTCGTGCTCAATTTAGTTATCAATTAGTTTACCTACATTCTACTTGATCTAGTAACGACTTCACTTCCAAGTGAAGACCAGTGATAAAGCCTTAACCCACAACTACCAACCAGACGAAACCTTAGGCAGCCGCTGCCTCCAGTACAGTATCGTTACAGTTTATAAGTAGGCGTCAAGCAGGAACTTAAATAATGACAATAATGATATACAATTCGTAACTAATAGTAGAGTATACTAAATGATTGATCTTGATCTTAAGCATGAAGCTCTACACAAAGAGAATCCATCTTGATTATATAGACCTTCGTATTCCAATATTGGAGCGATGGAGCTGGGGAGCGAGATTCGAACCTCGCTCCCTCACAAGACTATTCATGTGATCTTATAACACGTGATAATAGTTATAATATTACGACGTAACAGATGATTGTTGATTATAAGAGTGAGTGGGGGTGGGCGGGGGTTAGGTGATGAAGGTGGAGGCGATGGAGGGGTAGAGGGAGTGGTAGAATGAATAACTGTTGGGTTTCTTGAGACCAGAAAGAGCATCAGATTGAATTGATTCATTCTCTAGCTAAGCAGTTAAGCTGCGAGTATGTATTCAAAAATGAAGGAATAAGGTTAGGTATTCAGCCTTCGGAATTAAAGTGCTTTGAAATCAAAATATTGAAAGCAAACAAACAGTATACCAAAAAGGAAAGAATGAATTAAAAGTTGAGTTTTGTTTGCTCCTTATATGCATCATGCAATATATATGCATATGCTGCCAAGATCCCAGGAGGTCAACAATAACAGATGATATAGTATTATATTAATATTGAAATAAAATCATAATCATCTACAACTCAACTATCGCGATCTCACAAATCTCCTTCCTGCCTAGGTAGTGTGTCAGAAGGTAGATAGATATCTATAACCCCCTCCCTATTTCCTTCAGTCAATTAAGCTGGTTTGGTTTTTCTTGGCTGGCTGGTATAGCGGTACTTTCCCGTTGTCGAGGGATTTTGTTATTTATTGATGGGTGTTGATTGTGGAGTTTTGCGCCGGATTGGATGTGGTTGTATTTTTTCAAGGGGAAGAAGGCGGATGAGGAGGGTTTGAGTGGGGTGTTGGGTATTGTGGAGGTTTTATGTGGGTTCTTTTTTGGTGTTTCGATGTTGTTGAGAGAATAAGGGGAGGATTTTAGGATGTTGAGGATATTATTCTATAGTTTGAATAAAGAGGTGGATAGATGGAGAGGTGGACAGGGAAAATAAGATGTTTTGGTGTGGATGAGAGAAGCGGAGAGGGCACTGATTACTGGAAGTTAAAGATCTGGCGAGAGTAAATATCTATCTTGCCCTTCTGCAGTTTTATTCAGCGCGGCGCAATCTTCGCCGCAACTTGGATAGTATCTAATTAACAGCGCAAATGTCGATATATGTCTAGACCTGCATCGGGAGACCAGTGTTTCGAAGTAAATCAGCTCATAACCAGACGGGCGAAGTATTCCGTTCAAATCCTTATTACTGTAAGTACTTCAAGCGTGTCCTTGTACCTTGATTATTGATTTGGGTATCTCAATAAATAAATGGAGTTGAACGAATAGTCCGTTAAATTGGGAAGTCCGTTATATCAAACTGCAGCCATGACGTATTTTCTTCTCGTCTAGTTGACGTGTTTCTGGATGCGAATTCCTCACTGATTGACCAATGTGTCCAATAATCCAGACTATAAAATAAACTAAATGTTTTAAGTTAAAAAATCGAGTTAGAGTCCATTAGAAAATTAAATAACTCGTTTAGGGTAATTTATATCCCCAACAAACCAGATCACAATTCAAACAAATTAAACTTTTAAATTAAATAGGATTGTTATATAATTTGAATATTATATTATATTATAATATTATAATTATTAAATATAGTTATATTACATTATATAATTTTCGATTTTTATATTAATCTTATTTCATCCAATAATCCAAATTATAATTTAGACTTTTTAATATTAAATTATTTAATCCAGACTTTTTATATCAAAACTCCTCCGATAGTCCATCTAGTTCAATAAAATCATAGATTAGCCATCCGGATGGCTATCCGGACGAAACACGGGGCAGATTATTGGACACACTAACTGACTCGAATATTTTCGGAAGAACTTCAGTCATGAAGTTCGATTAAAATATAAACAAGACAGAATAATCTGACGCTAGTGAGCCAAAAACATAATTATATTTAACATGAGAAGAGGCATATCAGTAATATCATTGAAAAGTACTACAGATATAGTAGATTTATACTTAGAGTGGAAAAAACCAAGAGTTATCATTTTCAAATGTTGATAAAACAAGAATAGAATAAAGCAAGATCTTGATAGAGACAAAAGCAGAATCCATTGAATGATTAGCAGATAAATGTATGTAATATACTGGTACAATGAAGTTTAAAAATATATTAGTTAGAAGAATCATTGATCATCAACCCAATAGGTTTTGATTTTTCATTGAGATCTAACTTACTAGAATGATAAATATCAAGGATTACCACATCAGATCATGAACTTTTATTCACTTAGTTTTTTCAGACTTTGCAGAGGTTTCCCAACACTTGTTCGCTTCTAGCCACATGCATGATCAAATAAAACAGGTTTAATTGGTAGTTGAGTGACTATGCAGCTCCGTTCTTGCTTCAGGTGAATCGTCGCAAGAGCTGATTCTAGTGCTCCTCATTCTTCGATCTAAGCCATCACTTCTTCTTCTAAAAACACTTCAAACTTCCAACCTCTTCTTCTTCCCATCTACCACCATCCTCTTTCATTACCCTTTCTTACCTACTCCTATCTTGTTCTTACCTTACTCTTACCCTAACCTCCCTGTTACTCTAACCTTACTCCTACTCTTACTCTCACTCTTACCTTTTTACCTTGACAATCAACAAATCAAACTTCAATCAACCATGGCAAGTAAACAATTCTTCCAGAGCTCAGTTCAATCCTAGAAGTCAAGTTCGACACATCACTCTGCCTACTACCACCCGCAATGCTAACGTATTTCTCTTATTAATAGTCGAGAAGAGATTTAGTTCCACGTCTTTCCCTGTTCCGTCCTCAGAGCTCCAGGTCATGGAATCCACCCTAGGTACATGCACCTCCTTGGTATAAAACAACATTAGCACACCTTCTTACCATGATACAGTCTCACGCACCAATATCGTGAATTGGGCCACTCGGGTATGATGTATGGTTCTTATGGTCCTACCTCTCTTATGATGTACGATCCTTATGGATCTACGGTAAGGTATGTACCTTGACTTCATTCTTTTCAGTACATTCTCCTCAACAAGACAATAATTGTATGTGTTGGGAACTTTTGTGGTTTACCCAAACCCCTTTTTTTGCTTTAGTTCCTTTATTGCAAATCATTGGTTATTACGCGAAGAGAAGTCTTGACTAGGTCACATCAAACTTTCTTGCTTAGACAACCTACCGCCTTCCTTTATTATACTGCCTTTCCTTCATCTCATCTTGATACTTCAAACAACTTCAGATGTACTGGTTCGACTTTCATGACATACGGCACTCAAGTCTGTGTCACACATGGGAATAGCTTCCCAAATGCTCAATTTGCGCATTGACATATTGTTTCTGAGCAATAAATGGCCTCATCTCATCAAAAGTAATGATCAAGAGTGATTCAAATATCAAAAGCACTTTCTTGCACACCTGCATGGAAATATAATTCAAACGCTCTTACTGAGCAACTCGACTTTCACAAACACATAACGCTTTTCCACATGAGTGATATCCCAAAAGCTCAGTGAGCATTCTGCAACTATCGTGAAATACCAAATATGATGAACGCAAACTGAACGCATATGAAACTGCAGTCGTATGTTTTTTATTTGTTTGCTTTGTCATGGTGATGAATGTTTCCCTGCATTCAACCTCTAGATCTACCCATTATTCGCTGGTGCAATTCACTGTTCCCTCGAATACCAAGAGCATTTTCGCATATGCCGAGCGGCTTCTTCACCAAGATTGATTCTTGATCCATGACCCATTCACTTCACCTTCAAGATCAATATTATTTCTTCTACTTCAAAGAAAAAAACTTTTCAACTAGCGAGGCTCCGCGGTCTATTTCCCCACTATCTTAAATTCCTTTCTTATTACTCTCACTACGGCAGATACAAGTTGCTCTTTCTTTCTTTATTTCCACAATAGTAGCAGATACAAGTCAAATCCTGAAGTTCCATCTCACACTTTATCAATCTTTTTGGGGCTCGCACACACTCTCAAGTCCTTTCAACTATACCTTCAACTACTATCACTATCATTCATAATCAAAACTACTATTGCTAACCATGTCGCACCTACCGAATAGATCACGCCCGTCTCGAAAGCCAGCCGAAGCCGATCTTCGCGGTACAATGAATCGATCAGAATCCATGGACGGCTCTGCTCCACATTTCGTTCCTTCCCAGCCAAAGCACAAAAATAGAGAAAGCATCTCAAGCTCTGGCCCCTCCGTCACCAGCCCACCATCAACCAGGGGTTGCAGAGCAGAAGTTATCGACAATCGAACTGTCTCTCAAAGTCTTCAGGACTGGATGGAGAATAGAGTCTCAGATATCATCAAGACAATCTGTGACACTACTTCTATCCCACAAAAAGTTCAACACAAGGTCAGCATCGAACTTCAAAATCTTGTCGTCGACTTCGCCGCTCAACAAGTCTTTGTTACTAAAACCGAAGAACAATACATGAACCAAGTCAAAGATCTCGAGCGCCAGCTTCTAGAGGCCTCCAGCGATTTCTCAGATGAGTCTGGTGAACCAACCCGTTGTGAATTACTTGCCATCATTGCTTCTCAACGTGAGGAGTTACAAGTCAAGGAAAATCAACTTAATGGAAAGAGAATCCTTTGGCTTGCATCACATCCACCAGCTTCGCAACTGAGATCATCAGAGACCAATCCTTTCCGCCTTCCAGGTGGCAGCAGTCGATCCCACTCCCAATTACAGTTGGAAGCTCCTCCTTCATTTAAAAATTCGCATTCTGGATATCGCAGTGGTGGTCCAACATCGATGACACGCCTCTCGAGAGCTTCCCTGGCAGCAATGGAGAATGCCGCCATTGGAGACCATATGTCACCTACACAGGAGGAATACGATCGAGTCAAGGCATCCGTATCTGTAGCAGTTCCCGATAGTGCTTTGGAGAATGTTCCATCCGTACTTAATATGCGAAACACTATGCGTAGCGAGACCGAGACTGTCATCAATCACCGCCGTTCGCAAGTTATGCCATTGGTTCCATATAAAAGCCAACCTTCCAATGTCCATGACACGGGTAAGGAGTTCACAAACGACTTTGGCAATCTCTTTGCCTCTATGGAAGGATGGTGCCGTGAATATGCTTGCGTTCCGAATCTTGCAGGAGATCGCAATATTGCCAGCACAAACCAGGAGCTTTGGAACTACATGATGGGCGTTACTTACCATGATCCTCAAAGTGCACATAGCCACGTCATGGCTCTTTTGGGTAACGAGAACACCCGTTTCTGGTTTGTCATGAGATTGGCGCTCGAATATTGCTTCAAGAAAATCATGTGCATTGAGACTTATGAGAAGTATAATCAAAGTGTTAAGGAACATTTGATCAGTCTTAGAGAGCGTCTTGCTGCGAAGCCTAGTAAGTTTTATCTATTAATTCTTCCTGTTACTCTGCAAATTACTCATCTGTTATTTTCAGTTATTTCAAATGAAAAACGACAAGCTCTTATTGCTGAGCAAACCGCATTGATCAAATCAGTCATCAACTCACCGGATTATGTTACATTCCGCAACGACATGCTTGTTCACCATACGAAGAGACTTCGAGACATTCTTGGTCCTTTAATGAACCAAGGATGCTCACGCACAAAGGCCGGTGGAGATCTCGGTGTAATGATCATTTCCTCTATGGAAATATGTGCTAAGATGTGGACTGCCAAATTGAGCTTCCAAATCGTCTTTCCGGATCTTCTCGGCGTTAAGTTTACAGCTGGTACTATGACTCCAAAGGATCATCCTAGGGATAATCCCTATCAGTTACAGACAAAACAAAAGCGTCTCAAGCTAGTCATGACTCCTTCTATTACCATGCGTGATGATAATTCTATCACGATCATCGCCAAGAATCTTCATAAGGCAAATGTCCTTCTCATGACCTAAGTGTACTTCGTACAGTATTACGCACAGATTTCTCGCATATAGATCGTCATCTTTCCAACATCCATCATTCTGGTCCGACCGATGAGCCATTGTCAACGTTATCTATTCAGAGCTTCGATCAGCGTATGATACTGCACTTAGTTACTACCTACTTGTTCTTTCCCCTGAAAGCTCTATTGTGGGAAGCAATCTTACTACAACTTTATCCTCGACTCTTCATCTTCTTCCAAAGCATCTCTGGAGATCCTTTGGTTCACGATACCATATCACTTTTTCAACCACAAAATTCACGCATATAATCTTAAAAAAAAGTTATCCACGTTCTCGTTTTCATTTTCCTTGGCACGCATTCAATTTCAACTCTTTCATCCGGCGTTCAACATAAATACCCATTTTCATCTAAGCTTCCACGTCTTTTCTCCAACTTCGACGTCGAAGTCAAATTTCAAAGCTTCGATCTGTACCGTAGTTTCCTATCAACGTCTTTATTTCCTCGCGCAGGCACAGTCGATTGGTTTCCAAACTTGGCTGCTCGATGATGATCAATTTTACTCTGGATATGAAAATATTTCTTCCTTCTTTCCTTTTGATGTTCATCTTCCGTTTTCCATAGAAGAGGATTTGAGATGCCTTGCTGCTCTGCTCGGTGGTCACTATTATCTTTCAGCCAATAAAAATATGGAAACTTGGCACCTACACATCTGGATATGGACGACATTCTTCATTCATCCTCTCTCACGCACTCCGCCACAAATTCCACTCTCAAGGACATATTATAACCAATCTACCTCCGAATCTTTTTTTCCAATCTGATTCTCGGAAATTCAGATATCTTCTCGCAAACAAGGATATACACGCATGAAGAAGTATCAGATACGCAGCGAAAAAACACTATTCTGGGCTTCGCTAGTTTTCTCCCCTCCTATCTATTTTCTTCCTAGAAGTAGATAAATTACACAATGAATATCAATGAGCCTCTTCATTCTCACTCATTTTCTTTTCATTTCTCTTTTCCCCCTTCTTTTCAGGTTGGAAGTTGATGAAGGGTTCACTGGTGGTTTTCAGGAAAGGACGGTTCTACGGGCACGGAAAAAAGTTTCTTTAATCTGGTATCTTTGTTTTCCAGAGATTTCAGCTATATGTACCTGCATTTTTATGCTTGGGCTTGGGGTACTTTTTGACTCTTTCTTGTGTGGGAGGTTTAGAGAATGGTTGGTTGGTTGGTTGGTTGATTGATTGAGAGATGAATCGGCTTGGATTTAAAGAAGGGTGATGGATAGGTAGTTATGGATGACAAGTAAGGAAGAAAAGAAGAAAGAAAAGAAAGAAAGGGGTAGATAGGATTTTTGCAGAGGAAATAAATCAATGGTTAAACTTTCATCTATGAGTTTTTATATTGTGTGTTATATATTGTGCAGATCTATTTATGATATACATCCTGCGATGATATGATATACTATGAGACACAAAAAAGAGAATATAAATAAAATATACAAGAAATGATGAACTAATGAATCTGCTATACAAATAAAATACCATCTATTACAAAAATATTAATATTAAATATCTATATCTATTCTTCTTTTTAGTCCTATCCTATTTCCGCATCCCATTTTCTATCTGTTACCTCTCTCTCTTTATCTTCTCTTCTTCCCTCTCCCTTCTTCTCATCTTTCCTTTCTCCACTCTCTCTACCTAGCCTTTACAAATTTCCATCCCACAATTAGATAGTGAATATTCAAATACATCTAAGAATCCCCAGCTACAGAGACTTGGCTTCCAGTTCCATCCGTTACAAAAAACTTCACTCCCATTCTCACTCTCACTCTCACTCTCCTATTACAAATTCAAATTCTTAATCGATATTACAAACAAATCACAAATCATATATCTAAAACTCAGCCAATACCAACTATATAAACCAACCAATCAATTATACCGATTACAAAGTATTGAACTTGGAGCACGGCTACAATAGGATAGGATAGGATAGGATAGGAGAATAAGAATGAGCTATTTCGAAAGAAGTAAATGAATAAATCAATAAAGTAAATAAATAGGAATCTATTGATGATTTTTATATTATAAATAAGAATCTTACTTAGAAGCTATATATTAGAGATTATATGATTACATTGTTGTTTAGTTTTATGTTTTTGTTTAGTCTTGCTTTGCTATTGGGACTCGGGAGGAGGAAGAAAAAGAAAGATAAGGAAGTGAATAGGAGGTTAAGCTTGAGAAAAGCGACGGATGGAAGCGGGATCAGTTCTATTGTTTTAGTGGTGGTTTTACGGAGTTAGTGGATTTATGATCATAGGTAACTAGGGATGGGATGGGATGGGATATCTTTTGATGGTGGTGATGAGATGAAGATATAGAGATGGGAGGGAAGAGTATTGAGGGGGGATTGGTGATATATGATGTACCTATCTATCTATCATGACCTGACCTCATGGAGATATTTGTGATTTAGTAGTGTACTGTTTAGGAGTGGGACGTTGGATGTGATAAATTAAAGGAGGGTGAGTTTTTGTTGACCTGAAGAATGATTATATGAACCCAATTAACCACTCCTCAAGAGTGGCGTCACTTTTGGGCAACAGTTATGAGCCCGGTTTGCGGTCCCATGGTCCAGTGGTATCATTTATAATTTCCACTACCAGCGCAACTTGCAATCATCATATTCTTCAGTAAAAAGTTACATTATCGATTATATCGCATCCAATGAGAGTTACTCCTAAAAAAACTCCAAGCGAGCGATCCCCATGCACCTCGACGGAACAAGCCTCTGAAGAGGGGTAGAGCCAATCAGATGCTCTCAGAACCCTACTCTTGCATACATGCCCCAGAGTCTAGAAAAAATGTTAGACAGTAAAAGGCAGAGGACTATGTTATCCGGCCAATCAACTCAGATCGGGTCAGCCAATCATATCCAGGAATAGCCTCAAAAAATAATGGCATATCCTGATTCGGCAATCCCTGAGGGGGAGTGTTGACCTGAAGAATGATTATATGAACCCAATTAACCACTCCTCAAGAGTGGCGTCACTTTTGGGCAACAGTTTTAGATATAGATAAGATTATAGATATATCAATATTGATATCTGAAATAATCTTTGATGAGATTTATATAATTTACTACTTATTTTAAATGTATAAATATCTAATTAGATAAAATATTACAACCCTTTAAATATACTTAAACGTGTTAAAAGGAATGACCTCACACAGGGAATAGTGGGAAGCTGATAGGGCAGAACTGAGGTAATATTGGTCTAGTAGGTTAATCTCTCTTCTAAGTTCTACGGAAGTGCGAAGCTCTCTGTAAGAGAGCTTCTCAATCTAGTCCTAACAGGACTAGTGCCCTGTGCACGTGCTACGCAGGAACCATTCACTTTAACAAATTACTCATTAATTATAAATAAATAAAAATCTTGACCTCGAGCTCTAGAGTTCCCGGTTCGGTAATATGTCATGTCTTAATAGATATCATGAAGAAGGAATCCTAGAGGAATACTAAAGTTTTCTTTTTTTATTATAATGCTTAAATATTATAAAAGAGCTTACTCTGTGTCTCGAAAACCATGCTTTTGTAACTAATATTTAGACTATGAAGAAAGAAAGAAAGGAAATTGTTAAAAGAATTAAATAGATAAATTGAATAGCGTCGGTCATATTAACGAACCTTGGAAGGAAAGAAATTAGAATGAAAAGAAAAAAGAATAAACCATTAATTCCTCTTATATTCTCCACTGGCAGGCTTGCTATCAAGTCTCTTAATGACCGAACCAAGTACAGCCTTGACGATTCCTTCTCCAGATAATCCTGCTTCGCTATTACGTCCATTCCATGTAACGGTATCTACCATATCTCTAATCTTGTATTTATGTTCCAAAGCATCATCAAGATCCTCCAATGCCTGTTTTGCCTGGGGCACACTTCCTACTTGAAAGAATTGGATTCCTACTTGGGTAAGTGGTGCGTCAAGTGCGTCGAGTTGTTTAGCGACTTTAACGATTTCTGACTCAGGATCGTCGGATGGGTCTCCATCGGTTATGACAATCAGGATTAATGGTTTGACGTTTCGACCCGCTCCAAGTTCCTTCTTCAGTCGCTTCATGTAAGGAGAGAGGATATCTTTGATGCGGTTGCCGGTGGGGGTTATGCCGCATGGACTATTTACCATTGTCCATACTTCTTCAACTGAAGCTGCATTTTGAATGTTGTAGTAACCAGTGGGTGCAACGCCTTCGCTTGGTTTACCCTTGTGGGCACTCATGTGGTTCATGAAGTAAACGTCGATACCATCATCATCGTAGGAAGTAATGATTGGTGCTATGGTTTGAAGAGCGGAGAAGACTTGTTTCCAAGGTGTAGGCTCAGAACCCCCTTTCATGCTGGAAGAATCATCGATTAGAAGGACTGTGTCGAATGTGGAAAGAAGAGCATATGGTGAACTGTCAAGGTCATGTTGTGGAGTGGATTGGGTAGTTTGGGGAACTGTAGAAGTTTGTTGTGATGCAAAAGTATTACTGTGGGATGTAGGAGTATAGTTCTGGGGTGTAGCAGAATAACTCTGGGTTGCAGGAGAATAGTTCTGTGGTGTAGGAGAGTAGTAATCGGGTGTAATATTATAGCCTTCGTGTGTAGGGGAATAGATCCTCGAAGTAGAAGCGGTATTATTTGCCGTAGCACCATTATCATGGGACGCGGGAGCCTTTTTAGTGTCGTTGTAGGAAGTATATGCCGGTGGAGCAGCATCAGCATCCTCCAGAATTCCCCTTGAAAAGGACGATGAACTTTTCGAAGCGGAACTCTTTGAACGACCTAACTTATCGCGAATACTACCAAGCAGGCCAGTCTTACGTTTGATGGCTTTGCCATCGCTGTGAGAATTGAAAGACATGATAAGCTTGTTGGATGTGATGTGGCGAAGCTTGGGATTTGTGTAGGTATCAGAATAGGAAGGTGGGGTTGTAAGATCTTGTGGACGGGAAAGCTGGTGGAATTTATAGGCGGGGGTTTGTATATGTGTAACCTGGTGACTGGGTATTGCGCTAGATGTTTTCTTAATTATTCGTTGATTATTTATGGCTTGGAATGTTATGAATACTATTAATTTTCAAATTGATTCACCGATTTAAAATGGTTAGTGAGTACTTATATATTCCACGATGAAAAAGTCATATGAGATTGGAGCTGTATATTCGAGGATTTAGACATCGATTCTGCCCCAGGCGAAGTAAAGCTTCTGACACATAAATGAAATTAATGTGTTGGTAGTTTGTTACTTACCGAATAGATCTGTATTACAATGTAACAGATTTTTGAGGTTGAGTAAAGTGAAATCAATTTTATGTATATGCTACAGGAACAAGAAATGTTTGAGATCAAATCCGGGGATATATGTTTGAGGCTCGAGCGATCTAATTGGTCGAACTAAGGGACTAGCGTTTGTAACAAGGCGCAGTTGACTTCGCCAACGAAAGTCCTTTAGATTATTTACTCATCAAGGCAACGTCAGGCAATACAGTTCAACGGTTTACAGGGCTGTGTATGCACCACGCCGAGACAAGATGTTTGTTACCGATGGAGCGGTTCCAAAATGACAATCACCTCCTCATATTTCCCGAGCCGCTGGGTTATATACCAATTGGCACGTTTTCCCCACGATATTGTATCAGTGGATATCTGTGGTGGGGCTTGGCACAATAAATCTATGTGGTGCAATGAGGAACATTACAATCTAAAGGCTATGTATTGCGACCTGGCTTAAGATAAGGCATTCATATCGCTAGATCTATCATGATCCTGTCTCGGCGAAGTGAGATGATTCCTTAGGAAGGTCGTAATGAGGTTGTCAGAAAGAGAAGGCAACAGTTACACCGAGCCCCAATCCTGGACATCAAGATAACTGTAAGGCGTTTGCATATATTCTGTCTGTCACTGGTGCATCTTGATGAATATAAAGAGACTGACCTCTATACAGCCTCGATGTCCCTGATGGGACTGGCCGAATACATTTGGCTGGAGTGGCATTGGCAGATGGCTCATAGATGTGATGTCAGTTCTCAGATTTTGATGAGTCAACTTGATGAGGCAAGACTTTTTTCACTTTGAACTTTGAGTCAGAGTAGTCGACCGCCGTGTCCTTCTGTCCACCTAGGTCAACAGTTGGCATCCGAGGAGATTACTACCAAGAAGTTCGTAGTTTCATTTCCCAGTCCCAGCTTTTAGTTGCCCAGTGGTGTGGATCAATCCTCTCTTGGGTATTGAAGCTGGATCTATTGGTTGAACATGGTCCTTGGATCTAACCGCGACTTGTGAACTTGTGAAGTGAGTAGGAGAGTTACGGACCTATCTATCAGCCTATCGATGACTCCAATCTATTCAGAAATCCTCTACTCATCAATCTGAGGGGCATTTCAAAAATTGCCGCCGACATGTTGCCACCCCCAATCCACCACTTCTGCGGCAACATGCCTTGATAGTGGAGCGCATCTTCGAGTTGATGTTGAATTAGCCGCCAGATCACACGCTCTTTGGAGCTAAGTGTTTGTCTCAAGCCTTACCATGTACCTGGATGGACAACACAACATCGGGCAAAAAGACAAACACATCAGGATCAATCCAGCAAACACGTTTCTGACAATATCTTGGATCGAAGAAATTCTACAATTTTTTAAGCACAAGAATATCGTTGCACAGTCATCCAACAAACGCTCTGTTCATCCTCCCATTGTTGTACGGAGTACATTGAGACAGGTACTCCAAACACATCTGCTTACGCGATAGCTTACCTACTTTCATTTTGGTTGCCCTCACAACCGGATCATGACACCACTTTTCTTTATTGACTTGCCGATAAAAAATCTTTTGATTGTGACGTGATACTTGGTGGGGTTTCGTTCTCTTGGTTGAACTTGAAATGACTCTACTACGTACAATTGAAATGGAAAAGAAGTTACGAGCAATTTTGTTTCTTGGGTGGAGCAAATCAAAAAAAATTTATCAAGGTTCATTCTTTTCCTATTAATTTTGAGTGGATCTCAACCCTGGGCAAATGCAAAAGATGACTGTGCAGTGTGCAAAGTCATAACCCCATTGACCTCATTGACCAGGCGACGTCATTGGGCGGGCGGTGGAAAGCGATAGAAAAGGCTTTGAAAAAGTTTCGGATCTATGATGTTCGATATTAACGACGGGCGGCTGGGAAGTGTTTGGTGTGGATATAATGAAAATAGAATTAATGGTAGAATTCAAAGATTAACAGAAGACATCAGAAGGGTAGCTTGTTAAGAGTAGCAGAAGAGGGTTTTGGAGAAATAATAGAAAGCTTTCGATTGATGATGTTCAGTGTTAGGCATTGAGGGGCATCGGGCAATAAATTTGAATGTAAACAGAAATTAATGGCAGAATTCCAAAATCAAAAGGCATCAAATATAAACTTCACCATGGTAATAGAACAACAATATATATATCAACAACATATAGCTAAATTCTCCCAAGATGATATCATCCATCTAAAATTAATACTGTGTGGCAATGAAATTAAAAAATCGTAATCTATTTCCATAAAATATTCTATAAAATTCTTTGTCCCTCGATTAGAAAGTCGTAGTGAATTCGAGAGACTCCTACCGCCTTCTAGTTCGGACCATTTCCACCGCTTGTGGAAAAGAAGATTCCAGAATCGAAGCTGCTGGAATCGAACTTTTCGCTTTAAAAGTCTCTCATTCAACCCAACTTTTTTTCCATTCTGCATATTTCTCAAACAACTTTCTTGATACCACTACTCTTCTTTTTTCATTCAAAGCGAATCAAAGAACTTGAAAAGCAAATCACTTCAAATTTCACATCCCACAATCATATATCACAACTAAATTAATACAAGATGGCTCCAGCGTAAGTTGCTCATCAACCCCTCCTTCAGCCTTATCGATCTATCTTAAGGTCGAAGGTTGATATGCCAACAACCACAACAATTGCTAACAATGTCCCCTAGTATTGGTATCGATTTGGGTACCACATATTCCTGTGTGGGTATCTTCCGTGATGACAGAATCGAAATTATCGCCAACGACCAAGGAAACCGTACCACACCTTCCTTCGTTGCCTTCACAGATACCGAGCGTCTGATCGGAGATGCCGCCAAGAACCAAGTCGCCATGAACCCAATCAACACTGTCTTCGATGCTAAGCGTTTGATTGGTCGCAAGTTCGCAGATGCAGAGGTTCAAGCCGATATGAAGCACTTCCCCTTCAAGGTCGTTGACCGTGCCGGAAAGCCAGTTATCGAGGTTGAGTTCAAGGGCGAGACCAAGCAATTCACACCAGAAGAAATCTCTTCGATGATCTTGGTCAAGATGAGAGAGACAGCTGAGGCTTACCTCGGAGGAACTGTCAACAACGCCGTCGTCACAGTCCCAGCTTACTTCACCGATTCACAACGTCAAGCTACCAAGGACGCTGGTCTCATTGCTGGTCTGAACGTTCTCCGTATCATCAACGAACCTACCGCAGCTGCCATTGCTTACGGTTTGGACAAGAAGATTGAGGGTGAGCGTAACGTTCTCATTTTCGATCTTGGTGGAGGAACTTTCGATGTATCTCTCTTGACCATCGAGGAGGGTATCTTCGAGGTCAAGTCCACCGCTGGTGACACTCACTTGGGTGGTGAGGACTTCGATAACCGTCTTGTTAACCACTTTGTCTCTGAGTTCAAAAGAAAGCACAAGAAGTATATAACCCTTTCTTTTCCCCTTTTACACCCTTTCCCCCGACCTCAGATGTGTTTCCAATCGTCGAGGACATTCGAGACATTGATGTGCACTCATTTGTCAAAGATATTTGAGATATTGTTATACACTTGTTTGTCATGGATATTTCAAATATCAAGATGCATTCAGCTATTGAAAGTATTTGAGATGTTGGGGATATATACAATTGTTGAAAATACTTAAGATATTGGTGTATATTCATTTGTCAAGAACATTCGAAACATTGATATACACTCATTTTTCAAGTACATTCAAGACATTGATACATTTATTTGTCAAGGACAATTGAAATGTCAAGATGTATACAATTGTTGAGAATGTTTGAGGCATTGAAATACTCTGAGGGCATTTCTCCAAACCCGTCTTTTTTGCATGTTTAAATTTGCAACCTACTAACGATTTTTGTATAGGGATCTTTCTTCAAACGCCCGTGCTCTCCGTCGTCTCCGAACTGCATGCGAGCGTGCTAAGCGTACTCTCTCTTCATCCGCTCAAACCTCCATCGAGATTGACTCTCTCTTCGAGGGTATCGATTTCTACACCTCCATTACCCGTGCTCGTTTCGAGGAACTCTGCCAGGACCTCTTCCGTTCCACCACTACCCCAGTCGACCGTGTCCTTGCTGATGCCAAGATCGACAAATCCAGAGTCCACGAGATCGTCCTCGTCGGTGGTTCTACCCGTATCCCACGTATCCAAAAGCTCATTACCGATTACTTCAACGGCAAGGAGCCAAACAAGTCTATCAACCCTGATGAGGCTGTTGCATACGGTGCTGCCGTCCAAGCTGCCATTCTCTCTGGTGACACTTCCTCCAAGTCTACCAACGAAATCCTCCTTCTCGATGTCGCGCCATTGTCTCTCGGTATTGAGACTGCTGGTGGACAAATGACCAAGCTCATTCCAAGAAACACCACCATCCCAACCAAGAAGTCAGAGGTCTTCTCTACCTTCTCCGACAACCAACCTGGTGTCCTCATCCAAGTCTTCGAGGGTGAACGTCAACGCACCAAGGACAACAACCTCTTGGGTAAATTCGAGCTCACTGGTATCCCACCTGCACCACGTGGTGTTCCTCAAATTGAGGTTACCTTCGACCTTGATGCCAACGGAATCATGAACGTCTCTGCTCTCGAGAAGGGAACCGGAAAGTCTAACAAGATCGTCATCACCAACGACAAGGGTCGCTTGTCTAAGGAGGATATCGAGCGTATGTTGGCTGAGGCCGAGAAGTACAAGGCTGAGGATGAGGCTGAAGCTGAACGTGTTGCTGCTAAGAACGCTCTCGAGGGCAAGGCATACCAAATCAGAAGCTCTTTGTCCGAAGCTGACCACGAGCTCTCAAAATCCATCCCCGACCCAGCTGCCAAGTCTGAGTTGCAAGCTACCGTTGACAAGATCGTCGCTTGGGTTGATGAGAACCAACAAGCTACCAAGGAGGAGTATGCACAACAAGAGGCTGACCTTGAGGCTGCTATCAAGAAGGCTACCTCAGGTGCTGGTGGTGCTGGTGGAGAGTCAGCTCAAGATGCTGAGATCGAAGAGGTTGACTAAATATTTTTCTTTTTCTCTTTACGAATTTCCTTTAATCTGCATATGATAACACTCCTGGTGTGATGTTCATCACACTATGGTAATTGGGTGTTTATTGGGTTTTCTATTGTGGTTAGATTTGCGGTCTGCTTTTCTACACCGGAAAAGCCGGTGTTTTAAATGTAATACAGCTTTAAATAGGAGCACAAAATTTAAGATCATTAAATAATATCTACCTTGATTCGAGATGAGTGTGAATGCTGAAGTTTGTATGGCCTTCCGAACAATAACTTATTCCTTACCGACTCCTGATACTGCTGGCTTTGGATGTCATTTTTAAGCCAAAGGGACTTTGATTGTTGTACACCACTTCAAACAATCAATTATCCCATTGCAGTCTCCCTTGTATATTTATTTCTTCGAACCTATTTTACTTGGATAAGCCATTTATTAATTGATATCTCAATGTCTCAATCAATTAGAAATAATCAATCAATTAAGAATAATTAATCTTTTGGAAATAATCAGTCTTTTATTTTAGATATGATGAATTAATTAAAATTAATCAATCTTTTAAAAACAATAAATGTGACGCCTCACACCTCCGGGTCACGTGGCATGCCCCGTTTGTATTTAATCATAGGAAAACTCGCTACTCTTGTTGGGATGCGAAGACTCAACACCTGTACGCGGTGCATCCTACGAACCTCCAGCTCTCTTATGAGAGTCTGCAGAGCTAAGTTTGAGTTATTTGATGGAGTCGTGGTAATTGGAAGAGGAAGAGGCGCCCGATCACGACGTTTTTACCCGTTTGCGGTTTTTTGACAGTTGCATTATCGAAATGCGCTCTCTACAACACTACCTTTATTACGAAACAGAGGACAACACCATCATCTACGACAATACGCCACGAAATCATCTCACTTCTTAAAAGTGAGACTCCTCTGGAACATATAGTACAACTCGACATCTTTGACGCGTATATGTTATATACTGTATACCTCCCATGATCGACACGACTGAAACGACAACAATTTATATACCTTCCATACGGGAACACCGGAGGAGTACTGTTGAAGGACCTGAGCTGATGACGAAACTTACTCTGCTCTCATTCAGCGGAGGTATGCTACTTACGGAATCGGGACACCCGTACAAGCCACTACCTGTGCATGCTATAGTTACGCTATATGAGGATTGGTGCTCCTTCATAAGCTTTCTATTGGCAGGATGATCAGAATGAGGACGAGGCAATCCTGACGGTGGGCGATTACAGTACGTTCTGGTATATAAGGAGTAATTGGATTGATGGTATCGGGAAGGGGATCAGGGATGAAGGGTTTTCGAGTACAATGTTTTAATAGTATGAGGGGAAGGGAGAGAGATCAAGAGCCAGTGATCTAGTGGACGAGGATGACCACAATTACAACCCCAAAAGGCCTACCGGCTCAAACCCCCCCTGCGAAGGCAATCATGTAAACCCTGCCCTAGCCCCCTTTAAATTGTATATAAATACTCCCCCTAGCTAGCTAGTAAACCACTCAGAGGCTTCTCCTCTGAGCGTCATTTGTCCAAAACTGGAATAGATGGCTAAGGTTATCACGCGCCAAGGCGCGTGGGCCTACGGCCTATGACGATAAACACAATCAATCAATCAATCAATCGCTACTCTTGTTTTCCTTCTTCTTTTCTCCTTAGCTTAGTATTTTCTAATACAAGATACTTTACCCAGTATTCTTGAGTGTGACAATAAATCAAGTAAAAAGGATTTGTTAATTAAAAACAATCAAACAATTAAAAAGAATTTATTATTTAAAAAGAATTAATTATTTATAATATTATCAATTATTTATAATCTTTATAATCTATATAAACTTGTTTTTATAATATAATATAAAATCTTTAATTATAAACTTGATGTAACGATACTATTGTCACGATTCACCATCACGTGGGACAAGTAGGGATCACGTGATGGAGCCCCCAGGAGCCTACGCTCCTGAAAAGGACCAGTATATAAACATTCATTATTTTCATAGTACAGGAGCTTCGTGCTCAACTTAGTTATCAATTAGTTTACCTATATTCAACTTGATCTAGTAACGACTTCACTTCCAAATGAATACCAATAATAAAGCCTTAACCCATAACTACCAACCAAACGAAACCTTAGGCAGCCGCTGCCCCCAGTACAGTATCGTTACACTAGTATTTGTTTAATGTTATTTGAGTGTTGGGTGTTGGATGAGGTTATTATTATTGGGTATTAATCTATATATATATATATTCCGTTCGTTCTTTTGAATAGAGTTGGAGATTGAGGTTCTTATATTATAATTTATAATTTATTGAGAACCATTGGAATATTGGAGTTATTAAGGATCATGTGACATGATGTGGAGGTATAGAATAGGGTATTCGAATTTTCTATTGTATTAAGAAACGATGAAACAGACTCTGGATGGGTGAAGGGAAAGATTATGAATGGATGGATATATTTGGGGAATGTTCGCGGAAGGATCACAGTGGATGATGATGATGATGGATGTTTTCTTGGGTAATATCCGGTTTTTTATTCTCGATGTAGGACTGGTGGACTGAGGATTGAGGATTGAAATTTATGAATGGGATATTAGTGGTTAATATGGGCTCTTCTGTAGAGAAATAATATACTATGGAGTCGGATTTCATGTTGGAAATAGAATCGAATATTGAAATTCTATACAATGAGATGTTCCTACATGCTTCCTTAGGAGAATTGTGACTGCCGATACTATCCGTTCATTAATATTCATAAGAGACTTGAACATTGAGAGCCAGCCAAGTATACTTTATTCCTCGTAGTAAATTAAACATAAAAAGGCTCCCCATATACTTTGCGACGGTTGAGAAAGGAAGAGTTACTGATATCACTACCGGTGTCTCATTCTCCGGAGTTGAATTTGCTGTTGAACTCCACCTAGATGAGGCAGTGCCTGCATGTCGTGCTTCTCCTTTAGGAAGAATAGTGACTGTTGATGCTGCCAATTCATTGTCTCCAAGAAAGTCGAGCATTGAACCCCTGAACATGCTTTGCGTGCATCGAGAGAAAAGAGTTGTCGATATCACTCTTTATTATTCGGAGTCGATTCCTGTGAATCCGTTCTTAAAACGAAATCGACTTCATACTGTATAAGGATAATTCTCCACTCCTTTAACCAACGAACGCTCAGCTACACCTTTCCTCGTATTTCATTTTTATCCAAACATCCAAACAAGGCGTTCCCACCGCGGAGACTTTCCATACCTGGCTATACCTCATACTCTTAGTATGTTGATTTAGACTACTAAATATGTATGGGTTTGGTTGGTGGTAGATAGTTGGCGGATTCTGTACCGAGTGTGTATGCAGGTCTTGCATGAGTACGTAGGTACAAGTAGACAAGTACTGTAGCTCGAAGTGCTATGACATGCTTAGTAGGACATGGTATTAAGGGAAAATATGGGATGGAAGGAAAAAGCTTATACCCGACTGGTTTGCGTTGGAAGATTATGTGCTTATGCTGATTGTGATGTGCTTATGTAGATTGTGATGCGATGCGAGGGTGATTGCATTTGTTGAGAGGAGAGAGGGGAGGAGTGGAGAGGTGTGAGAAAGAGTTTGGATCAATTGTGTATGAAGATTGGGTGGGGATAGAGATGTATTGAGGGTGTGAGAAGCGAGGGAGTGAGAGAGTGAGAGAGTGAGAGTGAAGGAGTGAGGATTGAGTGGTTGAGTGATTGAGGGATTCAAATGCATTAGGAACAAACATTCAGATTGATTGGGATGCTGTATATTAAATAAATATATTATAATCCTGCAAGATTCGTGGGATTGCATTGAATCAGACCATATTAATAAAGCACCTCTGCAAGCTCGATGTATGGCTAGAGTATCGTACTAGGACATTAATGAACATTGAAATGAATCGTGACTTCGACCTTGAAACTAATTGGAACATTGGAATACTGTAGAACATTGAAACGAATCGAATTGGCACGTATTTTGAAACAAAGAAGTTATCGATAAGACCTCTGTTACTACCAGGTTCAATGTAGCGGGCACTACCGACCAAACTCAAAATCCACCAAATCACATCTCGTATTCACCCACCTCAACCTATGAACTTCTAGAAAATGAAGAACGATGACTGGGAATGATTCTAGAACTTTATCTGCGACAAATCCATCACATCCATAGAAGAACAACACAACCAACCAGTCAGCCTTGGTCGAAACCCTTATTGATACGCTACAATCCTTACCATACCATTATTACCCAAAACCCCCCAGCTCCAAGGGAAAAACAACAGCAAACAAGCAAACAGACAGAGCCTACCTCCATAGTACTCCGTACCGTACGCCAGCCAGATCATCCATTTTCTCATCCACCCAAATAATCCCAAAAAATCTTCAAGCGAGACGATTTCATACCATACTCTCTTCCACCAATCATCGCACTGAGTGAACTGGAGACCCAATCATCTCTTCCATACAATCACTGTATCGGCCCCCGCTATCAGAACCTGGCTTCGACGTTCTAGGAAAAAGTGTGGAAGGGTTCAAGTCCATATTCCCACTCCTCTTACCGTTCCGTGGCGATTACTGCGAGTGTGGTCTCACGCTTGTGGCACTTCTATCCATTCACATACTGATCTCTGTTTCCCCTGCTTCTCCCACAATAACTACCAGTTAAACTACCTACTGGTTGCATTTACACCTCTATTACTTTCCGACCCACACCTTTCGAAAGACCCTATCATACCTTAGCGGATACAGAAACACTTCCGGTAGGCAGTTGATAATGTCAATCAAGTGAGTAAATAGTCGTCCCTTGTGCTTTCTGTAGTGTAGTATTTCATGGCTTTCAATTTCTACTTTCCCTTCTCTCTATTCTTTACCTTCAATTCTTTCTCCTCCTTCTCCTTGTTTTTTTAACCTACAATTTCTCCATCATGTATGCTTTTCACCAAGAACAGCATCTTTATGCCTTGCAAATGGCACAAGAAGCAATGCTAAAATCTACTCGCGAAAAAAGTTGGGTAATGACCTCTAATGAGGCCGGATTCGTCAAACTTCCTAATGAACGAATCCTCTATGCCTCACCTCCTCGAACGAGTTTACAAATTTCTACGACGGCTACTTCTGCAGGCGCGGTGCCATATTCAGCTAAAAGCGATTCTGGAATCGTATATATTAGCAACCAAAGAGTAGGTGCATCTTTTCTCCCTCTCTTTTTAACTATTTACTAATTTCCACTCAAGATAGTCTATCTTCCAAGTTCACCTACTCCCGAGCTTCAATCGTTTTCTTCACCTATTCTCAACCTACAAGATAGCTACGTTCGTGCGCCGTTTTTCGGCGCCAATTACTGGACTGCCCTCTGCAAGCCAGTTCCGGGAGGTGGAATTCCCCCGGATTGTCCTTCGGTCGAGCTCAAGATGACATTCAGAGAAGGCGGGGCATTCGATTTTCATTCTTGCCTAGAACAAATAAAAGAGCGTCTATACCAAGCTCATAGTGTCGCACGGGAACATGGAGGAAGGGGAACCAGCGGTGTTGATTTGGCGAACATGGATTTAGAACAATTGCCTGCTTACGAACCTGCGAGGGAGGTTACAGATGAAGCACCCATCGTTACTCAAGATAGCGGGGTAACAAGTATAACTACGAGTTTACCACGGGCCGAAACCTTCACCGCGCCAGCTGAGCCCCCTCCAGATTATGAAGAAGCACAAGCACAAGCCGTCTCGGTGGACCTGGATCAGCGATTACGGGAGCAGGCTGAGAGGCAATGAGACTGGGTAAGCAACATTTTACAGCATGCTGTGCCACAAATGTTTTGTTACATCGGGTATTACGACGTCATGAATGAATGAATGCTGGAAGGTTCGCGGGACTTATGGAGGGCAAAGGCGTTCTTCTATCACAAATTTACATCTCAGACTTGGCATGGTCAATGATGGGAAATGGAGTATAAAGCAGCACTGCAACGGCGTTCGAGAGGTTCATGATAAATTGCTTCAAGATGGAATTGATGTCAAAAATTGTCAAAAATAGCTGTTATACCATGAGAAATGAATAAGAATTTAAAAGAATGTCAATTAACAATTATTATACATTCTTCGAAATGTGCTCTACAAACATACAATAAACGGCAATAATTTTTGCACCGATGATAAATTTCGAATTGATGTCGGAAAAACCAGGAACCAAAATTCATAGACCAATCAAATTTGACCAATTGCAACTGAGGCCTCAATTTTGGCGAGGATCATTTCTCATCCGACACGCTGGATTTTGACCGTATCTGATAGCATTCTACCACCAGGACAAATACACTCAACATTACACAATTGGTTCAAACTCCTGAAATCGATTGTCAAGATGGGTTTTTTCGACACCTGGAGCGATCTTGTATCGGCTGCTAAACCATGGAGCGAGGCTGAAGCTGAGGCGGTTTCTGGAGGGTCGAGTACCACCAAGACTCCCGCACAAAAGCATGAAGAGGGAGAGGGAGAGGCAGCGGTACGTTTGCTTTTGTTCTTGTTTTTGTGTTGGCTTTGGTAAAGATGCGGGGTTGGGAGTGGAGGGAGACTGAGGGTAGATAAGATTGGAGGGGGACATGAGATACTTTCTGGATGTGTGCGGGGACTCGGGATATATCTGGACGCATGGAGAATGCTCGAAAAACATCTCACAACCCTGGATTGATATGTGCTAACGTGAGTCTGATTTCAGGATCCATCCGGACCCACTCCAGACAAGAGAGCAGCCAAGGCCGCTGAGGAAGAAGAATCAAAGGATGAGGAGCCCGAGGCTGAGGAGGAAGAAGAGGAAGAAGAAGATGAGGAGATGGTTGATCCAAAAGATAAGCTTGAGGAGGGTAAGTTGCTATCTTTCTACACTGGCTCAACTCTTGAGCAGATCTGGGAAATCACAAGAACACACTATCTAGGAACCTTTGGGATTTTTGAAGCTGCTTCAGGTCTACAAGTACTTCATTATGAGGATAGAGGCTAACACTCTACAGAATGCAAGGAATCAGCAGCTTGTGCTCCTTCTAAACACCACTATGATGAATGTGTTGAGCGAGTTACAAGTGGTAAGGAACAAGTCCCTGGTGAGGACTGTGTTGAAGAGTGTATGTACCCTACATCCCACACTATTATTTAGATACTGATAAATACAACTAGTCTTCCATCTCGCACACTGCGCCACCGCCTGTGCTGCACCAAAGCTCTGGAACGTCCTCAAGTAAAGTGTTAAAGCTTTACCACATCACGGAATCACGCACACTCAACTGGACAAGAAAACACAACCAACTTTTTAGATGAATGGAGAGGGTTGAGAGGAAATGTTGGAGGATGGTAGTATTGTACAAATATGAAACCAAAATCCTTTTTTGAGCACTGCATTGCATACAGATCAGATCTCCCTTTTTTCATGAGCGCACTGCATGTAGTATAGAAAAGAATCGATATAGAAAAATGACTTTGGTTCTATCTATCATCGGGCTTTTTATCAACGAAATGTGTGCATATGTCTTCAACGAATCATATCCAAGGCTCGGCTTCTTATCAACTCGGATATTCAGTCTATCCAAAGTACAATCACAAGCAAAATACATTGATGTCGGATTCGGGATACCTAGATACTTGGCATCCTATAATAACTACCTATCACCGGGTATCTTTTTCACACTTCGGGGCTTTGTATGATTTTGGATAATAACAACTTTACAGCTTTTATCCGTTTACCTTTTCCAATCAGGATCCCTTCTTCCTGTACATACCACGAGACCTTATCTCTTGGTCCATTTAGAATGACTCGAGAAGGGATGAAATAATACTCCCTTGTTAGATTTAACCAATAGTACATGAAAATAATACCTTGGTATTTGATGATATACAAATAACAGATGAGGAGTATCTGTGAGGGGTTGAGGGGATGGATGGCTTCTTTAGCCAGTTTGTGTGATAAGCAAATAAATCTTCGTTCAACGTGAATCGTGTTTCACAAGATACGATACTTCATGTCAAGGAACATTAACATTCTTATTGACCGGCATCCCTCTTCTCTTGAAGATTCTCACTCCCGTCCCTACCGGTGCTTCCCCACACACAATCAAACTCAAAGTAAAAAAGCATCGAGCTTAGATAACCGAAGTGATTAGTGGCCCCGCCAAGCTTATCGTGTTGCGTCAGCTAGGGGAAGGAAAGGAAGATGGAGGTTTCGACACTTTTGGATTCGAAGGAATTGAATCGATTAAATGGGATAGAAAAAGTTGTGGCAAAGGGAGACTTAGAGAAGGATAAAGATACGGGAAAACAAAGTGTGGGAAAAAAAGATCGAGAGATTGGATATCAAGGAAATAAAGAAGATAGTGGGGAGAATATCCAGGTGGATTGTATAGAGGATTTGGAAAACTTGTCAAAGGACGACGGAACGCCGGGAGCGGAAAATAAAGAGGTTGACTACAGTTCTGGAATTGTTGGAATTGGAATTGGACTTGGAAGTGAGGAGAAGAATAACGATACTATTCTTGAAAAAGAAACGCATCATTATCACGACATGCCGAAAGGTTGGACAGCCATGAGAGATCCAAGAGGAAAGCAGAAACAAAAACAGAAACATAAACATAAGGCAGGGGAAAGAGCCAATGGAAATACGCATACATATACAACACATACGCAGGCCGATATGACGAATGCGGAAATATCGAAATCACAGGAAGATGGTAATGATGGGGGGGTGGTAGAGGGAGAAATCGAAGATCTAGATGATTTGGATTTGATGGAATTGAATAGCGGGGATGATTTATTACCAGATGAGGAAGAGGGGGGTATAAGGAGGGGTGGAAGTGCTGGAAATGCAGCGCGCAGAATGGGTGGGGCTGCTGATGAGGGGTTGGAAAGAGGAAGAGGAAGTACGGATCGCGATACTGTGAGCTCGGATGCGGGTCACTTTAGGGTTTATAAGAGGAGATGGTTTGGTTTGGTTCAATTGGTTCTTTTGAATATTATTGTTAGTTGGGATGTAAGTTTTGCTAGGGAATTTCATTTGGATGTATTTGGGGTTCTGAGAGGGGTCATGTTATGGTTATGTATATGTAGTATTATCGTTGAAAGTGCTAACTTATATTCATCTAGTGGTTAACCTTTTCCGCAAGTTCGACGACCGTCTCTCAATACTACAATGTATCCGAATCAGCGATAAATTGGCTCAGCACCGGGTTTCTCTTCGCTTTTGTGCTTGCAAGTCCGTTTGTTATCTACGTCCTGCATCATGGAGGTCCGAAACCTGCTATCCTTATTGCATCCGTACTTTTGTTACTTGGAAATTGGATACGATATGGTGCAACGAGATCTGGTCCACATGGCAATTTTGGAGGTGTAATGGTTGGACAAATTCTAACGGGTGTTGCTCAGCCTTTTGTACTGGCAGCACCTACTAGATACTCGGATTTGTGGTTTACGAATCAGGGAAGAGTGGCTGCAACTGCGGTTATGAGTTTGGCTAATCCTTTTGGTGGTGCTTTGGCGCAATTGATTGATCCCTTTTGGGCTGCAAATGCTGGGAGTATACCAAATATGGTTCTTTACATTGCAATTATTGTAAGTCGCCAAAATCTCTCTAGCTCTCATAATTTTAATATTATCATAGTCATCAATAGCCACCGTTCCATCTTTCTTCATTCCCAAAGAACCGCCTACTCCCTCTTCTGCATCATCAGAAGAACCAAAACATGCATTAGGACCTTCGCTTAACTTCCTTCTTCGATCCCCCGAATTCTACATGATAATGTTCCCCTTCTGGTTCTTCGTCGGCCTCTTCAACTCCCTCTCATCCCTCATAAACCAAATGCTCTCTCCCTATTCCTTCTCAGAAACCAACGCCGGTATCGCCGGCGCCCTCCTAATAGTCGTCGGTCTCGTCGCCGCAGCAATCACCTCCCCTCTAATCGACAAAACCAAAACCTACCTCCTCGCCATCAAAATCCAAATCCCCATCCTAAGCATCTGCTACCTCGCCTTCACCTGGGCACCGCAAACCCGTAATCTCGCCGCCATCTACGCCATCCTCTCAATTCTCGGCGCCGCATCATTCAGCCTCGTCCCCGTCGCCCTCGAATACCTCATCGAAATCACCCATCCTGTATCCCCTGAAGTCACCAGCACGATTTGTTGGTCTGGTGGTCAGTTACTGGGTGGCATTTTCATTATTGTTAGTGATAAGCTTAGGGCGAAGGGTGCGGAGGATGGATCGCTAGATGATGGGAGTACGAGGCCGCCGGGGAATATGTATAATGCGCTTGTTTTTCAGACGGTTTTGGCGGCCGTGGTGATGCCTCTTCCGTTGGCGTTGGGGTGTTGTGGGAGGAGGAAGGGGGTGAGGATGAGGAGGTTGGAGGCGGATAAGGAGGCTAGGGGGAGGAGGGCTGCGGGTGGAAGTGGAGGTGGGGGTGGTAATGGGGGTGTTGTTATTTAGGGTTGTGTAGGGATGTATGGGTATATTGTATTATATTTTGAGAAAGGGAGATAGATACCTTTGGAAAGTTACTATCGGTATATTGATCTGAGATTTTTGTTTGGACATGGAGATGGAGATGGATATATTATACATAGAATAGATCTATATTAGGTGTAGAAGATAAACAATAAATAAATTGAGAATATTTATTGTATTTAAATATTCGATATTCGGAACATTGATATGTCTTGAGCTTATGATTTGATTGTTGTGAATTTATATAGTCAGGTATAATTCGAAATGTATGTATTGCGTATATATATATATGGATATGAATATAAGTAAAAAAATAAACATGAGTCCTATTTTCTCATCATCTCATCATCTCATCATCTCATCATCTCATCATCTCATCATCTCATCATCTCACCTTACTCACCTCACTCACCTCATCCACATCCAACCAAACCCATTACATCATATCAAGATATACTATATACCTCTCCTTTCCCAAAAGCTCACCTCCCGCTACCAATTATTGAGTCTCGGGAAATAATATAAAAGTATTTGCCATATTGTATTTGTTGATTGATTAGCAGCAATGAGGTTAGTTCCTAGCTAGGTATTGAGAGTTTAGAGAATGTAAGAACGACGTAAATCAGAAAAGGTAATAAATAATAAAGAATATAATAGAAGAGAATAAGTTATAGTTAGCAAATAATAATAATTTTGATAAGATATAAATAACCACCAGCTATAGTTGAAGATACAAGATACAGAATACAGAATACAAGATACATACTAATTCTCATACATCAAGAAGGAAGCCCTCCCCAAAAAAAGCCCTAAAGAAGTAAAATAAAAGAATAACAAATACAATAACGATAACACATTGTAACGGGTATCTCTAACTTGAAGCTCTCGAGTTAAGAAAATAAAGCTATATATGGTATTGCAATTTCCAACTCTCTTAATCATTTCATTGCTACCAATATGCTTCTTGTAACACGGGTTGACAGGCTGGCCTGCCATTGTGCTTCCTTTAACCGGATCATTTCCTTAGCTAGCATTTCTTTCTCTCTTCCATTTTTCTTTCGCCCTGAGGCTTTTCTTCCCCCTCTTTCCTAAGCTTTAATTCTCTCCTGGTATGCTTCCCAAGCCTTCCTCCTGTATCTCTCCGCTTCCCACTCTGGGTCTCCCGCACGAATGATACCTCTTCCCACAATAACAATATCACAACCTAAACCTACCAACTTTCCAGGAGTATTATACTGTTGTCCCTTTCCATCACCCTCTAACTCTGCTTCCTCATCATTCTCAGGCGGTAATTGACATCCTGGAGTCATGCTAATAAAATCATCATCCGCTTCTGTATTTAATGTTTCTTGCGAAATAAATCCCATGACATATTGTTTATGCTCCCTCGCACTCTCCACACACGCATTGGTATAATCTCTCGTCATGAAGTTTCCCGCGCTACTCATTTGTGCTAATATCAGAAGACCTCTTTCCAATGGCGCTTCATCAATTCCAGGATACGCTTCTTCCTCAATATCAAAATCAATGCGCGAGCGTGGCGAATCGGCCGGTTCGAAATGTTGCGACACGGTGGTAATAGAAACGATACTAGCTTTGCGTCCAATATTCGCCTCATTGTGTGCTTCTAATCCATGGGAACCATCTGGAATTTCATGGCAAGTGTTATTAAGACTTATAGGAGTGGTGATTTGATCCTCGTCGCCTTCAATGCTTTCGGGTCGCGGAGTCCCCACTGATATATTCGTCTTGACTTCATAACGTTTGCGTTCTCTCCATCTTGCGGCTGCTTCGGCCAAGGAATCCACGCTGGCTTTCCCAGGTATCATGTTAACATTGGTGATATGCGACCACTCGATGATCTTGGCAGTGCCCTCGGTATATTGTAATTGCACGGTATTTCCAATGTCACCGAATTTCCGATCTTCGAATATGAGGAATCCATGACGACGCGCGAGCCGGTTGAGGCGCGCTCCCGTGCCCGTCGTTGGGCTGTAGTCCCAGTTGTTGATGAGATCATAATGCGTCTTTAGCACGACGATGGATGGACCGACGGCATTTGCTAATCGGAGAAGTTCACCGGCTGTAGAGACATCGGCGCTGACGCATAGATTAGATTGTTTGAGGGTCATGAGCCGGAGTAGGTAGGCGGTTAAAGGATGTTTTGTTTTCGAGGCTCGATCCTCGAATGAGGTTTTCGCGATAGGATGGGAAGCAGCTGGAGACATGATGAATAGAGGAATCTCTCGAGGATAGAGTCTTTTTCTTTGTTTCTTTCGTTACTGCTACTACTTCATTCAGATATAGCGAACAGAAAAGGGAAAAGGAGAGAAAGAGAGAGATTTGAACTTGGATTTATATTGGTGTTTTCGTGCCCTGTACTTTTGTGTTGAAGTCTTAAAGATTTAAAATTAAATTTAGCGATATTTCGTTCATGTGCGTCAAAGTAGCAGAACATAGAAAGAACACTAGAACATAGAACCATAGTACCGAGGCCAGCAACTATTTTTTTTTTTAGCAAAATCCTCAAAAATAGGTTTCTTTAGAACGTAACTTCTGTAAAGTTTGTATAATACTTCTATAATAAATAATTATATAAGCAGAATTATAAAATATAATATAAATTCTTATATTTATACTTATTTTGTAATCTTTTTAGTTTATTATAATTTTTATTTATACTTTAAAACTTCATCTGATTAAAAGTATTATATAATGAAATAGATACATATAATTAATTTCGTAATTTCAATAATTTCAACAATTTAAGACTTTCTTGGTTTTCTTTATATAAAGTAAGTAATCTCACATTATTAATTTTACAAAATTTGAATCAGCCAATCAATCAAACTCCTCAAAGATTTATCAAGGTCATCAAGTTACACATGATATCTCTATATAGATATTTGACGACATTTGTTGATCCTTCTAGATACCTTCTTAATTGTAAGTCTTAGTCGATATTTGGTTATCATCAGTGAGTCTTCTGTCTTGTCTAGAATCAAAAGTTGGATCTGAGACCTGTCGAACTTTGTGCCTCTTATTTACTAGATGTCAGTGCACAATCGAAAGATTTTTTGGACAAATTTAACAAATAAATGGGGAAGTAGCAGGGAATACTACTTTCCGAACCACAGGAATGGGTTGCATGGGTATCAAGTTGTCATTCCGTTTGGATGGGTTAGGTTTCTGGGGATCTTGGCTTCTTTGCTTCTTTGCTTCTTCGCCGGGTGTTTTGTATGGTACTGATTACTGATTCCTGCGTCCTGTACTCCGTAGAAGGAAAAGTTCATTTGCATTGACTTGTTAGTCTTGATCACAGATATAATAATAAGTAGCAGTAGCAGGTAGTAAATAGTACCCAGGTATTATAGAGCGGCATCCGGAATATCTCTAAACAGCGGACAAGAGGAGAGTCCTAAGTGAAGGCCGAGGTATGAACAACAAGATATATAATATATATCTTTCAAATAAAATATTATCTCTGAATCAATCAATTATTATAAACATTACCTACTTAAACCTCATGTCTATTTACAGAAATATTTTCAAGACAAAATTATTTGCTGCCCCTTTTTTATATTTGAAAGTTCCCTCTCAAACCACCAAATTCTCAGTCCGAGCAATGTCCACTTCGGATCAAGCGATGCCCCTCAAAAAGCAATTTGAGGTCCTTCAAGAACAATACACTGCATGTGATATTGCAGATGTTCTCCTCAAGCTCAAAGTACCCGGTGCCGGCTTTCTTCCCGACCTGAGACCTGCATTTGCTTCGACATCGGCATCTCCTGATAAAATTACTGTCGCCCCAGTTTCAACTGTGGTTTTTGCCCCAAAGAACAGCACAGATCTCTCCAATTATCCAGCAGCAAACATTCCCTCTGATAAGCACTGGATTGATCTCACGGTTCCTGACTCGATAGTGGTCATAACTCAACCTGAAGGGCAAAAGAATGCTGTACTAGGTGGAATAATGGCATTGAGGGCCCAAGTTCTTGGCGCTAAAGGTGTGATTGTTAGCGGAAGGGTCAGAGATCTTGATGAACTTCAAGCTACTGGAATTCCCGTAAGTTTTCTGTCCATTCTCTTACATGCAAGGACCGCTTGTTGAGCCCGCATGCTCCCCTGTCGCATTCGCTAAGATTAACCCGTCGCAATCCCATGGGCTTTCATTGGGTGCTTCCGCTTATTCTCGAACTTCACTGATGATTCTTGTAGATATGGTCTCGCGGTACATCAATTGTTGGTGCTGGTGGCGAATCTAAGCCTCACGCAATTCAGGTAGCATTGAAAATCGATGGGACAGATGTCTGTCCTGGAGATATAGCATTTTGTGATCCCAAGAATGGTGTTGTCATCATCCCACAAGGAAAGATAGCTGATGTAATCTCAATGCTGCCAGGTCTTGTTGCAGCAGATGATCGTGTGAAGGAAGAAGTTAAGCAAGGAATGTCGGTTCAAGACGCCTTCAAGAAGCATCGAGGATGAATGTTTTCCGGGGGCTATTCTAAAATCATTCTGGATGCAGTGGAATGCTGTTCAGTGTTACTTATGACCTTGAAGATACCATTCAAATAGGGAAGAAACTTGATTGAGTTACTACATATCTTTGCGAATGTCGGTTTGGCTATCTTCATGATAAGTTCAAAGATATAACATACAGAACGAAGTTCTTCTCTGACTCTGATAGCTGCACGTATTACCCATAGCAAAATCGTAAGCATGTTAATGTAGATGCTGAGTAAGCTCCTCAGCAGAATTCTGATCGAGTTGATCGTTTTACAAATTTCTCTTTAGCTTCCGTTTCAAGGCCTGATGCTCTCAAAGCTATATCAAAACATTGGGGCGAGAGCTCTGAGGGAGTCGAGGATACATACGAACCCAGCAATTTTGAAGGCCTGTTGGAAAGAAGTAGTTAAAGTGAAGGATCAGCTAGCTCATTTCATCGGCGTATCATTTGAACTCACCGGATTTCAAACATGGAAAGTCAGTAGACTTGTCGAAGCACATAGTAAGATATACATCGATGACTAATGAACACTCGATAATATGGTTAGAAGCTGCTCAATCTAATAGCACAGCTAATAGAAGATAGGTAGGTAGGTAGCGACTATCCGCAATGACCTTCTTCCCGGACCCGGTGATTACAGACTTGCATGAATTCGGACAACTCATCCCAGACCTCATCGATGTTTTGTCTTATATTTTCTCAAACACCATCGGGCTGTGCCTAAAACTTGTCGTGCTCACCGTTCACTAGGCCGAATTTTATTTCGCAAATCAGGAAGATACAAATCAAGAAATAACAAAGAATTACGAAGAGCTGAGCAGGATAGGCCGTAAAGAGACGGGAAAAGTTCTTGAAACGCATATCGCACAACAGGAGGAAAGGAGCAGACCTCGCGATTAACTTTGGCTGCGCTATTTTGCATGTTGGAGATAGATTGCGGCGACAATGTCTTCCTAGAACTAGATATTTGCTAGGGGAATGAGAGATTGATGAAGATATGTCAAGATGCAGAAGGCTGTTCATTGGCTCTTCTCGCTCATATGTACAAAAGGTTTATGCTTATGCAATTGCGGTATTTGAACAGCACAGCGGAGGAAGAAGGACGAGGGTGCTTGACTTCATTCTTTTAAAACGACGTCAGCTCTTACTTCTCCTTTCCTCGTAGTACTTCTTCCCTGTACATAATTCTTCTAACTCTTCCCATGTATTACCAATCTTTCCCCTTTGTTTCTTTCTTCACCTTACAGGCGCAACTCGAGTGAGTACAAGCGCTCTCACATTAGTGTTAATAGACTATTATACATCAATTCAGCAGGAATGCTTTCCGCTGCCGCTGGATACAGGAAGACGGTCATAACAATGCTCTGATTAGCATAAGGCTTGCTTGCAGTATCCTTATAGATAATTGCAAAGGATGAGAAGCGAGTTAGAGTGATGCTAGAGAAGGATAGTAATTCATTGGTCAAAACGAAAGGTAAGGGAAAAGGTCGAGGTGCCACTCTCAATTTAGGTGGTGTAATTTTGCAAGTGCGAGATAATAATTTTTCCACGGCTGTTTGCAGGATTGCATCAAGTTTAGAGAGTCAATCGATGGGTTTATTTTTAGACTGCGAAGATATATGGTGGAGTATAATATTATAATACTAGTCTACTCCTATAATACTATATCGTATTCAAAGCACTACTACTAGGTGCCTAGTTAAGTATACATAACTAACAACATCCGCTTTAGCTACCCATATATTCTTCAAACGAAGAAACTTTAGTCTACGGGGGGCGTATAATAATTTGAGACTCTCTCATCCGCTCATCATTCATGTAAACTTAGATCTAGAAGACGAAGTAATGCAGGCGGGTAAAGAATTTCATTTATTGAGATCAGTCAATATCTCATTGTTCTGCCCAAGTGGAAATGGCCAGCCAGTCAAGCTAGCAAGACAAGCAAGACAAGCAAGACAAGCAAGACAAGCAAGACAAGCAAGACAAGCGCAACTCTTAAACCTGTGATGCGGATTACGAGCTAGAAACGGTAGGCTGGAATGGATTTTGAAGGGAGGGAGAATGGGGGTTTTCTTTCGTGGAGGAGGGGAAAGGAGGAGGAAAGGTAGGGAGGGAGGGGTTGCTAGGGACTAAGAATGTAGATTTTTGGGGTGGGAGGGGGTGATGAGAGGGATGGAAGGGCACGGCGGGAAAGGACTGCTAGTATGGTGGTGGTTTTATGGAAAATGGTTATGGGGAGTAGAGTAGAGTGCAGTGTTATGTTGTTTGGTATTGTTACGAGAATCGGGGTAATTTCATTGTTTGATAGTGTCCTCAATGCATGGTTGTTGATTGAGATCGAAGGCTAGGTACCTAGGTTTAGACGGAAGAGCTTAGCGGATATTGGATGTTTTTATGTTAGATATTGGGTGGGCGATGATTTACATTCAGACTCGAACTACAGTTCACCCCGCTTAGCACAGTTATCATGCAAATAACAATAATTCTTGAATATCTTTGGCATTTCTCTATGATTTATATGCCTATCCAGCCGCGAGAGCCAACCCTTCCATTCTCCTTCTAAGCGTGGAGCTCTCTTCTTCATCCTCTACATCTACTTCTATCTCCATCTTTGGTCGATTCTTATTCAATCCCTCTAGTAAAACACATGCTTTACAAATCTCTTGACTGGACATATATCCACATTTCTTACACTTCCCTAGTGTTTGTTTTGTGAGTTTACGACCATCCTTCTTGGCTCCTCTTCGGGCTTCGAATTTGTCTATTCTATCGTGACCCTGGCTGTTGGTTGTATTCGATGCGATTGATGCTACGTCGATTTCTCTTCCCGAGGCTTCTTCGTCTTCTTGGAGTTTCTTTTCCATATCCGCCATCTCACCTCCACTTGATCGACCATTAGTTCCACAGCCTCCGTTTCCTTCTTCCTCGTCATTTGTGGCAGCCAATGAAACTTTTTGGCTCTTGCAGTGACTTATTCCGGTAACTTCTGATGGTACTAATTTTGCCATGTCTTCTCCACTGCGCACAACATCTAGAATCGCACTAGGTCTAACTCTTTCTAGATTCTTGATCAAACTCCGCGCACTACCTCTAAAAGCCTCGGGACTGTATAGACATTCGGTACTGAAATAATCCAACTTTTTATGATGCGCATACAACACAATCTCCTTCTCATAGGCATACTTCAGCGGTTTGCTTCTGCGCACATCGCTCGATTCGTCGCCAGTAACAATACTAGTACTTCTTGCCAACCTAGGTAAATCTCCGCGTAGCAGATTCATCAAAATAGTCTCTGCGACATCATCCGCATTATGTCCAGTAACCACATGTTTGATACCTAGCATTTTCGCCCCTCGATCCAAAGCTTGTCTGCGAAACACACCACAATATGTACAATTTCCCTTCTTGCCTATCGTTTCGACGACTTGGTCCATGGTCCATCCATATAATTCATCATATCCTACAATTTTGAGGGGCATTTCGTATTGAATCGCATTTCGCTTGACTGTTTCGAGAGAGTCATCGCGGTAACCTTTTATTCCTTCGTCGATACTCAGTAAAACTAGCTCGAGTCCATAATTATATCTTTCGTTAAGAGTTTTAAGAACAGAGGCGAGCACCGTCGAATCTTTTCCTCCGGATGCTCCTATTGCTATTCGATCCCCCGGTGAGAAGAGTGATGTCGAGGTGATGGTATGATGAATTTCTGCTTCAAAGATAGCGATAAAACAGGCTTTACATAATTTTTGATGGTTCTTCGGTCGTATAATCAGAGCTCTGGCGCTTTTGCAAATAGCACAAGGTGTTGGTGCCATATTTGGAAATAGTTGTAGAAGGCAAATAATCTCGCAGAACTTCTTATCCACAAATCATCATCGCGGGGAATTATTAAATTGACAAACTGCGATCTCTCACGTGATATGATTCAAAACTGCCTAGCGTGCCAAGATTTTGATCCTCTAGCGCCCACATTCGATAATTCTCAAAATCGAAAATCTTTTCTCACTGATACTATTCCTCTCGACGACAACTACGAAACGACAAACCTCGCCGCTTCGACATCAATCAATATGGTAAGCTCATAAATTGTTTTTGACTCTGTTTTTAATGGAATAACACGACTCGCCACCCGCTCTCGTACCTCTACGAGTAATCGCACGTCGAGATGCAATTTTCAATCAATCTACCTTTCGAGGTTTTTGATTTTGATTTGGCTTGAGCTATATCTGTGTAGAAATACCATTATAGTCTCTTTAGAGTTCAAAGAAGACACTTGGTGAACATTCGCTGATGTCTACTTTTCTCAATGACAGCCTCCAAAGTCCGGAAAGAAGGCGGCGCCAGCCCCATTCCCCCAGTCCAAAGCTGGTGCGGGATCAAAGAAGGCAGCCAAGGTACGTGAAATCTATTCCTTTTTCTGCGACTATTCAATGCTAATGAGGATAAGAACCCTCTCATCGAGAAGCGTACCCGTAACTTCGGTATCGGCCAAGACATCCAGCCCAGAAGAAATCTTTCCCGTATGGTGAAGTGGCCCGAGTATGTCCGTCTTCAACGCCAAAAGAAGATCCTCAACATGAGATTGAAGGTCCCACCTGCGATCGCTCAATTCCAACACGTTCTCGACCGTAACACCGCTGCTCAAGCCCTTAAGCTCCTCAACAAGTACCGCCCAGAATCCAAGGCTGAGAAGAAGGAACGTCTCTTGAAGGAGGCTACCGCCATCAAGGAGGGAAAGAAGAAGGAGGATGTCAGCAAGAAGCCATACGCCGTCAAGTACGGTCTTAACCACGTTGTTGGTTTGATCGAAGCTAAGAAGGCCTCTTTGGTCCTCATCCCTAACGATGTTGACCCAATTGAGTTGGTTATCTTCCTTCCAGCTTTGTGCAAGAAGATGGGTGTCCCTTACGCTATCATCAAGGGTAAGGCCAGACTCGGTACGGTCGTCCACAAGAAGACCGCTGCCGTTCTCGCCCTTACTGAGGTTCGCTCCGAGGACAAGTCCGAGTTGTCAAAATTAGTTCAAGCCGTCAAGGAGGGACATGATGACAACGCCACCAGACACTGGGGTGGTGGTATCATGGGTGCTAAGGCTAACGCCCGTACTGAGAAGAAGCGCAAGGCCCTTGAGAGCGCTATCAAGATCTAAATGTGATCATGTAGTGACTTTTACTTACGGCGTTTTTTTATGATATTATGGCATGGCAGGGACACTTAGCTAGGCAAGCAGCTTGAGAAATCAAAATATAAAAGGCTGTATGATACCATAATTTATCTGACTTTTGGTCTAGTTCAAACATTACGTGCCCTTGCAACTCTTGGTGATCTTTTCTTGATATTTATGTTACATTCGGGGTTTCTTTTTCTCCTCCCAAGGAAAATTTTGCGTTTCTCCGGCAGGGAGTGAGCCTGTAAGCGAGAAGTGTTTGAGTCAATTCTTGGAATCCTTTTCAGGTAAAGTTCATGTACTGCATTCAAGAAGGAAAGGAAGTTCAAATAATAACCTCTTGAGATGCGCCAAGAATCACAGACGTGTCCGGTACCACATTTCGAGACATGGCTCCTAGAATCCATGATATCTTACATGATTATGGTATTCAATATTCAAACACTTCTTGCAAGAATCTCCTCAATCCTGCAGAAACACAACTAAGTTAATCCCCCATAAATTGGTTGTTTTATATAGTAGATTTATTTTATCTCCAAGACGAAGCCAAGGTATGAAATATGAACAAGAGCTCGAATTGAATTCTTAAAGTTTTCTTGGAGATGCCGAGAGCGCTTGGGGAAACAAAACCAAGAGTTGATAGCCACGGCAAGCCACGGCAGTCGGGCGGACTGACGGGATTATCGGGATTTTGCAGATGGATCTTGAATTTTGTATATAGATAGACAGATGGATGGATTGGATGAATGGATTGAATACGACTGATCCCTTTAATTCATGGGTACGCGAATCGAAAAACTTCTCAGGGGAAATATTTCGATGTTCGAGAATCGAGATGTGAAGATATATGTAGACATGGTAGGGTAGTAGGATACTGCAGTGCATACTGTACTCCGTACAGAGATCAAATATATATGTACCGGGTAAAAGGTATTTTAATGTCTCGGGAACACGGCATATACTGGGGATTAATATATAGAAGGATGGGATTTTGAGGGATATAGATATGATGGTTACAAATGTATGCGGATGGGATGGAAGCTGGCAGATGGGAGGTGGAAGATGGAAGAGAAAAGGGGAGATAGGTACACAGTACCTATGTATTGATGTTCGGAGAGTATTCCTTTTCTTTTCCGTACGTGTGTATAAGTTGGAGTAAGCCTGGAGGAGTACAAAATAGAAAAAAGAGATTATCTACTACACTCGGACAGATCCGATGCGTTACAAGTGACTGTTTGATTGACACTCTGGGACAGGAGAAATCTTGGGAATCATCATACAGACATGGATTGTAATGTGTGAAGTTGTCTTGTCCTCTTTTTTGTTGCTTACAGGTTTATATTAGATGGATGATCTGTTTGCTTATTTATTCATCTTTATCTATTTTCCTATCTTTTATTCTCTTATACTTAGTACTTATATAAGATTATTTGGCTATCAATCTATCTCCCTACAACAATACAATAAAATCGCTATTTACGGTTACAGAGAAAAATTATCATCCATCATCATCAAAACCCTCCAAGCAACTCTCCCCCAACTATTTTCCCACGAATTGAGTGACTCCAATTGGCCAACTCTTATCGAGCAAAAAAATAACCTCCTCTTATCGTGCAGGTCGTAACCCTGTCTCCTCTTCTTTAGTTCGATCTAGTCTCCTCTAGTTTTCCACTGTTCCACCAATTTTTCTGATTTGATCTTGCTGGTTGTGCTGAAGAGTCTCCAATTTACCTTATTTCGGACCCTCAACATTTGTGCTCTAAGGCTAAATATCGTGCTAATCCCGCCAAAATTCCCCGTTATAAATTACAACATATTACTCATATTATTCTGCTCTCCATATTTTGCTTCCATACCTACCACCTACCTATCTATCTACTTACTTACCTACGCAAACACAATTCGCAAAGAGAATCCTAGAGAAGGAATACTCCTATTCGGTCGGAATACTTACGATATTGAAGTACTATATTTGACGATTACGAAGATTACTAAAGAGAGAGCGCGCACTCAAGTCCTCTTGGAAATAAAGAAGAAAGAAGAAATTAAATTGAAGGAAAGTGAAGTTAGTGAAGGAAAGGAACTGAAGTGAAGAGAGAGAAATTACGAAAGAATAATAATGGGCTCTGGTAAATTTCCCCCTCCATGATTGTTCCACCACCTTTTATATCATCTCACCATATCGGAGAATCTACACCACAGAGAGAAGGGTCTCAGGAATATCATGACGTACGTACTAACAATCACTTAGAAACTCCCTTCGACTATGCCTTGAGCTCCAACGCCGCATGGGCAGGCTACAAAAGCCATCAAAACCCCAAGTTCTTCCCTACCATGGCCCAAGGTCAAAGTCCTAGTATCCGTAAGTCCACAGCATCTTCTCGCGAGCCCGCTCTCCTCACGGCAACCACACCCACAAAACAATAAACCTAACATCTCCACAGTCTGGCTCGGCTGCTCCGATTCCCGTGTCCCCGAAACTACCGTTCTAGGTCTCCAACCTGGCGATGTCTTCGTGCACCGCAACATCGCCAATATCGTCTCGCCGACCGATATCAATTCCTCCGCCGTCATCGAATACGCCGTTGCGCACTTGAAAGTAGCGCATATTGTTTTATGCGGTCATACTTGCTGCGGTGGTGCCGCTGCTGCTTTGGGAGGCTCAAGGGTTGGTGGAGTTTTGGATACTTGGCTTGCACCCATCAAGGCATTGAGTAAAATCCACGAGAAAGAATTAAAAGCCATCAAAGAAGATTCCGCACGAGCGGTTCGTCTAGCGGAGTTGAATGTTGCGAAAGGAGTAGAGATACTGATGGGAAATGTGGTTGTGGAAGAGGCGATTCGGGATAGAGGATTAAAGATTCATGGTGTAGTGTATGATATCGCATGTGGCAAGATCCGGGATTTGGGAGTGGGAAATTGTAATGAGGAGGAAGAGGAAGAGGAAGAGGAGGAAGTTGCAGGTACAGATGGAGTTTCGGAGTCCAAGGGAGCAAAGGAGTTGGTGAAGGGTGCGCATGGAATGTTAGTTTTTGGAAAGGAGGGCGCGAAACTTAGTACTGCGTAATTCGATCACTACTCTCTCTCTCTATTTGAGGGTTCTACCGTTCGTACGTTACGCATAGATGGGTCTTCTTGGATACACGTAAATGTTATATACTGTATGATGGATGAATGAAAGGCAAGGCGAGACAAGGGAAGGCAAGGCAAAGACAGGAAAGGGAGTTTGAAAAGGAAGGAAGGTAGGAAGGTAGGGGGTTTTCTGTTACCGTCTAGAAGCGAGGATTTGTCTGTTCGGACGTTTGGATATTTAGATGGATGGATGAGTTGAATCGAATATTATTATTATTATTATTATATCTATTTCATCTATTTCATCTATTTCATCTATTTATCTATCTTTCTATCTTTCTATCTTTCTATCTTTCTATCTAATAAGTTACCTACCTATTTATAGGAAATAGAAAATGGAAAATAAAAAATAAGAGCTAGGTGGGTAGGTAGGTAGGCAGATATTATGTGATTGATCTTTTAGTCGGATCGATTAAAAGGATACTCTGGTAGGTATTGAAAGCGACTCAGTAGTTGGGTTTCTCATATCTCATATCTCATCTGTTTCTTCGTTTTTACCTTGAGCCCAAGCACTATCTATAGGATAAGATAGTATAAGAGGGCTGTTTTGTCTTACTTCTTGTTAATCATTGATATATAGTAGTTTTGTTTTATGTTATATTTTTGTATTTTTCTAGAGTATAGAAGAGAATAGAATAATATATTGTATTTTATATATTTCTTTTTCTTATAAGTCTTATAGTATATATCAAAACAAAGATATATACATATATATATACCCAACTTCAACGTACTACAAACTCTAATTCACAATCCTATAATATTCTTTCTATATATCCTTCTAGGAACCTAATAACTAATATCCATACATCTTCAATTATCTAATAACTGCCCTTTTCTCCCCTTCCATCTCTTCCACTCTCTTCCCTCTCCCCACCCTAGAAGAGAATTTTCAAGGAGATTAAATATAGATCTTATTTAAATCTAAATCTAAATCTGAATCTGATGATATGGATGGTTCACCAGGGTATATCGGGTATATAAATCTTACATCTTAATTACACAATTGGATCTGAAGGGTGGATGGATGGGGTATATGGTATATTGGGAGGATTGGTTTATCGTGTTTGTATTGTGCGAATACCCTGTGTTTGAGAGGAAGAAGGAGGTGAGGAGAGGTGGGAGAATGGACGGATATACATAGACGCTCATGGCTATTCATGCTATTAAAAGTAAAGAATTCTTCGTTTTTGAAACTTCCCTTCAAATGATTATGTATAATACGCCTATGACATCCCAATATCTATAATTTTCCAACTCCAAAACTCCCATGGTATCTATGGTAATGCTACAGCCAGCTATTTCGCCTGAATCTATTAATTTTTTTAATCCCATTTTCAGAAACATCAAATCCATCCCATCCCTTTAAAACCTCTCCACACAAACACCTACCCCCTTTTCTCTCGCCAATCTAACCAGTTCTGCCCCTACTACCAAATCCATAAGTCCCAATCCCACACTTTTATAGATAACATTCCCACTACTCAACCATCTACTCATCGCATCTTTTTTCTCTGTTTGTACCTCCTTTCCTAACATTCCACTTGAACCAGTAGTATTTGTACTTGCGGATCCGGATCTGGGTTTGCGAAACGAGAAAGATGATTTACGAGAGGGGCTGCGGGATGATGAACGGGAGGTAGAATGTTCCGTGTGGAATACGTTGGCCATGCTACGGGCTAGGGGTGGAGAGGAGGGTGAGAGTGGCGAGTGGGGAGTTGGTGTTGCATTGCCATTCCCAGTATCGTTTGGATTTAAATGGTGAAAGTCGGATGAGCTTCGTGGGGATTCATCTGAATCGTCAATAGCAGATGAATAATTAAGAGGATCAATCCCATTGGACAGCATGACCAATTCGCCTAATTCCACCAAATTCTTTGCTGATACGTTGCCTTGAATTATTTCGCCTGCTTCCTGTTTGCATCCATCTATAGTATCAACTACAATTACTCCACCTTCCTCTGCATGCCTATGAAAATGATGGCCACTTCCATGAACTTTAACTGCTTGCGCCACAACCTCCAGAGGTATTTCAATCATGTCAGGTTTATAACTGCCAATAGCGACAATGAGCCGTCCTCGCTTGCGACCTTCAGTATTGGTCAAGATAGTATGGGGAAATAAAGGCGATGTAGAGGGAGTTGTGCAGAAGATAACATCCGCGGCTCGTATGTATTCTTTTTCAAGCCGAGCAAACTCTCCATAGGCAGGGCTAAGAACGGAGAATTTTGTATTGCTCCAACCTTCACGTTCTTTTGTGGGAGTGGGTATTTCGAGAAATGCCTTCATTAAATCCCGAACACGGTCTGTGAAAGCGCGAGTTATAATATTTATTTGTTTTATGGTTGAGCCACGAAGGATGAGGGCGAGACGGATGTGCCAAAAAGCCTGCTTCCCAGCACCGAAAACAGTTATAGTTTTAACCTTGGTACGAGGTGTAATCAGAAGAGAGGAAGCTAGGGCTGTGCGAAAGGCTGTCGTCTCCGATGCATTGAGAAAGCCAAATGGTAGTCCTGTTTTATCCATGAGTGTGAGAGATCCTTGAGGTGTGTTTGGATTTTTGATGGATGAAGAGGTAGATACGGCGTCGGAATCAGAACTTTCATTAGATGAGCCTGGTTGAGGAAGAGTTACAACTGCGAATGTTAGTGAGGCTCGAGTGGTATTATTTGGGAAAGAAAATGCATACCTTTCATTCCAATTCCTGCCGATGCAGTTGCCGGCATGAAGAGTGTTGTTCGTTTGTGTTTTGACTCAAGAACTGTTCTTCTAGGCTGATGCAAGCTGCAGCAATCATCCTCTTGAGTTCCTGTAGAGTACTCATGAAGAGCTTGTCTCATTTGATCTTGGAAAGCTTCCAGATCTTTGAGAGTGAGGTCTTGAAGAAGGTGTTTGATATCGGAATCTGTCAACACAGTGAGAGACATTTCGAGAGCTGTATATGATCTACTGTTTCGTGTATTTGGAAATATTGTAATCTTCTTCAAATAAATCCATGAAAGAGGCGAAGGAATGAAAGTTTGTTGAAAGCCAAGACATGAATTACTTAAGGGGAAAGCGACGCAACTTGATACCTTGTACAGTACAAAGCAAAGGATCAACTTTACGTATTTACGAAGGTGGGGTTGATTGTGGGATGGGAGATAATCGGTTGATCGGAGCTAAGCTTATCAGTGTCTTATCTTAGCTGAAGCGGGATTAACCGGGTATAAAGTCCGAAAGAGCTAAAAGTTGAGAAGGCTCATCAGAAAAAAGTCAACAAGGTGCTTGTGCTCTTTTGCCAGAGAATGAAGAGGTCTTATGTGCGTACTAGGTAGGTAGGTAGGTAGTTTCTTGATAATTATTGTATTCAAGATCTCTCAAGAACTTTCGCTAGATACCTAGTTGAATACTATGTAGCTACTATGTAACAACTATGTAACAACTATGTACCTACTATGTATTTCATAGTTTCTAATTGTGACTACAAACCTCCCGATTTCTGTCGATTAGAGAGCCAACGGTAAGAGCAGCGGAAGCTTCGACCGGCACAAAGAAATGGGAGGTTCTGTCATCTATGGATAATTACGGGCTAATATTACGTGACATCACCCACCGGATTTAAAAAGGACCTAGGAGGGGTAACTCCACCATGAATTGACAAACGATTCCTCAACTGCAGTGCAGAGAGGGGTAAATAGGTAGACAATTTCTAAGCATTGAGTCATTATAAAGAACATCAAGGACATCTCTCCTCTCTTCATCTCAAAATTCATTCTCTTTCAAACCATAATATTCTTCATATTCTCAGTTGAAAGCATTCACAGAACTTTCTAGCTATAGATTCACCCTAGCTATAGATTCAAGTACCGCCTTACAATCAACATGTCGGCCCCCAATGAACTTAAGATGGAATACACAAGACTCGGTAAATCGGGATTGAAGATATCCAAAGTTATCTTTGGTGCAATGTCTTTTGGATCATCCGAGTGGCAAGACTGGGTAGCTATCCTTTTAAATGTCCCGTTGCTAAGTACTCTATTAACATCAAAAGGTGATTAACGAGGATGAAGCTCTTCCACTGCTGAAACATGCATACGACCTCGGATTGAATACATGGGATACTGCAGATGTGTACTCCAATGGAAGATCCGAAGAAATTATCGGAAAAGCATTGAAGCAATATTCAATTCCAAGAAGCAAGGTTGTTATTCTTAGCAAATGCTATTTCGGCGTTGCTGAGGGTGGAGAACAACCACATATCTCGGTGCTTGCGACAAACGATGGGCACATGGTCAATCAGGTTGGCTTGAGTAGAAAGCATATTCTTGATGCTGTGGACAGGAGCGTTGCTCGATTAGGCACATATATCGATGTCCTGCAGATCCATAGACTCGATCGCGATACTCCCAGGGAGGAGATCATGAAAGCCCTGAATGATGTTGTGGAAAGTGGCAAAGTTCGGTATATTGGTGCAAGCAGTGTAAGTTAGATGATGCATCGTAAGATTAAGAGTGGAGACTTACATATGGCAGATGGCCGCGTGGGAATTTCAAACACTCCAAAATATCGCAGAAAAAAATGGATGGCACAAATTCATTTCCATGCAAAATTATTACAATTTGCTCTACCGCGAGGAAGGTATGTCCTTCATTTCTATATGTTTAGAAGATACTTATACTAACTACCTTTAGAACGAGAGATGATCCCATACTGTAGGGACGCTGGTGTAGGACTCATTCCATGGAGCCCCATTGCTAGAGGAGCACTAGCTCGTCCTTTCAATGACCGAGGTACAACCCGTGAAAATAGTGACAGGATGCTCAAGGCCATGATCCGTAGCAAGGAGAGCGAAATTGATAAACTCGTCATCAATCGTGTTGAAGAGATCGCGAAGAAGAAGGGAGTAAGCATGGCCACTGTGGCTATTGCATGGTGTCTAGCAAGGAAGGTGTCAATCCAATTATTGGTTTGAGTAGCAAAGAGAGAATTGATCAAGCAGTAGAGGCTGTAAAATTTGCCAGCTCTGGAAAGTTGACTGCAGAAGATATTGCATATCTTGAGGAAGGCTATGCACCCAAGGTTATACAAGGTTATTAAAATATATTGAGTGGCATCCATGTGGCTTGCAAGGGCAGACTTCATAACCGGGTCCATGTACTGTACATTGTCATACCTTTCTTGACCAACAAAGAACCTCTTTCATGTCACAAATAGGTGATTCATGTTTTGTCATTTGTGCCCCCATATATTGGATTTGTTTTCATAGTCCTTCTGGATTTGATAACTGATCCTCTGACCTTACGTGTACCAGATATCAGGAATGATAAAGGTTGCAGAATCACCACTGTCATTTATATATCGGATATTCTCAACTATGAATCATCACTACTTTCTTGCTCACCCGCAACTACAAGTTTCAAGTTCATGTACAAAGCAATGATTAACAGGACTAATAATACTTCGGATGACACATTTTTCCCTATGTACTTGCGTTTCACTGCATCATAAATAAAAGAACTACGGAATAGAAGTCCATTGAAAGTTCTGACGGTAATCAAGCTAGACCTTCTTCAACCAGTATTTATCTACTTTTGGTCCACGACTTTTAGGGATCAGCTCGGAATTCCAATCTGGGCAAGGTCTCCCCTGATTTCACTAGCACGTACCTGAGGTTCTTAGCCTCCTAGTGGGGTAAAAGTGTCATTGTCATTGTCAAACTGATAAGGGAGGGGTCGGAAAATATGATTAATACGGAATTCATAAGAGGGCGAAGCGTTGCTGTACAACCACATCTACCAAATTAACAATATATATTGTATGCGACGAGAACCTTCAGCCAATATATCATACATCAACCCGCCAAGATTATTTAAGCCAACAGGACTGAATCATTTTAAGGCCTCCAATAAGCTGTTGAGAGTCCTCAGGTGGGGATCAACTAATAATCACTCCCCCACTTTATCTATATAACATACCTCTCTTGTTCGATGGGATCAGATCTTTCCTTTACACTGCTTGAGTACAGTTACAAAGCTTTCAGATTGAGGGTTCATCACGGGAAGTACTTTTAGATACCCTTCATCATGGTTTCTATATCTACTTTGGGCTTTGCAGGTATTTTGATGGGTCTCATATGGAGATTCATCATCTATCCTGCATTTCTTTCCCCTTTGGCAAAGATCCCAAATGCACACTGGTCTTCTCCATTTTCTCCTACTTGGATTCTGTTTCAGAGATTTCGTTGTCGGGAAAATAGGACTGTACATGCATTGCATAGACAACTTGGTCCTTTGATTCGATTAGGTCCAAATGAACTCTCTACTAATGATGTTGAGGGCCTTCGACTTGTATATGGAGGCGGATTTGAAAAGGGAAAGTGGTATTCTTTCTTTGACAACTATGGGTAATTTTTTTCTCCCAAAAGTTTTCCGAAGACTTCTCTAACCACGTGGTAGTATCCCATGTATGTTCTCAACACTGCCCTCGAAGAATCATTCCTCTCGAAAGAGAATGATTTCAAATACCTACTCAAAATCCACACTCCAGTCGTCTCCAGCATTGGCTGAGCAGGCAAGGGTCATCCTCTTTGAGCGCCTTCTACCTACTATTTCAAACTTGGCTTCATCTTCCCCAAGTCCTTATGGGGTTGATGTTTACGACCTATTTAACGGCACTACTATGGATTTCATCTCTTCTTATCTATTCGGACTTAAGAACGGCGCCAACTTTATTAAAGATGTCTCATACAGAAGACATTGGCTAAGGCTCTATCAAGGACGCCATCGTTACAGTTTCTATTCACAAGAACTTCCCCGCCTCACTCGATTTCTCAATACTTATATCTACCGTATCGTCCCCTCATTCGTCGATTCTGCCAATGACGAACTAGAGGAATGGTGCCAACATCGCTGCGAGGCTACAGCCAAATTTATCAAAGAGGGAGGAACATGGGATACTGAGCCTGGCAATGAACCAGTAGTTTACAATGCCATGATAACCGGTATTGAGAAAGAAAGTAAAATCCGCGGCGCCGACTCAGTTCTCAAAGAAGAGACGCTCAAGTTTCCAGATCGTAGTATCTACAGTGAAATGATTGATCATCTTGCCGCCGGTCACGAAACTGCAGGCATCACAGTTACATATCTAGCATGGCACTTATCGATTGATCCCATGCTCCAGAAATCTCTAAGGAAAGAACTCCTCACTCTTTCACCCAACATGCTTTTCTCTTCAACATCTACATCATCCCAAGTTCCAACAATTCCAGATCGTAAAGATCTCGATGCTCTTCCCATCCTCCATGCAGTCTTAATGGAGACGCTTCGTCTCCGCGCCGCTATACCGGGTGGTCTTCCTCGTATGACTCCATATCCTAGCTGCGATATTGGTCCTTATAAGAATATTCCCGGTGGTGTTAGAATCGGCGCACAGGCTCATAGTGTCCACCGTAACGAACAAGTTTTTCCTGAATCGGAAAGATTTGATTATATGCGATGGATGGAAGGAAATGGTATGACGGATGAACAGAAACGGGAAAGGGATAGGACTTTTTGGGCTTTTAGTAGTGGAGGTAGAATGTGTATTGGTAGTAATTTTGCTATGCTCGGTAGGTTTTTCCTGTGCATTCTGCGCTTCTTTTTTACTAGCTCTTCCGCTTTCATTGATTTTCCTCCTATTTCTTCTCTTGTCTCATTTCCGTCTTAACAGAATTTAAACACTAACAACTATCCAGAAATAAAACTCATAGTAGCAGCCATCTATACCAACTTTACCACTCTAGTCATAAATGACGATGGAGTCGATCAAATGGATGGATATACCTGCGGACCATCTGCCGGAAAACTTCATCTTCGATTCGAACATGCTCCGCCTGCATGTGCAGCTGAGATATGATATTTTAACGAAGGGTTGGTATAAAGAGATATACCAGTGCGCGGAATAGTGGATATAAGTTTATATCTCAAGCGTTGGATTTGATTAAGTCGTTCAAGCAGACTCTCTACTATTTTAAATATCTATATCGATTTAAATAATTTACACAATATATATTCGATGATTTTGAACCTGTTCCTATATTATCAGATATTAAATTGCACAATCATACATATCATACAACTACATTTCACTTGATCATTTCAAAGATTTGTATAACCTTATCTTGAACATTCTTAATTGCACTTAATATCATCTGAAAAATACTATCTGAACTACGATGTACTTCACAACTTAGGTATAGAATCTAGACTTCATATAACTCATACGGCAATCTGAAATCAATTGGAGCTATCGTCATATCCAATATGCAAGCTTCAGATATACTGGTTTAAATAATGTAAAAGGATCCATTCATCCATCCATAACTTATAAGTATTGAACAGCACCACCCACAAACATATTTTTTTAGATGCATATACCGAATTAATGTCTATTCAGGTAGCACTGTCAATTTGGTTTAGTCAAGGACAGTGTTGATATCAATCAGTTAAGTCAGAACAGAAAACAGAAAAGTTTCACATGTTAATTTGTGATGAGTTTAGGAGTAAATGATATTTTGGATAATGTACTTTGAGAATACCTTTTTGGAAAAACCTGCTTCCTTTTTCGATATTTTCTTGTATAGTTTTAAACAATAGTTTCTAAACAATAGTTAATTCATATTGTTCCTCTGTCCGGTAACGCTAATAAAGGAGATAGCCCTCCTAAAGGAGGAACCCCTATCTAAGGAGAAAAGCATGTCATCCTTTGTTCATGAGCTTGGTCACTACTCAATCCATCTATTAATTTATACTCACAAAGTTACCATGAACCATCACCATCACTATCGGGCACCACAACTCCAAAAGTTCACACTAGCCCACCATCAACCATGATATTCACCTCCCTCACCAACCTCCTCTCCCCCCTTCCAACCCTCCCACCCCTCACCACCCTCCTCCTCATCTACACCCCCCTCATCTACCTCTCCCTAACACTAACCTAGCACCTCCTCTTCACCCTCCAAAACCCCCATCTCCCCCCGGACCCTGGTACACCCACTTCACAAACCTGATCCTGCGCTGCCACGAATGGAACGGTAATCGACGTATATACATCGAATCTCTACATAAGAAATTTGGAGAAAGTATTAGGATTGGTGTGAGGGAATTTGCGTTTTGTGGGTTGGAGGGGATGAGGGGTGTTTATGGTGGGATTGGGGGTATGGGTGGTGTGGTTGGAGGGGAGAGAGAATTGGATAAGACTGGTTTTTATGCGCTTTTTAGGCAGATGGGGGTTAGGACTACTTTTTCGACGGAGGGGAGGGGGGACGTATGTTTCTTTTTTCCTTTTTTGTTTGGGGGGAGGGGGGGTTGGTGGGGATGTTTTGAGGGTGAGAGGTGTCAGGAGAAAAGAGATAGTGATATGAAAATGACTATGTAGCATTTCTTCACTAAGTATTGAAAGGGAAGATTGGGAAATTATCAATGCTAATATCTACAACACAACCTCTAGCACAAATAAAAGAAGAGAAATACCGCAAAACCCTATCGAAACACTGAGATTCTCAAACCCGTTATTATGGATGCAATTGAAGAAAGAAGTCGAGCATTTCTTCAGAAGATCGATGATTCGGAAAATGGAACTATTGATGTTTATGTAAGTTTTATTTTTCTATCTATAGGAACAATAATAGCTAAAGAGAATAACGGAGATATGCGCATTGCTACGCACTAGATTGTATCAGTCACGTTCTCCTCGGAAAAGAAGGAACGAAATCTATTGAGGAAAAAGCCGGTATGGACATGATGCATGAGATGACCTATTACTCTACTTTCAAAAGTAAGTAATTTGCCCTCCGTCTTCCCTCTTAGACCTATCTCCTCCACAATTCTAACCTCACACCCTCCCCAGCTCAACTCGTAACTTTCTACCTCCAACCCCTCTCCACCTACCTCCTATCGCTTCTTCCTCAAAAAATTCCTACCCTCCTAACTAATACCCACGTCTTCTCTACTTGTCTCCGACCCAGCCAAGAACCCTACACGCTTCTACATACACTGCAGCATGCATCTCCGCCTTTGGCAGAAATTGAAATCGCAGCTGAGATTATGGATCATTTGGCTGCAGGTATAGATACTACAGGTATAGCGTTTACGTATCTTTTGTATAAACTTCCACAGCCTAGTAATTATAGTATTCAGGAGACTCTTCATCGGTCTCTTGTTTCTCCAGTGGCCAAGTCAGAGATAGATACAGATACAGGTGCAAAAACAGAAACAAACACAGAAACAAAACCCAACCAAGAAACCCCACTAACATACACCAACGCCGTCATCAACGAAACACTGCGCCTCTACACACCAATCCCCAACTCGCAACCACGACTCGTCGCCAAACACGAACCTAAAACCATCGATAAATACCTGATTCCCTGTAACTCCGCCATCAGCGTGCAAGCATGGAGTATCCATCGCAATGGACGAATATTCGGGGACGCAGTAGAGGAATTTCGTCCCGAGAGGTGGCTTATGGGTGCGGATGAGACGAGGGAGATGGAGAGGGGTTATTTGGCTTTTGGGAAGGGGGGAGAGCTTGTATTGGGAAGAAGTATGTTTATTTATTTATTTTTTCTTCTTCCTGGTTTTCCAGTATATCATTTCTTTCCTTATTTCCTACATTTTACCTGTAGATGTAGAGGAAATTGGGAAATACATATTTTCTTGTGGAGTTTTGGAATCATGAAACTAATCAACACAATCATCCAATTCACAGTCTAGCACCAGCAGAAATGCGACACCTAATCTAGGAAATCTACACGAAATATAAAACGAGGATAAAAGAAGGATGGGAAGGTGATATGGAGATGGAGGATCAGCTTGCGGCTAGTAGACCGAGGGGCCAGGAGTGTATGTTGGTTTTTGAACGGAGACGAATAGTTTTGATTTAGTTGTGAAATGAATAGTATATTAAAGGAAAAGGAAAGGAAAGGAAAGAACAGAAAAGATGTGGCTGGTGCTGGTGCTGGTGGTTATTCGTAGTTTGATACTCAATTTATGATATATCAGAATCAGAACAGTTTAAAATCGAAATTTGAATTGAAACTTGTATTTCGAGGTGTAGACTAGAAGAGAAGTAAGAGTATAATGGGAAAGAGACGAGATATCCTATATAGACTCACTTACGAGATTGTTTATCCCAAGTAAGATACTTACTGCAAATCTAGTAAGCTCTCACTTATCTTTCTATCTTTCTCAACTTTACACCCATATCTCCTCTTTCCTCCACCATCCACTTATCCACCCCCGCTTCCCCCTAATCATCCCAAAACGCCTCCGCATCAACAAACCTCTCCCTCTCCCCCTCCTCCCCCCTTCCTTTCCTCCCCTCCCCCTCCCCCTCCCCACCCAAAACCCCCCCCAAAACTCCATCAATAACCCCCAAAAGTTCGCACCCACACCCCCCCTCAATCTCCTGCCCATCCTTCGCAATCAGAACCGCCAAATCCGCATTCAACGAATTTTTCAAATACCCCACCTTATGGAACCTCACCGTACAAACCGCCAACCACTTGACTTTAAACGCGCCCGCGCTTTCCCAATTGATAGAATGCTGCCACGAGGGGACGGGCACGCTGCCGGGGAGAGATTCCATGCGTGCCTATATTTTAGTGGGATATAAGTGTAAGTTTGTGATGAGTTTTGGCTAGAAGTGGATGGGGACGGGGAAAGGGACTTACGTAACCTTGGAAGGCTCGGCTTTTGTTGATGGAGAAGACGAGGATGACGTTTTTGCATGTCTCGAAGGTTTCTTTGAAGATGGGTCCGTTTTGTGCTTGAGTGGTCCATACACCCTGGTGCAAATCAGTTGGATCCACTGGGATTAATCATTATGTTCAATTCACTTACATCTTCTATACATTTAATAACGTTCTCATCGTTGAAGGATTTTACTATGAAATATCTTGTATCTGAACGCGTTAGTATGCGAACCTTCTCAATATCTTCTAGAAAACCCATAAGTTTTGGCAGACACTCGTCACTCAACTTCACAGCAAAACAAAAGTGATTTTAATTATATCAGTTCTAAATTGATTGCATGGATATCAAGAAAGCGCTATAACAGCAAACTCTAATGATGCGGGAAAAATGACAGTCGACAAGTTGAGTGATTTTCACTGACCACCTTTCCCGCCTCGATCGAAACCTTTTGCATCTTTAAAAGGCTTGCCAAGCGCATTCCGCGATCCAAACCCGGCCTCACTTCTTGACTCGTGCGATGCCCAATCACCGCGACCTCTTCCACGACCTCGACCTCGATAATTTGGATCAAAGGCCCTTCCTCTGTAACTTCCATGTACTTCAAATGTGCGACGTCCGCCTGAACCTGCATCATAAGATCTTTCGCGTGGAGGTCTGCTATCGTAGGCCCTCGGACCAGGGGATACTTCACGATCATTACTGTGGCTTCGACCACGATTACGAGACTCTTCAAAATGGAAACGACTTCCACGATCACCGTTTGCACGGCGAGAGGAACCATAGTCGACTGAATTCTGTAGACGGCGGTAGTCATGTTCTTGTTCTTCAAGACGAGCCGCTTTTCCATAGATTGCTTCCACGTGGGAGTCTTGAACCTCACTGTAATTGCGCTTGTTAGATGTCACACGATCACTAAGATCTGTAGGCTCCGTTATAGCTGGGGCATCCTGAGACTGTGTCATCGAGCCGTTCATCAAGTTACCCAAGTTATACTTCACAAGACCTTGGTCGTCCTGTATACCTGCCAAAAGTTTCGCTTTTTGTTCCTCTAATTCCTTCAGAGCTCGTGCAGTTTTTAATAACTTATTTCTATGTGTTAGATCGTGATATTGAGTCATTTCCAACCATTCTCTCAAATCAGGATCATGTGGTAAGACTTGTGCCAGTGTTGGTGGCTTAGACTCCCGAACAGATTTGACCTCTTCCTTAGTAGCTTCAGGACGGCGATAATCGTCATTTTTGTCACGAGAAAACTTGCGGAGGTATTGTTTCTTGTCGGTATCTTGATGTGACTTCTTTTCATGTTTGTGATCGGCGCTTGGTTTTCTCTCGGGTCGAAAATCGTTCTCTTCTCTTCGATCATCTCGATACTGAGGAGCGTCAGGTCTTGACGGCTGTGCTGGTGCTAGACGCCGGGTCAAGGAACTAGGCTCCTCGACCTTTACACGAGCATAAGGTGACCGAGCTATTCGATCATCTTCGGGCTTAAGGGACTTTTCATTAACGTTAGCCGATTTTGTCTTGATTTGATTTCCTTTTGGCTCAGTGGGCGGAAGCTTCTTAGGAGTAGGTTCATCTAATATCTCCCCTTCTGACATTGATCCATTCCTAACACTCCTAGTTTCGCGCTCTGCTGGAGTACCATTACTAGCCCGATCAGTGTTGATCTGGGGTCTGGTCACTCTTGTAGGACTTCCTGAAAAAGGATCTTGAGACTTCGCAGATGAGATGAATGGGTTGAGGGGAGGTGTTCTCTTGATGGTATTATTTCCTGCCTCCTGGTTCACTTTTGATCCTATTATTGACTTGGTTTCCGAATAATCTGAAATGAGATCATTTATCTCTTTTTCACGACGTAAATGTTCGTCAATGTGCGTCCCCTGCGCAGGACTTTTAGGGGATGGCTGCAATGAGTTCGACGACTCTATCGCACTTGTTTGTTTTGGGGGTACAGGAACTGGTGGGGTAGCTGAGTTGCCTCGGCTTTCCTTTCCCTTCATCAATCTTGCTCTTAATTCGGCAGTTTTGGCAGCAAGCTGTTCTTTGGTCGGAGTAGGAGTAGGAGGAGCCACACTATTATTAGTTGAGTTCACTTGAGGTGAGAACTGAGAAGATAGGCAGAGGTTAGCTGTATGCGCTTGCTCTCCAAATTGAGAAATGAATTCTAGGTCGCCAGTCCCAAACACTTACTGGTGGATTGGGGGGGATAAATTGATTATGCGCGAAAGCTGTCTGGTTGTACATAGTAGGAAGTTCAGGAGAGAAGCTGTTAAAACCATCGATATTCATTTCATCGTACTGCAACATGTTTGGCTGTTGAAAGAAATTGGGACCTGAGCCCACCGCAGAAAAAGGAGACGGTAGTGGTGTAGTTCCGGATAAATCATCTTGATTGAAGTTGTTTGGTTGATACCGTCCATTATTTTGGAAGCTGTTATTTGCTTGCCACATGGTTTTCGGCTGTGGCCAGAATTCCAAAAGTTGAATCTTTTGTTGTGTCCAAGGTTAAAATAACTTTGCCAGGTCGAATAATATAATTTCTTTTTCAAGTAATCAGTACAAGAACATGATTTCCAAACTGTATTAAAAACCGCTAAGAGTGAATGTTCACAATGAATGATTGTGGTGTCGTTCGAATTAAATATTTTTTAAGTATTTGAGCTTTTCAAATCATATCATGATGAAATGGATGGCTTGCTTGTAGCTTGAATGACTTTTTCTTTAGAGAACTTTGAACTCTGAACTCTGAACTTTGAGATGCGAGAAGCTTTTTTTACAAGTCTTCTGTTGTCAATGAGGAAGATCTTGAAGCTCTGAGAGACGAGCAAAATAAAGAGTAGAAGAATAATAATTGTGGTAGTAATGCGATGTTTTGCTTGTTCAATGAAGTTATTGAGGTTTGGAAGGTTGTGTGTGGGTGTGAACACTTTGAAGATATGCAGCTAAACGGAGCTAACTAAGATTGCCTTAGGCGGTTAACAGCCTGAGATAGCTCATTGCAGCTTGTCTAGATCAAAATTATTGCTTTATCTGATTCGCCAGAATTCTTAATCATTGGTGCTGATGCAGGTTCTGGATTTGATTTGATTGGTATATAGTTGTAAATAATTCTTTCTCAATTTTCTTATATATCAAAGCAAGGAAAAGAGAAAAGAGAGAGTGCGTAATAAGTGGCCTACAATAGCAATCGCCATTGGAAATGTTTTAAAGTAGCAACCGTTTTCCCAACTGTTATTTCCATACTACGCAGGCGGTAAGAATGACGAGAATAAGCCACTTTGGATGCCGGCATATATTATCATGAATCTCCCAACCATTGTGACTGTTGCATCTTTTCCTTCCCCAATCGAAGCGGCTATATGCCATAAAAACACCACACAACATGATGAGATCCTTGTGATGATCTGAACATGTCCACCTATTACCGTGTATATCGTGAGAATCAACTGTGAGAGCGCTAAACTCCGGATAATCTGGATTTTATCGGTATTTTGGATTTCATCCACTGGCGGGCTGACTTCTTTCTCAGAGGTAACCGAGGTAGCCGAAAAAATTTGTTGGAAGTGAGCATTCCGTAACCCCGCATTGCCAGATACTCCTAGGATTATGATCATAGGCATGGCAAGTATGAACAGCGGTATATTTGACATGGTCCAATACTTGAACGGCCCATTATTCCTGGTAAATGTTAGAAAGGCTTTGTTCTCACCGAATCCATTGACGTACCAGTAGTAGGCTTGCACAAAAGAATATACACTTGGTATGGTATTTTTACACCACGTTCTTGTATCCTCGACTCCCGTCGCCCCACAATACTCTTGATATGCGATGTACTGTGGTGTGAGGAAGCCGATACCAACACATATGCCTCCTAAACCAGTGATGATCAGGCGACGGAAGGTGTTTATATTAGACCCATTACCTAAGCTGACGAGGGTTCTGAATGCTTCCTCGAGCAGGAGAAGCCCATTGAGCAATGCGTTACTTCTGAAGGTAGTAGCGACTCCGAACACTACGCCGGAAATGAGGATAAGAAGGTCATGGCCTAATGTTCTCTTGCTTGTTCCAGATGCAAAACTTTTTGTGAAAATGAGAACACCCAGGAAGGTCAAGAAAGCAGTTGAACTCTCAGCATATGGAGCAGAGAGAAAGATTCCAGCCGGTGATATGATGTGCAGGAGAGCTGTGACCAAAGCAAATTTCTTTGAGGGGAAGAGTGTCAAGGTCAAGCTGTAAAGGACAAGAATTGAAAGTAGATGGGCGACATGAGCAATCAAGATCCCCACCAACCCCTCTAGTCCATCATAGTGGGGTACCCCAAGATATTCAAGTCCTACCTTGGTCAACGAGGCGTGCGGACGGGCAGTCGGCTCTCTACTTACCAATAGTGCTAAATTTTATCATGCGGGTGAAACCCCACCCAAACGCCCATTCTTGTTCATAGACATAGCCCTGATTTGACGCGTGTACAAAGTAAAGTGCATCCCATCTTATCAACTTGCCGATGAGGTACTGCACCCACGATGGTAACTTCTTTTTTTCGACCGACTGCAGATTCAACAATAAGAGGTTGGTAGATGTGTCATAGCCTGGACCTGGACTACTAGCTGCGATAAGTAGAAGCGAGATCTTCCAGAGCGTGAAACACAATATCAACGTACGAAGCGGTGCTTCAAGCGCACGAAGATCTGTTGAAGCCATTGTGAGATTGAGGTTTCGGCAGTTGGACTCAGGGTTCAGTGTTCAGCCTCTCCGAGAAGGCTTCACATCGTAGGTATTCCTCATGCGCAGGGTTCACGATAAGATTAGGATCTCGCTAACTACTACTACCGATGGCAGGTAAAGGTTAGCCCGACAAATTTGATGCCAAGAGATTTGAATCTGCACGGAGACTTAAGAATTTCCGTACCTTGCAAGTTTATTATGGATCTTGGCGATTCAAAATTTTTAGCAGAGATATTAGGCAGCTAGTTTTTACTCAGGTCAAGTTGCGCGAAGTTCTACCAGAGTAAGAGGCTAAGAGCACTCCGTGAAGAAGAAAATACCTAGTATCCATCACAACGGTTTAAGACTACCTCATCAGAGCTTATTGGTAATGAATACAATGTACCCAAGTAATGCTTAATACCTTCGATGGCTTTGATTTGAGGGGAAGATTCGGCGCAGGCTGTTTTAAATAGGTATTGGGAGATACTTGAAAGAGATAGAGCTAATTGGTAGTTACCCAGTTGAGAATGGATTAACTAGAATACCAATAATATAATTAGAGTATACTCCGTATTGGTAGGTAGGTACGGTACTCGTACTCGTACCCGTGCACTGGGTAGTTGTTGTCATTTGATGATCGAGGTCGAGTCATCGAGACTCCAAGAGATCGAAGAAAACTAATGGGGACTGCAGCAGTACCCAGTATTTATTTCTCCTTCTGTTATAAAGATTTGAGGGCTTTCAATTAGGGCTATGTGGGAAACGTAAAGTCCGCGAGTGGATTCATTCTAGGAACAGGCTACTACTTATTATTAGAGTAAATGGTAAATAATAAATACTAAATAGTAAATGGAAGTTTACGGAGCAGATATTACTTTAACACCAAGGTGCACCGGCGGATGGCTGATGAGATTTTCTGGATCATTTCCTATTCACAATAAGTTACGTACTTTTACAGTTTGGTTATGTTAATGTCGGCTGGTTGTCATTCCATCTTTCCGTCCCCTCTCTTACTACTGTACTAGACAATAGACTAGACAATAGACTAGACTATAGACCAGACAATAGACATTAATAACTTTTATGAAACCAAAATCTCGGATTTTCCCGCATTGTCCGAGTGAATCCGAGCGAATCCGAAAGGTTCCTGTACGAATCAGCCCTCTTTTTCTGCCACGAACTTATCTTTCAACGACAGATCCTTCTTTCTTCTCTCCTCTTTCTTCTTTCTTCTTTCTTCTTTCATCCATGTCAGTTGTGGATGTCTTCTATGACAAGTGTTATGCAGTCATGTGGAGACGGGTCAGAAAACATTGGTAGTCCGTAGTTTTGATTGAAAAATATCATCGAGGGAATTTCATCGATTGGTGGGGCTTATTCGCAGCCTCGGAGACCAAATGCGCATGGCACTCGATGGTAGGTAGTAGGTACGGAGAAGCACATAGGTACAGTGCCAGGTAGACTTACGGCTAGTAATGCTAGTATGCATCATCGGCTGATCATGTTATAAGGGATGTAAGGATAAACCCAAGTACCTGACCGATCAAGGATTAACTAATTACTTTGATTGATGTCTATTTGTCGTACTTTAGAAACATCCCAAAAAATTGAGGTACTTGTAGTCTGTCTCTGTCTACTTGATTATATATTGATTATAGATTGATTACTTTCGTACATTCAAACCCGGTCTTTCCGTTTGCTACTCCACTTCATCCTAGTTCAATTGATCCAAGCAAGGCATTAATCCTTTCCTTGATGAACTCCTCCCCCAAGGTTACCAGCTCACTTCCTAGCCAACTCACACATACCTATCACCTACTCATATCTGCTTGAACGTTATTGCTGACATTCAGCTCTTTCACTCGGATATTCTGTCTGCTTCTCTTCCATCTCCGCTGACAGTATCAATAATGATGACTGCGTGAATAGATTCTTGTGTTGTACGAACCCATCTTGAGCCTCCAGCAGCAAACGTCTGACCACAACGTCTTTCAATACAAGCCTTGTCCCGCAAGCTATTACATCTGTGCGAATTTGGAAGCAAGCATTATCGGGATCGTCTGGATTCTTGCTACTACTCTTGCCAATTCAATTCTTCGTTTTATACATATAGTTTCTACCTTTTCTGTCCGACAGCCCTACGAGCTTCGCTCCTTTCATGCATACGGAGAGCATCGAATGCAATAACCTTTTCAAAGCTTCGAATCTTTTAAGATCTTCCAAAGTAACTTCGTAGTCGCGGATACCTTCGCAAACGAGGACGTCCCTTCACTGGGACGTCCCTTCTCATCAATATGCTTTTACATTCGGCAGCCGGCATGCATAACCATGAGTACTCACATTCTACCCTTCCTCGACCACAGAGCGATTTTATGCCCAGAAGATCGCCTTTGAATAGATCATCGTTTTCAAATCCTGGTCCAGAAGTATCTACATCTCAAGCTCCAATACCAGTTTTATCGACTCAACGCTCAAGAGCACTATCTGAATATATACCTCGGAACAAACTAGAACATCAGCAGGTGCATGCTGTTCGATTTCAAGAACCTGAAGCGGATGCCATGAGTGAAGATGGCAGGTCGGTTGCAAACTCCGAAGGAAGCCGAACAACGAATGGGGGTAGACGGGGCAGGAGATCCTCGAAAGCTAGCACAGCATACCGTCTAGCACACCCGGCTCCGACTCTGACCCACAAGCAACGGTTATTAAATATTCGCCCGAAATTGCTAATGCAATTGCAGTTATTGTCATTTGATAAAAGGCCCAAGCCAACCTTGGATGTCCTTCCTTCCACAGTCGTCGTCTCCAGATTGGCCAAAAGATTTCCTCGAATGTTTAGAGGAAAGGGTGAATTAGGAGCAAACGATATTATGATTGTGAAGAGTGAAGAATATGATATACCGGAGGGCTCCATGGATGACACGGACTCTGATGAGGAGAGTTTCTCGAATCGGGAACTCATCGCAGTCATTTGCCAATTGCCCAGGGACGAAGGAGGCTCTCAAGGAAAGGCCGAAATAGTTTTAGGCGATGGTTCTGTCTGGTTGGCAAGCCCGTTACCAACCGGAGCTTATGAGATGACCAAGTTTGACGAATCCGGGACGAAAGTGACTACTATTAGATGGGTGAGAAGAGCTGGCCACCATAACCATTCCGATTCGTCTATGAACGATGTCAAATTCAGTTTCAGCGTAATAGACCCAAATTCTCGACGACACGCGATTCTGGCAACTCTTACCCAGACAAAGTTGGATATTCCACATTATTACACTAACTTATCTCCTTCATCTGGGATAGAGATCACAAAGGCGTCAGTGAGCGGTGTATCTAGCGAGTTAGATGATGTGGACGAGGATGAGGATGACAAGGCCGACAGAATTGTTGAACGAGCCCCTCAGCTAATGGACGAGACTATGAGGGCACTAATTCAAGTCACGGGAATATGGGTTTCTCTACGCCAAGGCTGGTCTCCTTATTTCAAATACAATGATTCTATGGCTACATTTGGCCAGAACAAAAGTCCAAGAAATTCTTTGAATGGGAGAACCAGAGCCTCCTCATTGACACCAGATATAATCCGGTCCAATTCTGTAACTGTTCTTAATGGCACTCGTTCAAGCACACCAGAATCTACATTTGGATATATCGGCAACAAAATTCTACAATGTAATATTCCCAGAGCTAATTCTGTCACCGCGTCTTCGCCACATGATTCGGTTGCATCACCAAGGCGAGTCAGAGCCCCCTCGGCTGGTACGGCATTTATGCAAAGGGCAGCGAGTCGCAAGATAAACACAATTGCGAGCGATAGCGAAGGGGAAAGCATAGCCCAATATCCTGAGAATGGCGAAGATCACCATGTTAAGAGAAACGCGTCGAACCGCGTTTCTTGCCCTCCCGCGATGGGCGTCGTTGCCTCCCCCCCTCCGACACCGAGCAGACCCAATCGAAGGGTGAAATCTGTTCAAATGTTATCAAGCACAGCCACACACGACACGGGCAGTGGAGCCATGGATGGCCAAAGCGAGCATATACAGGGCAAATCTCCTGCAGTAAAACGGAGAACTAGCCGATGGAAGTCGTTTATCAATTTGATTCGCCACCGATCTTCTTCTCGTTCTCCTTCGCCATAGTGCCAATAGGGAGAACTTTTGTATCAATATTTCTGGTTAGCATTACTGCTGGCGTTCTCATAAAAGCATTGGGGAGTTTAGGAATACTTAAATTTTGGAATATGAGGCACTTGGATGTCTGCTTGGTTTGGCGTTAGAAGATATCATTACATCTGATTTTTTTGAAAACACAACTTGATACTCCCTCTACTTTTGTATTTTAGCCCATAGCATAGCATAGCACAGTGCATAGGTTCTAGTTTTGGAAAAACAATGAAACGGCATGTTTCTATTCACAATCTGGCGAGGACCATAATATTGCGATGATACCATTTGGTGTTAGTCAGCTTGCTTGTATGCCTTTCCCTGGGTACTGCTAGATTCCTTTTTCCAAGGCAGTCATGATCACGTAGGCCTGCTACGACCTCCTTTCTCGATGCGAACCGTTGTTACGTACGGCCTTTTGCCTAATTAATAAATCCCTTTTTACATATATAATTCCCGTGACATTCATTCAGTTTGGAAAAATTCATTTGAAAGATTCAATGCCTATTTGCTTTTCTCTTTGTTGTTGAATGTACAATAAATTCAAGCTCTACACTGCACACTCTGCTCCGTACTCATACTAAACATCTAGATTCACATTCCAAAATGATTTAACACCAATTCAGTTTAATCAGTTTCTTCGCCCCGTACCGGTGACCTACCTATCTTACCTTTAGTACTACCTAGTAAAGGCTATTTGAAGCATTTACAAATCAACTCGTAACGCTTCATACACTTCACCCGCTTGACACTTCATTAACCCCTGTCTACTGTACTAGTACCTGGTACCCGCACGGATCTCGAGGCACAAGGCTGGTGTACCTCTCTGTCCAACATCGATAAATATCAGAACTTCTATGCTGTGGGACACTCTTTCAAATTCAATTTTTGCCCCTCTTCATCAATTACAGATTATTTAATGAGAAGCTGAATTTCTTTGCTGTTCATTATTTTTCTGGACAAGTGGAGAACTTCTAAGATTGTGGCTTTTGGTTTATTGGGAGCTGGTTCAGCTGTGTGTTAGATAAGAGGTCGCCTTTCTATCGCCTTCACCATCACCGAAGCTACTTGCTTCACACAGGTACTTGTACGATGCTATTTCTTGTGAGCCATTCATGATTATTGACAGATAAGTAGTAATCAGACACTCTTCATTATACCCAAACACCCAAGCTCGACCGTCAATTTCAAGTGCAGCGATTTGCAAGATGGACGAAGGGTTCACAAATGGCAAAAGCCATGCGCAGTACCTTCAGAACATGCTTCAAGGAGGTTCGAGCGATACGATATCGCGTGCTACTTCACCGGGTCTCGAATTTGGAGCCAACGGGATCGACATGGATCGGGAGAAACGATACAGACCAAGAACATTTCCCTACTTCAAACTATTACCATATAATGTCGAGGAGGAGACGGAACGCAATGCGGCGCTGGCAGAAATCATCAAACAGCTTTACATTGCACTAAAAGCAGAGGATATTGCTCCTGGTGCTGTACATTGGACACGAGAGCTTAGAGCATGGCTGAGTCTGAAATTCGACATCACTCGAGTGCTGCGGGTGAAGCTTGTAAAGCTGTATTACATGCTTTCACTGGCCCCAGGTCTGGACTTAAGTAATGGAGAAAGATTTGAGAGCATGTTTCGATTCCTTTTGACAAGGTAGGTCAGATTGTCTTCATTATTATCCGTAGCTAATGGTCCACCAGAAAAAAGCATCATCTCAAACCTGGAGCGGATCTTATCCTTGATTGGCGACCACTTTGGAGGGAGATCAAAGGTCTTGTCCTTCCTCACGAAATGGCAGCACATCAGGGTAGTCGAAAGCGAAGTCACAAGAACGTTTCGAGCCTGGCCGCCTACGCATCGCAGTTCTTCGATCCTCGTGAAAGAAAAGCTATGTTTGAGGAAATTTTACCATACTTTAGCACCTCAGATTGTTCATATGCATTCATTACCCTTGGAGCTCTGAATATGATGATGCCAACACAACCAGGACCAAACGAATTGGGCTTACTCCAACAACCCCAAGATTATCTGCCTACCCTCTTCCATCTTTGGTCACTTGTCAACCGCTCCAAGATCTTCGACGTCACATTTTTAGACATGTTTTCCAGGCTTGCCCGAGATTCCGTGACCAATGAACATGTTGACTTCTCAGAACATGGTATATTCACAAAGGAACAATCTGATCTCATATTTACAGCAATCTTGAGGTTAACCGAGATACCTGTCGGACAAGCAACCACTCCATATAGCCCAATGGTCGACATGGCTTCCGGCCTCGGCGTTTATATTGAAACAGACAAGAAGCGAACACCCGTAGGATATACGATTGCACGGTGGATAGTGATGTCTCTTTCGCCGTCAACTCTAAACTGCGAAAATTCAATCTTGTCAAACCTTGAGGGGTTGATACAGTCCATCGATACCTTTTTTCATCCGTCGAATAATGGAAACTGGGCAGATATACTAGCACAAACTGTTTTCCACCTCGTTGATTTCTTCCTGTTGCGCTGGAACCGGGAACAGAGTGGCGAAATGGACACACCACCTGCGCGGCGTATCACTCCTGAATTAAAGAAAAGATTTGTCCTTATCCTTAAAGATGTGGTTTTTATGGGAATCTTTTCGAAGAGATCCAAAATTCTCAATTACTATTTTGTTGCACTTCAAGGCCTAGCAAATCTGGAACCAAATTTAATTTTACCAGGAGCGTTGCAGCGGTTTTACCCTTCTCTTCAAGGTTTAGTCGAAGTCCATCGAACTTCTTCATCCCTTTGCAGTCTTCAAATGCTCGCTAATGTAATGTCAAAACATAAGGGCTACCGTTGTCATATTACAGCGTTGCTAGCTCTAGCTCTACCCGGTATCGACGCCAATGATTTGTCCAAAACCCAATACACTCTGAACTTCATACAGGCTGTGGCATTTAGTATTCCATTTACGGACCTTACGAGGAATCATGATGGTATTCATGACACATCCCTTGCCATTCAGTGGGTACAAGGTGAGATGGAACGACTGGAACGAGATGGCCCAAACGTGGAGATCGACTATGCCACAGAGCTTAGTGATGAGGACGAAGCCAATATCCTGCGATCTTCCACTGCCGGGTTTGGCGAGTTCGTCTTAGCTCTGCTTGGAAAAGTGTTCACCTTATTGGAAAATTTACCTGAACAGTCCAGGATACGAACGGGAGCTCCTGAAGAGAACGTGGTGAACGTCTTACCTAGCGCTCTCACTCCATTGTTTTGTTCTTTATCGCCTGATCTCTTCGACATGGCACTGGAGAAGATGGCAGCTTTTATTAATAGCCATGTAGTTCATCAGGCTAGGGATGCAATGGCTTTTATCGTCAATTCAATTTGCAAGGCTAATCCAGAGAGGACGATCAAATTACTTCTGCCGATGCTTGTGATCGGTATTCGAAATGAGATCGACTACAATGATGCCGCATCCGACAGGAATAGCGGTTCTGATGTGTTGCCCCGCGACCGAGCTTTAGTCTGGCACTTGAGTATGCTTAGCATGATTGTTGTCCATGTTGGAGATGCAGTTATGCCATATAAGAAAGAACTGTTTGATGTAGCTCTTTACATGCAGGAAAAATGCCATGGTCTCGCTACAACCCATGTCTCTAATTTTATTCACCACCTTCTGCTCAACCTCACCACAATATATCCTGTTGATACAGCTCTGTATGAACCAGAAGTCTTTGAGAGAGGTCTTGATGTTGGTGATTGGGGTCGCAACACTAAACCATCAGAATTAACGATAAAATGGCACGTGCCTTCCTCCGACGAGATCGATCTAGCCGTCGAAATATTTGAGTCTCAAGTGAAGACATCGATAGAGAAGCTTACTGATCTGACCAGCGACTCTCCTGCAGTTTCACGAAAGGGAAAGAACAAAGAGTGGTCAGATGAGGTTGAGAGGGCTCTTACACATATTCGGTTGATGATGTCAGGAGTTTCTGTCCTCTTCGATCCCAAAGCAGCTGCTGGAAATTTAGATACAGCACGTGATTCAAACGGCGACATCGCCATGACTGGAGACAACCCCATGGAAGGAGATGATGATCCTTTGGCTGAGGCTTCCGAGGATGAGGAGACCAGACCTCAATTTCATTATCGCGCAGGATACCTTTTAGAGAACAATAG